TTAAGTAAGAGAGAACATTCTATGGTTCGTACGGAACTAGCCCTATAGCTCGGAATCCGCCCTTAATGTTCTGCTCTGTAAATGTAGCTTTGAATGCTTCTTTGAATGCAGAGAGGAACTCGAGCTTTGTGATGTAGTTTAGCCGGTTTCGTACGAAGGTTTCAATCTGCTTTCTGTACGAGAGCTTTAGTGGTGCAAAGCAGCTCACATCAAGAGGCTAAAGAATATGTAACGAGTGTGGTGGCATACAGAGGGTAATTATCTTCCGTTCTGTGCAGTAGTGTTGAAATTGAGCAGAGAGGTAGCTCTCATGCCCATTAAGAATAAGAAGGCGATAGGTTCCGACTATACAAGCATTTGTATGTCGATCGAAATGTTGAATCCACTCGTACCTAATTGAATTTAAAGTCCACCCATTCTCACTTAGCGTAATCACCTAGTCTTCTAGTAATCCTGAGTCCTCGTACCAAGCAGAGAGGTGATTCTGTGCTTTGAAAATGATAAATGGCGGAAGGGCCCATCCGTACGAATTAACACCTTAGATAATTGACACCCACTCTCTATTCCCTGGCTGTATAGTCTTTAGACGACTTTTTGCTTCCGAGCTTGTAACTACCTTTGTAGTAGCAATAACTCCCATTGCAAAACCTGCTTCATCAAAGTTGTAGATATCTTACTCTAAGATTCCGTATTTTACAACTGTGTTTCATACAAGGGAGAACCACCCTTTAATTATCTTAGGATCTTCGCATTTTGCTCGTTTATAGTCGTACTTCCGACTAAACTTCGATTTGATTTCTATACGACGCTTTATAAAGCTAGTAGCCTAGTTTATCCCAATAGGGCTCTTGCCTCGTTCAGAGAGTAGAAGGTCTACCATTTCTTGCACAGCTTGTGGCCGGGGTGGAAACCCACGTGAATCTAGGTCAAGGATATATTGAACAAGAGCTGACTCTTCGTACAAAGTTAATTTTCGTGAGTTAGGAGTAGAGTCGCGTCGAGAAGTAACACCGTTAAGTCGTGCACGGAGCGACTCAAATGGGACGTCGTACGACATTGCAGCAGCTCGAATACTCTTAATATTGCCTTCTTTAAGTGCTGTAATAGCTAATAGTATTCTACCCTCTTGATTAGAGGATTGGTCTTGTGTTGGTTGTGGCATTGTTAACTACAGATAGGTTGACGCGTTTTGGTGTTTTGGTGACCCGCTCGCTCGTGTGACCCGCTCGCCCGTGAAATACGTTAGATGTAATTGAAATAAACTGGGTGATATATGTTGTGATAAATGCCAAACAGAGGACAGCAAATCTTTCTTTAATTAGTACAACATGCTTTTAGATAAATCCACACCACTCCCACTCTCGGCATCATACAAACAAACCACACGAAGGTCAAGCGACCGGCGCCACCTTCCCATGGGCCTTAATATGCGCCGTATGCATGTCTGCCACAGCCGGGATGATCAAGCCCTCAATTTCGATCTCCGGCTCGCCCATCAAGTCCGCTGGGTCACTCGGGTGCTCTCTCTCATTCTCAATCGGATCCGCTACGCCCAATTTATCACCCACCGTCAGCAGCGCTGCCTTCCCCGTCCAATCTTTCACTCCGGTCCCTCTCCTCTGCCGTGGGACACGGATCCACTCTTCGCGCATGCGCGACCCCTCTACCGCGCGGTCCTTGCTCACAAACACCACCTCCCACTTACGCGTGCTAAGCAGGTTACCAATAACCAGGTGGTGCTGGTAGCGCTCAAGACTGTACTCGGCCTTGTGAACAAGAATGTCGGGGTCAGTCTCGAGCTTGAAGGAGACGATCATGCCTTCAGGTGCCCATCCATCGACGAGGTTCTTGAGGAACTTCGGGACGGGGTCTAGATCGACTATCAGCCGCTTGGATCGCGGCACACGCGGTGATGAGTCAAAGTTGTCGAAGACTTCATCTTCGGAACCGGGGGAGTCGTTGGTGATATCGAGGGGAGAGGCGGTGGGGCCTGGGGAGCGATCCACAATGCCGAGGTTGGAGACTTCGGGGGATGCTGGGGCGCGGTTCTTGACAGCGTCGGTGGATTGGATTTTGTGCTCGACCATGCGGGTGGGGGGGACGAAGAAGTCGGATACGGCAGCGGCGAGGTATAGGAGGCCGTGGGCGCCGAGGGGGCGCATTAACTGGCTCACAGAGCGTAGGATAAAGAGGTAGTCGGTGATGGTCGTGAATGGAAGGGTGAGAAGAAGGTTCTTGGCCTTGGCGGCGTTGTATTTGCGGAGTACGTGGACCATTTTGTCCTGGTGCTCCTGGTTCGCGACGACAGTCCCGTCCGCGGACTCAGAAAGGAAGTCGAGGAAGCAGTCGGTAGCATGGGAGTAGTGCCGCGAGTACGGCAGCAGGGAGAATTGGCGGTGCAGGAAGATAACCGCGTACCCCGCCTCGAGAAAGTATTCGGCCGACGTGGCACCGCGAGTACCAGCGCTGAAGTTGTCGATAAAGCGCACCGTCTGGCGCTCGAGGGGAACAGTAGTGCCTCCGGAGGTTATCAAGACGACGCGGTTATTGGAAGCAGCATGGTATTCGATGAATTCTTGAGCTAGCTTGGAATGAGTCTCAAGCTGCTTTGGTGGAGGGTTGTCGGAGAAGTAGTCGTACTCGGCGCGCTGTGCAGTGTTCGAGCGAGAGATGCGCGGCCGTTGAGATGCGCCTGGGAGGGACATCGTAGACGTGGTTATATGATTGCTCTATTCGTTACAATAGAAGGGGTCGTAGCTAATGTGAAGCTTGTGGATGAGGGGCTTTCAGGAGGAAGTTGTGAGGGGGTGAGGTTGCTTGGTGGGGTTCCCTTGGCGGGGTCCGAGGCGCCGTCGCGGGGCAGCAAGGTGACAGACAGCTGCTAATAATGGCCACGTTAGCAATTAGGGGTAAATATGGCTGCAGGAGTTCAGTATTATGAGACTACGAACCTATTCTTTCATAGATATAGACTTTCTCACTGTCTGTGCTGTCGAGTAGTGCCGGCGGTGAACAGAGGAACGTGGACAAAGGTATGGTATCTGGCAGCCTCGGCTGGACTTTACGGGCCGAAGTCGAGAGCTTCGTTGATACGTCAGGGAGAAACGGATTGCGGAAAATTATCGGGCCGCATGGGGAGCAACGCCGGATGCATGTCAGAAGGCAAGAACAAGGAGGAGATAAACAGACTTCCCTAATGAGACCTGCTTTATGACCTATATACACTGGCTTGTTCTGTTGACATTCGAAAATCGTCCCTTCCCTATATGATATATTTATGTCACATCAGGAAGCGACGATGCCCTAGCTATATTATTGCTTGCCCTCCTAAATGGGAAATCTATCACGTGATCTAAACATTGGTACCACAGCCAGTCATTTGATTGACTCGAACGACCAGAATTGACTCTTTATCTGTTTATAAAATGTGCCAAACCCTTTTTGTCGTGAGCAACAGTTAAACCAGACCAGGCTGTAGCCAATTAACCTTCCTCATGTCGACGTGACCAAGAAATAACGACAGCCTCGTAATTACCTACCTTTAATCTCACGTCTGCCACTGAAGGGGCAATGGAGACATTTATATCGTCTTTATATCATTCCAATAGCTGTATATCAAGTCATTAGTGACAACCTCTAGCAATCCGGCAGATGAGTTACACATAAGGTCCCGTGTTGCTTCCCCCACCCCCCGGATACAACGGCAAAATCGGACTGGTTCCGAGTAACTAGCTGGGATCAGGAAGCGGTCTGGCCCAGTGAGAATTGCTTCATTATTGCGTTCCTTACGTTGGACCAATCCATGAATCAGTCTCCGCACTGGCTTGCACCGCCTAGTGGTTTCGTGCTGACGCCTTACAAATGTAATGTGCTATAGTTAATGTCGGTCTTCAAATTGTCTGAGCCCGGTGGCGCTAGCGGTATCGGTATCATCTTTTTACACCGAAATGAATCTCTGACTTATTTCCTTCAACAGTCATTTCTTCTCAATTTTGAACTTGAAAGGTCATATGTGATGAACTTGCAATGGCTCAAGATGAGCTCTTCCGCGTCGAGACCAACATCCTGCCGAAAGGCAAGTTGGTCGTCGTCTTCGCTGGCTTAGCTTTCTCGCTACTCATCAGTTTCATTGACCAGAATAGCATTGGTATCGCATTGCCAACAATCGGAGCCGATCTAAACTGTGCCAAGACGATTGCTTGGGCAGGTACTTCCAGTCTGATAGCAAACACCGTGTTTCAGGTTCTTTATGGCCGGTTCTCTGATATTTTTGGCCGCAAGGTCGTCTTCTTGGGAAGTGTCGGGCTTCTAGCCTTTGGCGATCTGCTTTGCAGTTTTGCGAAGACGGGGCCGCAGTTGTATGCCTTTAGAGGAATAGCAGGTATTGGAAGCGGTGGGATCGGGGCTTTGGCTATGATCATTGTCTCTGATCTCGTGACCCTTGAAGACCGTGGAAAGTGAGTTCCAATGCACACACAATACCTTGTCGCCTTGCACTGAGTCAATTGCGGGTAGCAGACTAATTTGATATACAGATATCAAGGCATCCTAGGAAGCTGTATAGGCCTTGGAAACACTATAGGACCTTTCCTTGCCGGTGCATTCGTTGAGAAATCAACATGGCGTGGCCTATTCTGGTGCATCTGCCCATTGGCTATCCTCTCAGGGATAATGGTCGCCTTCATCCTGCCCAAAAGCGTAGTCACCGGAGACCGAAAAAATAAAGTCCGCGCTATCGACTTCTATGGCATCATCTTCAGCACCAGCGCCATCCTCCTCCTTCTCATCCCAGTTTCCGGCGGCGGAACGTACTTCCTCTGGGCCTCACCCATGGTGATCTCCATGCTCTCTCTCGGCGGTGTCTGCATGGTGATCTTCATCCTTGTCGAGTGGAAAATCGCCCTCATGCCCATGATCCAGCTACGTCTCTTCCGCGAGCCTGCCCTCTTCGCTATTCTCATCCAGAATTTTTTGTTCGGCATCGTCTACTACTCTCACATGTACTACCTTCCAATCTACTACCAGAACGCGCGCCAGTACTCGCCACTCACGGCTGCTGCTCTTACTATTCCCTTCGTTGCTTCGCAGTCTATCTTCTCCATCCTAAGCGGGCAATATGTCTCGCGCTGTAAACGATACGGCGAAGTCATCTGGACGGGCTACACGCTCTGGTTCGTCGCTTCAGGCCTCATTCTCCTATTCAACCGCACAATGCCGAAGTGGCAGATCGTCATCATCCTAGTAGTTGAAGGAGCAGGTGTAGGAAACGTCTTCCAGCCCACCCTCGTCGCCGCCCAGGCTCACAGCCGCAAACACGACCGCGCCGTTGTCATCTCTCTCCGCAACTTCCTCCGCTCGCTCGGTGGCGCCATTGGCCTTGCTCTCTCAGCTTCCGTCTTCTCAAACTCGCTGACTAAGAAAATCTCGGCGTCCACTACGATCCCAATGAGCTTCCGAGACTCGATTCTGGAATCTACGTTGAGTGTTCCAAACATGAGCTCGCTAACGGAGACGCAGAGGGATGAGGTCCTGGACGCCTATCTCGCGGGTTCAAGGAGCGTGTTTATTATGTGGGTGCCGCTAATGGGGGCGTGCTTTCTGCTCTGCTTTTTGATCAAGGATAGAGGACTTACGAGGCCGGAGGAAAAAGAGGCCAGTGCGGAAAGCGGTCTTGTGACCCCCCGAGTAGAAGATAATATTGAGTTGAAAGAAGCCAATAAAGCGGCAGGGAAAGAACATGACGACCTACTTGCGGGGGCGAAGGTGTAGTAAACACCCAAGCCTAATTGCCAAATTATAGGGGAAGCCAGGCCATATCGACGCCGCAACAGCAGATAATTTGCTACGGACGTCTAGCACCCTATGATCCAGCGGAGGTGGACAGTCTCACCAGCGACTGCGATTCCTCAACCATTTTTTTTGCAAATGGTATCGAATCGGCTCGCATACCCTGCGTGCGCTGTAGTCGGGGTGATTACTCCGAAATTTGTGTCTAATTGGCATCAAAGATTGCTGGAGATAGTTTACCCCACTCGATCAAACGCCGCGAAATACCGAGTGCGGGTTACCCCGCACTGTAAGGTGATACGGCATAAGGAAACAACGTTGGAGGTGGCCAGTTATAATGTTCACTGGATACTGAACATCTTCAAGGATATTTCATTCTAATGCTGAATATAGCTTATTGGCAGCGGGGGATTATAGTTACCTTCCACTCTTTATCAGTGGGGAGCATTTGGCCTTCAATATAGACCCCTCTAGTCCTCTTGCTATAAACCTCAATATTTTCATATTTAACGGTAGATAGATAAACTAGAAAGGTTATGCTTTGCATTTACAAAAATATCCAGATATATTTGCTATCTTGTCATGGTTTGGACGTTGGAAATTCAAATCAAAATGCGGAGTGGAACGGATAGGTTGTCAAACATTACGTACAAATAAAACTACAAAGCAAACTCTCTTCAAATACAGATACATTATGCATTGTTCTATATACAATTGATCGACAAAGTCAGTTGAAAGGACTTCTGCGGGTTCAACGCCTCGAGTCTAACACACTTGGCATCGGTCTGACTCACTACCATCGCCGGCCTATAATTGACGCCGACAACCTCATCGTACATAACAAAACCCACCAACCACGACAAGACAACCATGGAGTCCCCCAAACCCACCAGACAAATCACTTCCGTTGGCACCGTTGAGCTCTACAACCGCTGGGCGAAAGTATGGTCTACCCCCCCTTCCCCCCCCACCAATGCTCCCTTACACTCAACCCCAACACTAACAAATCCCCTAGGTCTACGACACCGACGGCAACATCCTCCAGACAACCGACGACCTCTGCCTACCCCCTCTCCTCACTCACTTCCTCTCTCTCCTCCCCTCCAGAAATGCCAAAATCACCGAGCTAGGCTGCGGCACCGGCCGTAACACCGCTAAGCTCCTACTCCCCCTTTCCAGCACCAACATATCATCCGTCCAGGCCCTCGATCTCTCTCTTTCCATGCTCGACATCGCACGGCAGCGCTGCTCTGTCATCACTACTGGTAGCACCGCGCCCATTCTCTCCACGGGATTCCACGTCTTCGACGCGCTATCAGGCGCGGGGCCGCCGGTGGAGGCTTGCGGTGCGGAGGGCGTGTTATCAACGCTTGTGCTTGAGCATTTACCCCTTATCGTATTTTTCGAGTCTGTAAAGAAACTTCTCAAGAAGGAGGGAGGGTACTTGTTGGTAACTAATATGCATGAGGAGATGGGGAGGAGGGGCCAGGCGGGGTTTGTGGATGTGGAGAGTGGGGAGAAGGTTAGAGGGGTGAGTTTTGTTTATAGTATTGAGGAGGTGGTCGAGGAGGGGAGGAAGTTGGGTTTTGAGGTTGTGGGGGAGGTGGGAGAGAGGGCTGTAGCTGAGGAGGATTTGGAGGTGTTGGGGGATAGAGGGAGGAAATGGGTAGGTTGTAAGGTATGGTTTGGAGGAGTGTTTAGGTATGTGGGTGGAAAGGGGGAGTAAGCGTGCCACGGTGCGTTATGGGTTGAGGGTGTAGATGAAGTATAATAGAGGTGTTAAGACAACTGCATATTCAAGACTGAAGCTGTTCACTCTCGAAATATGTAATCGACTTTGAATGTCTTGATATTACCTCAGGCTCTGCTAATTTCTACCTAGAAATAGGAAATCCCATATCCACATTGCTCCATTTATCCATCTGATACATACTATATCTGCCAATATATTCATCCAGCATATAAGAGGTCTAGAGAACGACTCCAACCCGACCACTGATTATAAAATCTCTCGATCAGATCCAAAAGCTCACCCTGTCTATTAACCATTCATCCAGCGAAGAAACGATGAAACGATATCATCTTGTCTCTCTACTCCCCCTTAGCTTTAAGCTCCATGGAATCCGGATTGGCAATATCATCCATCCCATTTTCGCTCTTCTCGATATCAGAGGCCCATAGCGCGGCGCCAACTATGAAGTGATTAGCGTTTTTTACTTTGAGAACTAAGTTAAGAACTCACCTGTGTTTGTGAACGAGAAGAAAATCGACGCAATTGGGACCATCTCCAGCAGCGAAGCAACAATGCCGAACCTTCAAAACAGTCAGCTGAAAATCCATATCCGCGTGGGGGGTAACTACTCACGCAGTGTAAGGGCCGGCGTTATCTTGCACAAACTTATTCTGGCTGGAAGCACTCATCTTCTTGAGTTGGAAATACTATCACATATTAGCAATTGACCTGGAAACCCCAAGAATCCAATGGACTGCTCTTACGCGTGAGTGTGCATCTGGACAAGTGCGTTAGTACTATTCACATCCCTAATGGCGATTTCGACTTACATGTTCCGCGGCCTCTGCCCTGTAGGATTAGGAACGTGATTGTTCCCACTACTGGAATGAAGTTGAGCGGTAGATACATGACGTATCTGCGTCTATTAGCTTCTGCCTCAATCCTTACAAAAGTGAAAATCGCACCTGATAATTGCCTTCGGCGTAAAGTTGTGGAACGGGTTTTTAATGGTAGCACCAAGCTTCGGGCCCGTCAGCATGCATACATAGCGAGAAAGAGGGGCCTGTTAATACATACCCGGCTGATCGGATCGGTGCTCTTGTTGAGTTTACGTCCACCAGACACCAATACATCCTCGTTCTTGGTCAAGAGGACGGCATCGAAGGTGTCGTCAAGAGCTTCGCGGATCAGGAATGACCTGGCGAGCATGTTGATGATAGTCGAGCTCTCGCTGAGGATGAGCAAGATCGCTGAGAACGGAGCCAGTGGTCCGCTGGTAAAGAATAGAATCGTGACTGGGTACTGTTAGAATACACCGGAGGTAAAATATTGGGCAAGTATCACATACCTTGGGGGATATAGGTGAAGATGAACATGAAGGACACCACGGAAACCGACAAGGTCAAGGTGGAGAGGAGACGGGAGGTAAATGGCTTCCTGCATCGGTATGCATCAGTACTGGTAATTAACACATGCTCGTGCAACCTACCATAGATTTCGGTGATACACGAAGTAAAAAATACCCTGCGAACAGTCAGATTGGCCCAATGACACTGCGGCTAGTCACTCACCTTGATGGGGTACCAGAACGAGCCAGAGCTGGCCGTCTTGAAAGCAAGTTCCTTAGCCCTCGAGATATCCTCCGCCCTGTTAAAATATAAGTATCAAATGCATTCCATTCCAAACCAGTGCATTGAACATACGCGATCTCCTTGGCCTTGGCCGTTGACCTCTCCACAAAAGACATATTTGCAGCTTATAATATTCTGAAGCTTGGTAAATTGTCAACGCGTCTGTGTGTTTCAGGCCGGAGAATTTATGAACTTTATATAGTGTGAAGAAAGTTGAGCTCGCTGCAGATCACACGGTGCCATCACCTGTGCGCATAGGCCTATACGTCATGGGTTGGGCTAGAATAACCATGGCCATAGGGCATCGGTGCGACTATTCGCCGGCAACCCTCCTTGAAAAAGTGCGGTTCAGGGACACCCTTGATACCATCATCGTGATAGCGCCACGGCTTGGAGATTGCTGGGATGAAAGTGAGCATGTGCGCAAAAGAGAAATCCAACGAAGAAAGAGTATTGTACAAGTATGTGCTTTGTATTTGTATAATATCATAAACACAGTGACGTGACAGGCACTTCGGACTATGTATACAGTCTAAATGAATTATCTCATCATCCCCAGTAGTATCCAAAATAAACTCCTAGCCAAAATGAGACCCGTCCAACTTCTCGGAATATCGCAAAATTATAAATCGGTATCCAAGTCACCCTTCTCCCCCATCACTCCAGCGACATTTACGGGTCATACTTCGTCATCTCCTCGCACTTGTAATCCGGCAGACTCTCCGTGTGATTCCACCACTCCCACCCCTTCGGATCCCCCATCCCATTCCCGCGACTAATCTTCGCCTCAAACTGCTCCCTGCTCTTCGACGCAAAATGGTGCACCGAGATGCGATCCCTCGTAATCGGCACGCGCCATGCGAAGCGGTCCACGTTATCGCCGTTTTCGCCCACCGTACGCGCCCCGTCCTTGAGCTCGAACTTATGAGGGTTGAGCGGCCTGTTGTACGACTTCGTCTTGACAATCGTCTTGATGTGCTCGTTCTCCTTGCCGAATCCCGGGTCGTGGCCAGGGTTGTCGTAGTTCTCGATGCAGGTCACGAAGGACTTGCGCGAGGAGGCGGGTCGCTTCAAGAGGCCAGACGAGGTGTGGATCTGCCAGTTGATGGCGAGCGCGCCGATCTTCTCGTCGCTGTCGAGCTCCTTGAGCATGCCGTGCAGAGTGTCCTTGCCGCGAGTTTCAAGGAACTCGTCGGCATCGAGAAAGGCCATCCACTTATGCTTGTGTCCGAAGAGCGCGATGCACTCATCGTAGGCGACGAGTTGTTGGTGCTTAAATAGGCGAGTCGCGGGGTGGTAGTAGCGGTGGGTAATGGCCTTCGGGTCGACCGCGCTGCTGAAGTTCAGCGTGGCAAGCACTGGCGTGGACCCGTCATCCATCAGATAGAATCGTCGGACATTATGGTGGTGGTAGTGGTGCGTCAACCACTCGAGGAGATCGAGGTACTGGTCCTTGACCGAAACGCAGATCGCGAGATATTCGTCTTTATCGCCCGAGTCGAAAGGCGCGGGTGTAAATGTTGTTTCGGGCGCTGCTGGCGCTGTCGGTTCTGCTGGGGTTTCCTTATTCGCGCCAGCCACCGCGGCCGCTCCAGCATCCGCATAAAACTCGCCGCCGCTCGGTTTGGCATCCGCAGGCTTCGTAGCAGATGTAGGTTTGGGGTCAGCCGGCTTGCTGTCTCCCGCCACCAACGGCGCAGGGGGTTTCGCCAATTCGGGGGCCGTCTTCCCAACATCTACGGGCGCATTGCCTTCGGGCACCTTAGCCGGCTCGCTGACGGCGCTATGCTCTTTGTCGGGGACATTGTAGGACGAATATGAATTCCGTAGCGTGTCGTCGATAAAGATGAAGTGAAGCGCTGTCAACACGACGAGTACGAGGACCACGTTGCGCCAGCGTATCGTGCTAATCATGTCTCCCAATTTTGCCATCACGCCAAGACAGCTGTCATGAGGGGCTTGACCGGCGAAGGGGCGAAGCGTGTGTTGTATGTGCTATATGTGCTGTATGTGCTGTATGTGTCGTATATGCTGTATATGGTATATGTCGTGTATATATAGTCGCTGTCTTGAATGGAAAAGCAATGAAAACGCGACAAAAAGGAGAACTTGAGGGGATTGTGAGGAATCGAGGGATAGTCGAAGGTGGAAATGAATTTGGCTATCAACCCCTGCAAGGCTGGTGGGTTGGTCGTCTGGTGGTTGTGTGTCCCCTTAAAGGTGCGTACCAAAGTCCCAGTTCAGTCCCCATGGTGGGTGAGTGTAGTAGTGACCTGGTACTTCGTACACTGGGTGGCGGTTAATCAGCGCTAAGAGCAATAACCATGTGGACTCTAATCAGATCCAATGAATATCCAAACCCGTCAAGTGAATCGTCATGGCTGCCTACATAGGTTACGTAGAAATTTACTTTGTGTTTGAGACACAAAAAATGCTTGGTTAATGCGTGATACCTAAACTATTTGTGGGTATGCTGTTCTGTAGATTGGCCTACTATTATGCAGCTTTGTCATCGGAGTACAGGAAAGAGCATCCTCCCAGGGGCAGTGTAGGCCTTTTATGTGGAGTCGAACGGTCTTGATCGCAAAGAATTCTCATTTTATGGATCGATCAACGTTGCGGATAATAGGATTAACAGATAAAAAACAAATAGGGTCATCAAATGGATCATTAATGCTGGAGATGTATTACTTGGTGATGGATTACTAAGGTTCGCATGACACCACTGAGCGGAAAGTTACAAAACATGACGCCTCCCAAAAGACTCCCCTTCCGATGCCAACCAGAACAGCCTCCTCTTCGATGTAGGTACAATCAAGAACAACGCCAGACACTCATTACCGATCATAACGCAGAGGATCTACCTCGTGCGATCTTCTTCTGACGATGGGGGCGACGACGATATCCCAAGCCGCGCCGCAATACTAGAGAGCCAGCTGCCATTCGTACCCGAGCTTCGCGCAGGCGACGCGATGGGAGAAGCGACACCACGTTCAACGTCAGCGTCGGCTGTAGCTCCCGGAGAAATTGGACGACCTGCGGCAGGAGACTCATTCAAAGTGTTTACCACTTGAGACTGCAGGTCGTCCTCATCCTCGTCGCTATCGTCACGGTAAGGCTCGTACCGCGGGGTAGAGCTAGAGGATCCACCTCGAGCTAGCGATCGAACGACATCGCCTTTGCAGATTGGGCATGTCCGGCGGCGCGTAGTGAGCCATGGGGTACTAGTTGTCGTTAGCTTCAAAACTCGAGTTGCGTGGAGGGAGGAAAAAGACTCACATGCACTCGACGTGGAATTCGTGGCCGCAAGGGAGACTCATAACCCTGCTTACGCCATCCACGTATTCTTCAAGGCACACCACGCACTCAATCTGCCTACCCATATATTTTTTCCAGTCGCCCTTCTTCTCGTGCTCATTTGCGCGGCGTGGCTTGGGCGTTTCCAACTCGTCTGAATTCGTTGGAGATAAGCTTATCGGTTCAGGGGGAGTAGAGGTTGTTCTAGAGCGCGGCCGGGGAGTTGAAGGAGATCGTTGGAGCAGAGGAGTTGTCGGAGACGAACTTGAAGGTGAAGGTTGCCGTGACTGGTTGCTGGAAGTTGTAGGGATCGTCCGATACGTGCGTACTGGGAGCCTCTCGACCACAGACTTGGGAGCGCGCCATCGGCGCTGTCGAATCCGCGATCTGACGAGCAGAAGGGTGTAGACTACCGTCAGGGTAACGAGTGGACTAACAACTAGCACTAGTAGAGTATCGAAGAATGGAGTGGCCCCGCTAGTTTGGGTCAAAGTTACCCATAGGCCCTCATGTCCATTGTCGTCGTCAGGTCCACGGTCGTCATCTTCGCTTTCCATGCCGGTTCCTTTGATGCCATTTTCATCACCGTCGCCGAATAGCTTGGAAGATAAGTCGGATTTTTCGGCACTGAGATTTTCGGTCTTGCGGTCGGAATTTGACTTTCTCTCTTCGTTGTTGGCAGGAGTATACAACCTTTCAATGGGAGACTTGTTTTTAACTTTGCCAGAACTTCCTTGTGCTTCTTCACATGGTTTCGAGTTATCGGTGCCAGCGTTTTTGATGAAGTCGGGATCCCTCCAGTCATCAACACCAACGAATTCGTCCTTGGGAGTGGCTCTCGCGGCTACTTTGCCCTTGCGCTCTGCCTTTGAATCTGTCATGGGGATTTTCTGGTCATCCCACTCATCAACTACGACCCAATCCAAAACATCTTTCTTGGCCGGCTGAGTTGGCTTAGAGCTCCAAATCAGACGCCCGAGCCAAGAGTCACGTCGCGACTGTGCCAAGGCGGGGGGCTCAGTCAACATTTTTGAGGAGACAGTATAACCCTTTGGCACCGCACCAGTCGATGCCTTTCGAGACTTGCGCTGTTTCGATCCTTTCTTCTCCTTACGCTTTGGTTTCTTGGAGTGTTTAACCTTGAGCATTGAATTCCCGTCGTCGTTGGTTGCATCCTCGATATATGTACCGGGGGGAATCAAAGACGATAAAAGATGGGCCGTGGTATGCGATGTAAATACAGACGGTATCGTAACGTTTGATGTGTCGCCGCGTGCATACATTTGGATTAATGGACCTCCACGGGTGTCATCCGCCACAATAACAGCAATACCACCCCTTCGCTGTGCCCATTCGACCTTCTCGAGGAAACCACAGCCGCCTCTGCTCAGCATGACGACCTTTCCTGCAATTTCAGCGCTTTCTTGAATAGATTGTATATCAGCGTGACTGGCGCCGGAGTTCGTGCTGCTCTTGAGTGGCCAGCCAGAGACCATCCGCCGGTCGACCGTGGCGTCAGACGCCGCGTTATAACGGTTGTCGTCAGTTCCATCGTCCGCTGCGGCACTTGCTACCGCGTTCCTTCTGTGTCTGTTATGTGGTGTGGTAGATGTTAACAGGTTGTCGAGGGGTTGCGCGACAATATTATTTCCGTCGGGCATGACGTCGCTGCAACCCAGCTCGCCTTCCCCGCCCGTTGATATGATGCCATGTCGAAGGCTGTCGTCGCCAAACCCACTTCCGACCCAGAGCTGCCCGCTCAAGCCTGTAGTTGGTAGAGGAGGTCCAAATGCTGCAGGTCGAGCAAGGAAAGAAGTCGTATTGTCGTCGGTCAAGCTAATGATAGCATTCGGTGGGAAGAGCGAAAGTGGCGAGTTGAACGAGAAGGTGCTCAGCACCCCGCTACTATCCGCCTTCGCCTGGTTTTCGGTATGTTCGATCGGTTTAGAAGAGGATTGTAAGGATAATACCAGAAGCGTGAAAGAGGCGAGGACGAAGGTAAGGAGAAGGAAGACCCTGGGAGTCCTCATGATGGTGGTGATGTAGTAGCCACGAGGCTGCGGAGCCGGCCGTTCAGCTCTCAGGCTGTATAGTGCGCGAATGAGACAGCATCCAGCTCAAGGGTATCGTTGATATTGTCGAAAATATAAAACGCGGGAGTATCGTATTCTAATCGTAATATGTAGGAGAGGTAGAGGTATGAAGCAGTACAATATGAATGTGGTGGGTGGAAGTGGGAGGGTTATCAAGGTTGACGAAGCCTTGTGTTCATAGATACGTAGTGTGGCTTGAGTGGACGGGGAGAAGTGTGGCTGGTGTGATGAATCAACGAGTCGCCACACACAACACAGGAAACCCACAAAATGCTGAAGACGACTATAAGACGACTATATCATTAACTCATATCGTTTCGTGTATTACCTAGCTCTGAAGCAGTAATCGAACAATAACTATCCTAATAATTTGTACTTCTAGGCCATTCTCCTCATCCAGTGGGTCATAATTCTCTAAAGTCCATCTCTCCTGGTGCTTCAATCTGCTGCCAACTCCAAGTATTCCAGCACTCCCGACGCGCTTTACTCTTTACCAACACGAGATATATCTCCCAATCTGGGCGGTAGTGGGACTAAGAAAGCTAAACCATTGAAGAGACCTACGATAGCGGTCAAATATGCGTTCTTGCGGGTGCTCTCGCTCGACACGTGACTGTTATAGATTGATATTAAAATTGAAGTTGGTAGGTTTATTTATTTAATATTTTTTAATATTAACTTCTTAGCAACTGATTTTGCGTGTTAACAGGCAATTTCATAATAGTCACAGGCCTTATGAATCAAAGCCCCGATTATATTATAAATTTCCACAGCCACTTCGTCAGACATATTATGGACGGCGCAAGTATCAGGCAACAGAGTCACCTTGGAGATCTGATGAATGACAGGTTACCACCAACTCCACTTCTTAAACTCGCGGAGTTTAACCCATAGAAGACCAATTAAACACTAGATCATCCTTCTCTTTCTTCTTCCTCATAAACCTCGCCCTATTTGGATTTCTTCCTGGTAGCATATCTGACTATCACTGCCCATTTCGGCCGCGTACGAACGGTTGCTATGTGCCGCCATCGCACTGTGTTAAATCCTTCAACCATCAGAAGACAAGACAAGCTTTAAATCTCCATGTTTTGGAATTAATCCTATTTGCCTATTCTACAAAAGTGCCGAGTCATCCAATCATGTTCTCGGAACCACCTTGGTTCCCAAGATTGCGAGGCGGTGTCGTCGCGGATTGATAGCACGGCCCGGTCTCCGCAACGAAAAGGGAGAAGATCGCTCTTGACTGCAATATATTTTGTCCTCTTTAAACAGGTTTCGGGCAGCAATTATATCACGCGCATAGTAAAATAAAGAGCTTTAGGATCATAGGAAGTATGCCGACAAGTGTCGACTGTGGGGAATTGAAAGGGGTTCTGGCCATGGGGCGTATATAAAAGTGAGAAACCTCCCACTGGTCTGCTGTGCTTCAGAGACAGATTGCATCAATAACGCAGCAGATAATATCAAAATCCACAAAGATTATATCAAAATGATTGTCCCTAGCCTGTTTACCGTTGCAGCTCTGCTGGCTGCGAAAGCTGCCGCTCATGGTGCAGTTACCAGCTATGTAATCGATGGCGTGGCCTATCCAGGTTACCAAGGCTTCAGCCCAGCAAATGGGCCACCGACTATTGAACGACAGTGGTCAGACTACAACCCCGTGCTGTCAGTTTCCGATTCAAAGATGCGATGCAATGGTGGAACATCCGCACCGCTCTCAGCCCCGGTCAAGGCCGGCGGAAAGGTTAGAGCTCTCTGGTCGCAGTGGACACACGCACAGGGACCCGTCATGGTTTGGCTATTCAAGTGTGCCGGCGATTTCGCCTCCTGTGATGGGTCAGGGGCTGGCTGGTTCAAGATCGATCAGATGGGCATGACCGCACCACCTCTAACCGGAACGAGCTGGGGAACTGCCGTAGTAATGGCCCAGCTGTACTGGGAGAGCACTATCCCAGCCGCAATCGCAAACGGAAACTACCTCATTAGACACGAGCTGCTGGCTCTTCATCAGTCGAATACTCCGCAGTTCTACCCTGAGTGTGCGCAAATTGTCATCTCCGGAGGTGGTGGAAAGTCACCAGATGCAAGTTACCTGACTGCGATTCCGAGCTACGCCAGCGCGAGTGACCCGGGCGTCAACGTGAGTAACACCGAGCTATGATCTGTAAGCCTTACTGACCGTGTGTTATAGATTGATATTTACTCCAGCACCGCAACCACCTATACCTGCCCGGGTCCCGCCGTCTGGGCCCCATAGTACCTTCGAGATGAATGCTTTGCGCTGTGGTTTGGGACCAAGAATCATTGCGATACGATGTTCGAAGAAATACGACTTTTGGTCGTATTTCGGCGAAAGGTGTGACAGTTGGCGGCAAATAGGGTAGTTGCATGTGTTATTGTATATAGCAAACAAATAAGTCATTGATTCAAATCTACACGGTGATTATATTTCGACGGCCTTATTCTTCAGCTTTCGCCTTTTATAGCTTCTTCTAGAAGTTGTATCACTTGCTGTAGCGGGAGTAGCTTCTGAGATTTGTCAAACCTACTGAGGTCTAGACAGTGTAGTTAAAATCGTGAGGCTGAGGAATGGCGCTCGACCTGTCTGTATCACAACCCCAAGGAAACCCTCCAATACAGGAAGATGAGTGATATAGGAACCAGAAACCAGCATCAGCTGTCTGTACCACTGACCCGAGGAGACTACCCGGTGCGGGAAGGTGAATCATACAGATCCTACGGTCATCGCCAACCTTGAGCCACAATGAAGGCACAGGACGAACCTCCCCGGTATATGGCACATTATGGCCGGCGGGAAGGTTAGCGATGAACCTGTGCATCGTTTCTAACATGAGGAGACGACGCCTTACGCACTGTTGATAGACCACCCATGGTCAGCGCTTCAAAATCCTAGTAATTCCGCATAGACTGTGGCTTGTTAGCAGTCAATAAGCGCCTCGGGCGAGAGACGAATCCGTCACGAGAGTGGGCCCTTCATATTCCAATATTCCGATATTTCAATATGTTGTGCGATTCAGGCTGTTTCGTTTTGGCCAGGCTTGAGACGTGGTCAATTGCCGTCCGGGTGTTGTTTGGGAGAACGCAACCAATACGAAACGGGAAAACGCCTGGGCTCTTCTCAGCCCCCGCAATCCGCTAGCGAGCAATCTAAACCGGACGTCACGTCTGCTTTGCCCAGGCCTTCTTGCTAAATACAGCGGCACTCTGCACTTTAGAGGTGATATATTCCTCAGAAGAATACCTTCGCATTCAGAAGTCCCATGACTTTTTGGTCCCTGCTCTATATCAATACCGATACGCTGATAAACTGACACGAAACGGAACCCTGGCTGTCTTTCCCGTCTTATTACATTGCACATTAGCCACCAGCTTGCCTACAATTTTACAAATGGAACTCCTGGCCGCGAAACTGGCATGATAGCGGTTGCTTGTGTCATCATACGAAGCTGAGGGTATAATTTGGAATCCATCGGCCTAAAACGCACGCGATATCTTCATGGTTACTCGAGTTATGTTACCATCGCCGGCTCCCATGCGTTTATCCATCTTGCACAAAGCCGGCCGGATCCAGTCACTCTGCATACCAACCCCTCTCCGCTTCGGTATACTGTCATATCGGATGGAATCAATATTGATAGGCTGGTGGTCCACTGGGGTTTTTACTATGCGTCAGAAGTTCAGGCAAAACCGTAGCAGGTACCATCAATATAGCGCCTTGAGTGTGGCATAGCATCTCAGCTTCAATTCCATCCAATGGAGGGATTGCAGCCTTATAGCTTAATTTGGATGCATGGATGTTGACCTCTCTCAGGTACCAGAATGACGGTAGCACAGAGGGGACAATACTCTGAACTCTCAACAGCCTGTCGTTGAGCTTTCGCGCATCCCACTAGCGACGGCAGTTATTGACAGGGGACCTATACAATGGCGGTCGCAGGTTCATGGTGATTATGGATCAAGGAACACAGACGTTTCTTCCAGATAGACCCGAATACCTTCATCGTGATAGGGGTTTGAAACCTTTTAGTGACAGCTTCAACCATGGTTCTCGGTAATTTAACTGATCGACATGATCGTCCTAACAGCCAACAAAGGGTGCCGAGAATTTATTTGAGGCTCCTATTATCGGTTAAGCCTCAACAAGAACCGTAAGAACTGGCGAACGGCAAGTCAAGCTACATTTCTCTAGTTACAATTGAATCAATCGAACAAGGCGCCATGTGGCGGCGATGCTTCCACGATGATATTACCATACTAGAAGTCATGCCGTCTTCTATTTCCTACAATGATTAAACACATGTCTATTCCTTCCTTTGAATTCTACAACATAAACACGAGCGCGGTTACCTCGGTGCGGGGCTGAATGCATGTCGTACAAGCATACCCTTACACCCAGCTGCGATCGGAGATACTGGGTGTTCGCATATGATACGACCGGGTCTTCGCGATTTGCCCTGAATGTGGCTTATACTCAGCTAATATACGAAGGATGCACTTCCCCTCTCATTCAATTTCTGTCTTTGCATTATCGGTCACAAGCCTTCCCAGAGTTACTCGCATACACCCCGCATTTGGCCGACAAGGCCGGTGGCCCGGGTTCGTGCTACCTCCTAAGCTAATACCTTGTACTATGTTTGCTTTCTTTTCAAAACAGCTCATCATAGTGCTCTAGGCCGCTCTAGCAATCACAAATACCTGCAATATGTGGCTGTAAATGGCGGGGATATTGCCAATCCGCTGAGAATCATCCCATTCTATCTTATCATGCGCCGACGGACAGAAGCCAATGGTCAGCGTTTGGTCATACGGCCACTCCTGGCATATGTCTATTATATTGCAATAGTCATAACATCCCGTCCTATGATATGGGCTGCAGGAGAATACGACCCGAAAGTAACGGCGGGAGAATTATGTACGCATGCCGCGGGGGGCTATAGCTGCGGGGAGCTCAAAGCTCCCCCTCCATGCGTGGATCCACGTCGTGAACAAGGAGCAGTTTCCTACCGCAAGCTACCGTGATAGATTGCACGACGGCGATCATTGGTGCTATCGATCAGAGGGTCATACTCCGTGATATTGATTACGGCTATTGGGCTCCGTGATATTACTGCGCTGAAGTGGGCAACCCTTCAAACCAAAATCTATATAAGGATCTCAAACCCCCCGGGCCCCTTATCATCCGCTCAAACACAAACACTTCTTTCACTATCCAGATCCATTATCATTATTATTTCCAACACAGATCACTCCCATCAATCAATATGCTTTCCATCGTATCCCTCTTGGCCTGCGTCGCCGCCGTCGCCGCCGTCCCAAACCCTGCTCTTGGCGTTCCTGTTGCCACTGGCACGAGCAGCTCCGTCCGTCCTAACCCATCCCAGGTTTACATCAACAGTATTTCCTACGGTGGAACTGGATGCCCACAAGGCTCTGTGGGATCCTTCATCTCAGATGATAGACAGACGTGGGTGTCCAAAGGCGCCATTGTAGTAGTTGATGCTTACCCGCCTTCAAGGTTCACCCTCATTTTCGACTCTTACGTTGCATCCATCGGCCCCACTGTTGCCGCCACCGAGAATCGCAAGAACTGCCAGCTGAACTTGGACCTCCAGTACCCGTCTGGCTTCCAGTACAGCATCTTCACAACGCAGTTCCGTGGTTACGCCGCTCTTGACAAGGGCGTGCAGGGCACACAGAAGGCCACCTATTACTTCTCTGGCCAGGCTGCGCAGGTGTCCAGTTCTACCGTCTTTGATGGCCCCATCTCAACTGATTACTCCGTCTCTGATAGTGTCCCATTCACCTCTACCATCTGGTCTCCTTGCGGACAAGCTCTCCCACTTAACATCAACTCCCAGGTCCGCTTGACTAGCAGTGTTTCTGGCGCGACCGGTCTCCTCACAGATGACTCTATTGATGGCCACATCACCTATGTTGTTGGCATCCAGTGGCAGGCTTGTGAGTACCCTTCCTGTAGCTACAAGCACATGGAGCGGTATAGCGTCGCGCTCCATTGTTGATATTGGAGATTATGTGTGCATGCGCTAACTATGAGCAGGCACAAAGTAGATTTAAACAATCTTCGAGACGAGGCAAGCACTTTCGTCGATTCTAAAGCTGCTCGTTCCTGGAAATTTGACCTGCGGACTTTGGTGTGGATCAAGTTTGATGAATTGGTGGACTGTTGGATGGGAAGTATTGGCCAATAGTGACGAGTGAGTGGATGTTGGTAGTTGGTAGCTCGTATACTGTCAGATCAAATATCTTGTCTGCAAACTATTTTTCAGCTAAATGTGACTGCTTTGACCGCAAAGCTTGTGACATCCCTATCTTTATTCTCTGGCTTTGGTTTGAACAATAATAGCATATCAGATGGTTGCTCAATAAAGACTGTCTCACGGGAAAGGTATGGTTAACCCGTTGCCTAGATTCAGCTAGTTGAATGTGCCAGTCCGCGCAACAATATCTTCAAGAGTTAGGTTGATAAAACCTGGAAACTTTCGCAGTGTGACTCCTCTATCTTTATTCCTTACTGCTGTACCGACCATATAGTTGCGACCCAATGCCCGGAGCTCCATCGTGACATTCTCGACGTGTTCGCCCTTGAAGTAAATCTCAAACTCCTTCGTTGTATCGCCGAGGAGAAGGTCAGAGTCATCGTGGGGGGCTTCTTTATTTGCTGTAGGGACTGTGAATTTTCGAAACTCTAGGTCTCGTAGCCATGGGGCTAAGAGGGCCTCTCCGGTCATTTTAATATACGCTTCCCTGAGGCACCAGAAAGCGAAGAAGCGTCGCAGCTTCGCGTCGATGATGATATCGGCATCTAATTTCTGAAGAGCGCCAGAATTGGTGGTCCAGGAAACTGACTCATCGCGCCGCTGGCAGTTCGCGATACCATCCAGTGCTTTCCCTCCCACGTCGATTTGCAGTGGTAGAGATAGATTCTCGGCGTTGTACTTCATGTAGTGAACTTCGTGCGGAGAGAAGACATCGGAATGCATGTCAATCCATGTAAAAAGGCCATCCTTGCGAATGGTAGCATTATCCGAGCGCTCGTTAACACAGACGACATCGATTCCAACCTCGACTTCAGGGTTAGCGCAGGCGATCAAGGGGACTAGGCCTGCTTGGTGGGAAACGTTGAACTCCAGTGCCTTTCCTACGCCATTACTGGGATAGAAGCACGGTTTTCCATTTTCATCCCTGGAGACAGTAGATAGAGCCCATGGGACGCTTCCTAGCTCATGGATAACCAGATGCTTCAGCAAATGCGACGCTAGACTCATCTTGGCATCCCGAACGAACCAGTACTTCAAAACCCCTTTCTTTTCCTGGGGCGGCAAAATCGCCAGAGCATCGGCTGCCTACAACTTGATCAGTACAATATGAGGTGATGTTTGGGGTATACTTACCACTCGCTCAAATGCCTGCATCTGTTCCTTCGCGCCTAGGGATCCGGGAACAACCCAGAGTTTCCGCGTGTCGACTATCCATTGGAGAAATTTAATTTCTGAGCTTGCCATTTCAAAAACAAGAACTAAACGGCAATAACTCCAGTTGCGAGTTCAGAATAACTAGATGCCCAAGATTTTTGACGTTGTCCAACGGAGTTGCTTCAGCTTTGCTGGAGTTTGGGATACTCGGGGGAATATTATTCCGGCCGATATGTATCCCCCTGTGCTGTTTGTACATACAACAAACATGGAGTTATCTTCAACTTTGAACCCAATAAATATCAATAAAGTAAGTCACGTTTCTAAGATCTAATTAGCCCGAGGGTATATTATATGGCATAATCGATAGTCATAATCTCCAAAAAGTTAAGTGCGGCTACGTGATTAGTCCTTGGACTCGATTTACTACCAATGATATCTACTGGAATTCATGCTGTTTACTTTGCAACACTTTTTACGGTCGATATTTTTCCTTATTCATTATAATATGTTCTTTGTTTTATTATATTTGTGTTGCTTGTTCTTAGTTGTTGTGTCCTATATCTGAGTACTCTAGAGATATCCTGTTACTAACTCCACCGGGAACGTCATCCATCAGCACTGGCATGACAATGACGACTTCCGACGAGGAGCACGAATCCGGGTTTGTTAAGAAGATTTCTTTTTTTTGGCTTCAAAATCTTAGTACATGGATTTGTTAATGTACCAATGTCTTGCCGATAGCTAATAATCCTCTTTCTCCTGCCTCCCGTATCCTCCACGCACCTTGAACAAGCTCACGACGGTGTTCTTACGTCTACATACAGCCTAGGCCAACAGAGATGGCTCCAATACGCCGATTCCTTATCACTGACGAGATTGGCAAACAAGGCGGTGCCGTTGTGAATTCCTTGGTTGAGTACCGTTCCAAGCTCCCATCGGACCAAAAATTTGAGATCTTATGTCTCACGCCCAACGCCACTTCCGAAAAGGCCGTCTCTCTTGCCTCTACTGACGGCGTGACAATCGTCGTTGGCAACCTCTTCTTCCCCCTCTCCGCTTTAGACAAAGCCGTGCCTATCGATGCCGTCTTCTGCATGACCTGCCCCAGCGATCTTGGCGACGAAGAAAAGCAAGCCACTGCCCTCATCGACGCCTGCCTTACCCATGAAGTCAAGCACTTCGTCTTCAGAAGCGTGGACCGTGGTGGTGTAGAGCTCAGCGAAACGAATCCCACGGATATCCCAAATTTTAGAAGTAAGCACAATGTCGAGAAATACCTAAAGGAGAAATGCGCGGAGTCGCAGATGACCTGGACCATCCTCCGGCCTGTGGCCTTCATGGATAACATGATGCCAAACATGACAGGAAAAGCATTCGCAGCCATTTGGGCGCAGATCGGTGAGAAGCCGTTGCAGCTCGTGTCAGCAAGGGATATTGGGCATTTTGGTGCCCTGGCGCTGGTGAATCCGGAGGAGTATGTGGGACGCGCGGTTGGGCTAGCGGGGGATGAGCTGAATTTTGAGAAGGCTCAAAGGGTGTTTAGAGAGACAATAGGATATGAGATGCCGCGGACATGGGCATTTGTGGCGAGTTTAATCAAGTTTGCGATACCAGAGATGGGCTTGATGTTTAAGTGGTTACAGGAAGAGGGGTACGCAGTTGATATCAACGAGTTAAGGGAGGAGTATCCGGAGCTGCAGGACTTTGGAACTTGGTTGAGGGATGATAGTCAGCATGAGCTAGGTCTTCCATCTTAGTAGCAGGTGGAGGCTTTGAGGCGTATTGAGTTCGGAATGAAATTGCTGGCGTTGAGAACATATTCGTCGGCCTGAAATTTATACTCCCAATACCTGATGTTAATATATCCATCAAACATGGATAAAGCGAAAATAACGGGCTACGCCCATCCACTTAAAAGTGGCTGGGTTTCGCTGAAGCCACACCACTTCACGGCAAAAGGGGGCTGCGAGAATTGGTTTATGGACCAGCTGAAAGCTACTGAATTTATGGATATCTGCAACAATTATGTATTGATTCTATACAGCTTTTCCAGTGGTGTTGTCTATCGTCATCATTTTTGTTCACCACCACTCCATCTTCTCCCTACCGATATCCTACTGTCAGCTTTCTCCTGTTGCTGTTGCTGCATTCTTCTCGCCGAGATCTAATCTGCCACCGGAAGGATATTCTCACTGATATGAACCTCCGTGTCACCATACTTTCACATGTCCCCCACCCTCCGTCCAGTAACAGCTACGTTTAATTTATCTGTTAGCAAACTCACATGACATGTAGGCGATGGCGAAGAAGGAAATCCAACAAAATTTGACCAAGGAAAGAGAGTGAGACGTCGTATATTGTAATGTTCATTTCTAACGTATATGCACAAATCGAAAAAATACTTAATAATAGAATGCTACGGCTTCCCCAAATATCCAAATTTATTCAAAATATTACTATTGTGGACCCATCATGCCAAATGAACTCCAGCCCAATTTTTACCCAGCCACCATCGACGCCCTCTTCGCAATCGCAAATAACCTACTCTCAGGAACCTACCTCGCCAACACTTAAAACAACATCCCCTTTAATTTCTTCATATCCTTAACCCTATAATCTTTCCACACAATAATACACACAAACATCAGCACGACCACTGAGGTCGACGCAATCGTCATCCGCTTCTGTGCAACACCATAGGCCTGCACGACCGCCATTCTTGCCTCTCTCCCCCACTCGAACTCCAGCTGCTCCCTCAAGCTTCCATAGATCTCCCCTGCGCGTCCCTTCTCGGCCTCCGGAAGCGCCGCGGTCAGCGCGTCGGGTAGCGTGTTCGTCCATATTGCACCAGCCATCGATGACCCGATGGCACCACCGACTGCTGCGGATAGCCCGAGCACGGCTAAGATAGCCGCAACGTCCGTTTGATTTACGGCAGCCATGGCGGCCATCTGCTCGCAAATGACAAGAGTACCACCGGCGAAGGCAATGAAGATCTGGCACATGACAACGTATCCGATGTTATGGGCCGGCTGGCGGAAGTGGATCATGAGCCCGACACCGAGAAGGTTGAGGGGCGCGCCAAAATAGAGCGCAAGGGGTTTGATACGTCCCGTGTAGTGGATGGCGGCGGCGACAACGACGGCCCAGAAAGAGCAACCGATAGAGAATATATTAAAGACGTAGCCGGCGGTGGTGATGCTCAGCCTGTGCACGACCTGCAGGTAGGAGATATAGTAGTTATCCCAGAGGTAAAACGAAGCAAAGGATATAGCGGAGAGTCCGCAGGCACCGATGACGGTGCGGTCGGTGACGAGGTGGAATGGGATGAAGGAGCGAGGGGAGAGGTATTTCTCGTATAAGCCAAAGGCGACGAGGAGAGCCACGCCAAGGACGAGCATTGTGATTGTGGACGCGGCGGCCCATTTGTCTGTTTGGGAGCCGGCGAGGGAGAATGGGAGGAGGAAGAGGGCAAAGCCGGCGGAGATGAGGAGGATGCCAACGACTGTAAGAGTTAAAGCCTGATAATCATGAAATGAGTGAAAGGAAATACGTACCATCGAATTCGATAAAATAGTACCATATTGACTCTCTCAAAGTGCGGCCGCTGTCCCTCTTCTGAATAAGGCCGAGCCTGGCTGCCTTTCTCTGGTTGGAGAAGAGGATATAGAGGAGTGGAAGGACGACGATAGGGGTGGCAATCGAGAAACACCCGAACGCCCACCTCCAGCTGCTATTTTCGTAGAACGATTCAGCGGCCTTTGGACCGGCCCACGTGGTAACTATATAGGGGGTACTGGCGAATGCGAAGGCGAGTGCTCTGTTGCGGAGGTTGGAGGTATCGGCAATGAAGACGTCAAGGACGAAGCCTATGCCATTGTAGCCAACCCAGTAGAAACACTGCGCAGCAGCGTAAGTTTCGACGTTATTACAAACGGCCATCAAGATTAGGCCTATGGTGCAGAGAGTAGTCATGATAATGAGGCCTTGCGGGCGGCCCCAGATGTTGATAAGCTGAGCGATGGGAAGCTTGAGGACGCCGCCGAGAATTTGGGACACGATTCCCGTGACAGGAATTAAGGAGTGCGAGGAGAAGTCGGACATGACATAAGGCAATAGATTGCTAGTTATCTGCAGCTGCAGTGAGTTCACGAAAAACACGAGGAATATACTGCGAGCACACATTAGCATACAATTCCGTCATAGCAGACGTCGAGTTGCTTACCAGAAATAGGCTGCATATAAGTCCTTCTTCGTCCAGACAAGTACAACGGCCTCGACTTTTTTAACACCCTCAGCAGCGATCTCGGATGGCACCTCATCGTCAGAACTCGGCTCGCCTTCTTGCGTAGGAGTAAGAGCCTTCTCTGTCTTCTCCGAAGGAGAGGCAGCCTCGCAATCGACCGCATCCGGCAAGGGTGCTGTTGCCTCGATGTCCCTTCCATCGATAAAGCGAGATAAAATATCCAATCTCATCTTTGGGTGCGTTATTCACAGGAAATGGAGAGTCGCCAGATTGTGTTTTGATCCGGAAGCATGGGGGATCAACGGTTTAAAAATATATTGCAGTATGACAGGCGACAGATAGCTCCCATGCGTCCGGGAAAGGCCCGTACGATGGAGTAGTCGGGCATAATGGTGGCGTGAGGTGATGGTGGGCCTATACTCGAACTATATGTCGAAAGTAATGGTCAACAGTCTATTTACTTTAGTAGGGGTCCGCCCGAAGAAGCGCAGCAGTGAGAGGTTAAGGATCGGATATAAGATGGTATGGGATGAGAAGACTAGCCACGCCCGAAAGAAAGACATATGGATCGCGTGGATTGTTTACCATGTGCGTTCGCGACTGATCATCTGGGATTCGCGGATTACCGTCGAACTCGCCGGGTCGTGTTTGATGCTCCGAACAAGCCATCATACGGGTAGCTGTGCCTACTGGCAAAGGCCACGGCTAGCCATTAATCTCCAGCGACCATCATTATGGATTCGAGATATACCTAGGAAGCCCAAATATCCATGCGCTCCGAAGGATTGATGGATACCGATGGATACTTGTCCAATGGTAGTCACCCATGGACGCTGGCTATCCAAGAGGGTACATGGACCCTCCCATCTGATAATGCGGCATCCATGCTGGTGTCACCCACCAAAACCGTCAAAACTCACCAAAAGCCACTCATCAGCTATCGACGGATCTGATAACTCTAACGCGACGTCCATCTTCCTGCCAAGACTTTTGTTATTACTATTTGCCAAGGAGCAGGGAAGAACTCTGCTATACTATTGTTTTAGTATCCCCGAGACAAGGACTTCTTACTCCCAACAACGCCAATCTCCGCCATCATCATCATTAGCCCACCCTTGGCGTCTGATCCTAGTAGACCGCGCAATCTGATTAGATAAAAGTGGTGAAACATGGGGCGATCTCGGAACACGACGGGGTAAGACCATAGGACAGCACCAACATGACAGGGCATATTTGATGTTCCCTCATACTAATCTGCCCTGTACGCAAGCACATACTGAGTACAAAGTGCATGAGTCGCTGTCGCCGCTATTGCGAATATCACACGGTTCCCTCTGTTCCCGTCGTTCCTGCCACTTTTACCGTCTTGGCTAACCAGTCGCGCCTTCCCTCTTTATCTCAAATACTGTATCCGCATTACTATTATGCCGACACTCCGACAACGGATGGTTCTTGGCAGGTGCGATGGGCTGCCCTGCTTCTTGTTCGTTCCTTCCCTTCCTTAGAGCGGCAGTCACTAGATCCACTCCCAGCAATTAACCACCAATGACCGCAGATGGCCGCCAATGATTGATCTTATCAGATGGGCGCAGTCAGTCAGGCCCGCCAGACCCGCCAGACATGGGCCAGATACCATGTTCCAACGTGGTTCAGTTATACCGTGCCGAGTACGGTGCGGAGTACTCCTCGAAGTTCTGTGGTGCCGATGTACGTTAGTATGCATGAGCCAGAGAGGCCGTGGCTTGCTTTAAGATGCCAGCTCATAGCCAGATTTCATGGCACCTGTACAACTTCCACTCCGGTTGAACCATCCTACCCTCATTATCTGTCTTGCTTCTTTCCTGCTCTTTTTCTTCCACATCACCTCACACCATCCCACCCAAAGCCAGTCTACCATGGGTTTCCTATTTAGCAAGGAGGAGTCGACGCCGGCCGAGATGGTCCAGATCGTGCCGGAGAATATCGCTGAGAAGCCGCAGAACAGAGTCCTAGTCATTGGCGGTGCATATGCCGGGCTGAGCGCTGTCATTCATCTCTTGGAACTGGCAAATGGAGGAGAGCACCGTCCGACATCTGTCCCGTTGCCGCCGGTCACGGGCAAGCCGCTGCGATCGTCGGTGCAGATCACGATGATAGATGAGAGGGATGGGTTTTGTAAGTCTCGCTCTAGTCTCGTATCTTATCTGATCATCTTGCATGCGACCTATTCTTATACCACTGCAAACAGATCACACTATCGGATCGCCGCTCGCGTTGGCGGATGATGAATACGCCGAGAAGGCATGGAGGAAGTACGCTGATGTAAAGGCTATTCAACACCCTTCAATCCGCGTTGTTCAGGGCAGCGTGACAAACCTCAATTGCTCGTCGAAGACGGCGACGATAACTTACTCTACTGGCCATACCTCGATTGTCGAATACGACTATGCCATCTGCTGCTCTGGTCTCCGCAGAGAGCATCCTTCCGTTCCACAGTCCATTTTCAGGGAAAAGTATCTTGAGGAGTGCAAGTCACACATCAGCGACATACGTTCTGTATCAGAGAGCATCGTGATCGTTGGAGGCGGTTTGTTGCCCAATTCCCGTCTAATTTAATTCACTCAGCTCACTATTATCACAGGAGCCGTTGGGGTTGAGATGTCTGCTGAGCTGAAACTATGCTTCCCGGACAAATCGGTCAAACTAATCCACTCTCATGATCACGTCTTAAGCGGGGAACCGCTACCCGATAAATTCAAAGACGTTGCTCTAGGGCTCTTACACGAGCAAGGCGTCGAGACCATCCTCGGCGAGCGCGTTGTCAGCTCCAACCCAGATAGCCCAACTGACACAGGCTTCACCGTTCGCCTCAAGAGCGGTAAGACCCTGCGTGCCGGGAAGGTCATCTGGGCCATCTCTCGCCCCGTCCCAACCTCCACGTATGCCCCAGCCGCGGCCCTCGACCACGAAGGCTTCATCGCCGTCACCCCTCAGTACGCGCTCTCACTACTCCACTAAGCAAGAATGCGCTAACAGACCTGCAGACTCCGATTCCCTTCAACTGTCCCAAACGCCGAATACCACTTCGCGGCCGGCGACATCATGGCTTGGTCAGGCATTAAGCGCTGTGGAGCCGCTATGTACTTTGCCCAGATCGCCATCGCCAACATGCACCAGCTGATGCTGCAGGCCGAGGGTGACACCGACACGAAGCTCGTCGACGCGCCTTCCGTGGAGCCCATGATTGCACTTGCGGTCGGGAAGAAGGCCGCTACGTTCTATGCGGACAATGTTGCGGCGGGGGAGGAGCAGCTGAAGGCGTCGTTTGGCGAGGATCTGGGGTTGACGGGTGAGTTCTTTCGAGGTAGTGGATGCTTGTTAGATGATAGTGCTAATGAGTTGGTTTTTTAGTTGTTTGGAAGTATTTGAAATTGGGGGAGGCGTTTGAAATGCCAAAAGAGAAGGAGGTGGAGGGGAAGGAGTCGAGTACGGAGGCTACCTGAGAGGTGGTGGCTGGAGTTTGGGTCGAGTTGGAGATGTTTAGTCTGCTACATAGAACTGTTTATTGGGGGGAAGGGGGGGGGGGGGTTAAAGGCTCTGGTGATACAGAGAGGTGAGGTTGAGACTTGGTTGGTTCAACGTCGGGAGGTTAAGGAGTTTAGAGTGGTCATTAGAGATTTGTTTGGTATTTTGTATGGGAGGGAATTTGTTTTAAGATACTCTAATATTATAAATATATGCGTCACATCAAATTGGCATAGAAAACAGTACCAATAAGTAGATCGAATTTCCATATCACATCAATTATTTTCTACCTACAATTTCAATAAAATAAAATACGAAGTATGGCCATTGTTTATTTGTTTTTATTATGTGCTTATACTGGCTGCATGGTCGGCTCCGATCTGTCGCTCTTACCGGTGCCAAGTGAAAACCAGAGAATTATCAGATCAACAGGGAAGAGGATATGCCCCGCTTTTTGTGGTCGATCAACCTCCCACCTTCCTAGAGTGCTTTCCCTTACATCTACCGCAACCACAGCATCAATTTTCCAGAGTTCTAGCAACTCGTTTGCACTCGACAAAATATCGCCGAATTCGTATGAAAACAAATCTCGTAAATACCACAAAAGCCCAACCTACCAGCATAGCATCTAGGTTCCCCATCCCTTAAAGCAGCGCCGCTGAGTCCTCAACAGACAAAAGGGGTGGAGACGTAATCTAATCAGATGGGGGATGAAACTCTGCCCCACCACACCAAATACCGACTCCAACGTTCCACTGGACAACAAAAACCCAGAGCCGAACCCACCATCGCGATCCACGCCCAACCACTCACTGCCGTGTATCCTCCTTTCTCCAAGATCATGTTCACCGGCTACTGTAGGCTAAGTGGGGGAGATGAAGAGGTCCGGCTTATCAGATCCTTCCCTCTAATGAGCGGAGAAGAAAATATGTTTTCGCCGAGGGTGATATGGGGGGTGGCTTGCAGAAGGGGAAGGCGTACCTACGCCTAGACGACGGGTATCTTCGCAAGTTGATGCAAGGTGCGGAGCTTCGCGCCAGCCTGCATGCTTATGAAGTGCCTAGAGCTGGAAAAGGAGACCAATGCCGGTCAGTCGGTCAGAATGTGACGGTCAGTCCTTGTGTTGCTGTTGGCTCATTTTGGGCTCGGCTGCACGCGCAGCACATGTGAACCTCCACTTTCACCTACGAACCATACAGCACCAAGGAGCTGGGGATGGACCCACGAGAGAGAGAGGGTCCCGATGACGCTTCCAAGCCGAATACGGATACCCAGCGGCAGTCGGGACGGGGTTCGTCGGGGAGGAGCGGGGAGGAGGGGGGTATTATCAGATGGCGCGTTGTTTAGTGTGAGCGTCTCCACCACACGCACACTCTATTCTCTCTCGACGCCCCTTCTCCCATGGCGTTTTCTTCATCCATCGTCTCCTCCTGCATACCTCGTACGGGGATATTGAGACTGCAGTTGAACAATGGCTGCTGTTGAAGTATCTACGCCGGCGGCGGCGGCAATCGGGCTCGAGACGGGGATGAAGAGCAGCGGAGTTTTCTCGCGCACGCTGCGGATGCCGATGTTCAGGCGGCAGGAGAAGAAGGATGTTGTGGCGGCTAAAAAGGGCCCGTCGTACTGGGACCTCCTCTTCCGTTCAGGGGCGGAACCCTTTGACTGGGTGCTACTAGGCCTCGGCACTGCCGCTGCCCTAGGAGCTGGCGTGCCGTTCCCCCTGCTCGGAATCCTTTTCGGTGAGCTCGTCGATAATCTGGATAGCACTCAATGCGCAGCCGACGATACTGCGAGCTTCGGCCTCACGGCAGCCATTCAGCATAAGGTCCTCCTCGTCGTCTACGTCACAATCGCCAACTTTGTCCTCATTTACGCACACACCTCGTGCTGGAGTATCCTCTCGGAGCGCATCGTCCGGCGTCTACGCAAACAGTACCTCGCCGCCATCCTGCGCCAGGAACTAGCTTTCTTCGACACTCTCGCCTCTGGTGAGGTGGCCTCACGTCTCGATGCTGACTTGCAGGCAATTCAGACGGGAACTTGCGAGAAGGTCGGCATCTGCATCTCATCCTTCTCCTACTTCCTTGCCGCATATGTCGTGGCCTTCATCAAAGCCCCAGCACTCGCAGGCATGCTCATGTCCATCGTCCCCGCCTTCCTCCTCATGGCCCTCGGCGGCGGCCACTGGGTCAAGAAGTATGCGAGCGCGGGAACGGACCACGTCGCAGCCGCAACCGGGGTCGCTAGCGCTGGACTGAGCAATATGACCATCGTGCATGCGTTTGGCGCTAACTCACGCCTCGAGCGCATGTTTGCCGAGCATCTGAGCAAGGCGCAGGTTCAGGGCATCAAGAAGTCGATCGTCAGTTCCATCCAGCTGGGGTTGCTGTATTTTATTGCGTACTCGGCGAATGCGCTGGCGTTTTGGCAAGGGTCGAAGCAGATTGCCAATGCGGTAGCGAGTAAGACGAGCGGAACGAGCGTGGGGGCGGTTTATACCGTTATTTTCATCTTGGTTGATGGTGAGTTCCCTTTTTTGTGTGGGGGTTTGGTTTGGGGCCGGACTAACACGTGATAGCATCTTTTATTATCAGTCAAGTGGCGCCGTTTTTACAGCTGTTTGCGACGGCGGCGGTTTCGTATGGGAAGGTAGTTGAGACTATTGATCGCCCGTCAAGGATTGATGGGACATCGGATGAGGGGCTCGTGCTCCCAGCGGTTGCGGGCGAGATTGAACTGAGAAATGTCGGTTTTGCCTATCCGTCTCGTGCGGATGTGCCTGTCATCCATGATTTGTCTTTGGTTATACCGGCAAATAAACATACGGGAATTGTGGGACTATCAGGGAGCGGTAAGTCAACTTTGGCTGCGCTGATCGGGAGGCTCTACGACCCTATCTCTGGCGAAGTCTTGATCGACGGCCATAACCTCCGCGACGTCAACGTACGTAGCATCAGGCGTCACATTGGAACCGTTGCTCAGAATTCATCGCTATTCGATAGGTCTGTCCTAGAGAACATCGCGCACGGCCTTATCAACTCCCCCAGCGCGGGACATGCCCAACTACAGGACGCGCTCGTCGACGACAGCCTGGTCGACTTTGTCACACGAGTACGGAGAGGTAAAACAGTCGAGGAGGTTTTGAGCGACAGCTCACCGGAGACGCGACAGATTTACAATCTTGCAGTAGCCGCCGCCGAGGACGCCAATGCACTGCGCTTTATTGAGAATTTCCAGTATGGTTTCGCGACATCAGTTGGCTCGACCGGTAGTCAGCTATCAGGTGGGCAGAAGCAGCGCGTTGTCCTTGCACGCGCGCTGATTAGACAGCCTTCAATTTTGATCCTGGACGAGGCGACAGCGTCGCTTGATTCTATTAGTGAGCGGATTGTGCAAGAGGCGCTGGAGAGGGTGACGGACTCGAGCCGGACTACGATTACGATTGCACATCGGCTGTCGACTATTAAGAAGGCGGATAACATTGTTGTTATGCGCGACGGGCGGATCATCGAGCAAGGGCCTCACGCGGAGTTGCTTGGTGGGGATGGACCATTTGCGACTATGGTGAGGTTACAGAATGCTGGAACGGTGGCGGATGATGCGGTTTCGTCACGGAATATGTCGTTTGATATTGCATCTGCAGACAAGCCAAATGCATATGGATTATCGAAAGACACGCTGGTTGAGCTACCCCTTGATGATACCTCAGAGAAACCCGAGGAATCGAAGCTAGGGAGACCACATATCTCTAACCTTGCAGGTGTCCTAATAATGGGGCGCCCATACATCGGCTTCATACTCCTTGGAGTTAGCGCCGCCATCATTGTCGGAGGCTCCTACAGCGCCGAGGCGGTTATCTTCGGAAAAACTGTAGGCGAGCTGTCGGCCTGCAAAGAGCCTTCTAGCATCAGCTCCAAGGGCGCCTTCTTCGGTCTAATGTTCTTTGTCCTCGCGCTCATTGAGTTCTGTGCAAACATGATCTCCACCGCCTCCTTCGGACGCGTGGCCGAGAAGATGCTTACCCGCGTGCGTATCCTTTGTCTGCGCTTCCTCTTCCGCCAGGACATCCAGTGGCACGAGGAAGAGGAACGCACACCAGCCAAACTTCTTGCATATATTAGTAGCGATGCGAATGCGATGGCGGGGCTGACGGGCACAATTCTCGGTGTCATCCTAGCGATTTTAATCAACATGATTGCGGGTATTGTTCTCGCGCACATCGTGGCCTGGAAGATCGCCGTTGTCCTGCTGTCGATGATTCCCATCCTACTAGCATCAGGTTATCTACGCCTCCGCATCGCGGCATCGTTCCATTCTCGTCATCAGAAGGCGTTTGCGTCTTCGGTTGGCCTCGCAACGGAGGCGGTCGGTTCGATGACAACCATTGCCTCGTACTCTCTTGAAGACGAGACATTGCATGTTTATGAGCGCTCGCTACGTGGGCCATATAAGGCCACACTAAAGGCTATTGCACATGGAAATTTTTGGCTAGCCATGGCTTACAGTATTGGTAACCTGGTCTACGCTCTCGCCTATTGGTGGGGTTCACGCCAGATTGTCGCAGGTCTATATTCTCCAACGCAATTCTTCACCACACTTCCCGCTCTACTTTTCTCCGCGCAGTCTTGCGGCCAGCTTCTATCCCTTGCGCCGGATGTATCGAAGGCCACGGTGTCAGCTGGACGAGTGCTTGCGCTTCTTCAGTCTAAACCCAGCGACAGCGGGCAGTCGAATTTCCACAAGAACCCGAAGAATATTGGTGGCAGTGATGACTCGGACGCAGAAGCCGGAGCGGATGTAGACGACGAGAAGGTCGGCTCCAATTACCTGAACGCCCCCCGCGGTGCTGCCATCCACTTCAAGAATGTACATTTCAACTACCCCTCGCGGCCGTCCATCCCTGTCCTCCAAGGCCTCACCCTCTCCATCCCAGCCAACAGCTTTGTTGCCCTTGTTGGCCCCTCCGGCGCCGGCAAATCAACCATCATCTCCCTCCTCGAGCGCTTCTACTACCCCTCGATGGGCAGCGTCACCATCGACGCGCGCGATATCGCGCGCGCACCTCACTCCTTCCGCGACGCCATTGCGCTTGTACCCCAGCACAGTGCTCTCTTCGAGGGAACGTTACGCTTCAACCTAGAAATTGGAGCTCGTCCGGGTACTATCCCTAGCATGGCGGACATTGAAGCCGCCTGCCGCCTCGCGCATATCCACGATACCATTATGGCATTGCCGCTCGGCTACGAGACGCCGTGCGGGCCGCGCGGAAACCAGTTTTCCGGAGGACAGATGCAGCGACTTGCTATTGCCAGGGCGTTGGTAAGAAAGCCAAGGTTGTTACTGTTAGATGAGAGCACGAGTGCGTTAGATGCTGAGAGCGAAGCGGGTTTGCAGGCTGCACTGGAGGGCGCAACAAGAGCAGTTACGGTGGTGGCGGTAGCGCATCGGATGAGGACTGTTAGGGGGGCGGATTGCATTTTTGTTATTGATGGAGGAGTGGTAGTGGAGGGGGGACGGCATGAGGAGTTAGTGGGGAGGAGTGCGGCGTACAGGGAGATGGTTGCGCACCAGACTCTGGGACTGTAACGAGGTAAATGGAGGCGGGATCAGAGGAATATGGGTTTTATTACTGGAGTTTGGGGGGAGTAATGGTAAATATCGCGGAAATTATATTAAAGGATAGATAGAGGTTTGGCATATACAAAAGTCACATATAATTTTTGAGAGTTGTGCATATTGATCATCGACATCGAGGATGATGGACGTCACGTGCATCCAAGTCCGTCCCTGCCACAATGTGAAACCAAAATATACTCCGTACTGACCACAATCACCATTATAGGCAGTCCGTTGGAGTAACTACTGCAACTCTTCCACCCAGATATCACATCCCTCAAACAAATAGCTTCGAGCCGGAACCACGCCAATAAGCCCCCGCGCCAAATGTGACAGCTCTCGCACACCGTGCGCGTTCTTGGCAGCCTACGGATAGACAAATTGCCGGCCCAATCGCGCTCCGCAAGGGTTCAACTCGTGGGCACGGCATGTCAAGTTGGTGGCTTTTGGGCGTGGAAACGGTGGCGTTTGGGGCTTGGTGGGGTCCAAGCTTTAGGGATCTGCCGATGGGTGTGCGGCCGCTTTGACTGTTTGTGGCGCTCGTTTCAGGGGTTGGGGTTGGGGTTAGGGTTGGGGGTTTCCAAAAACGGCGAGCGGAATGGTAGATATCACAGACGTCGTTTCATGATGTTCGCAATTGTTACCGGATGGGAGCTACGGTTTGTTTGATGTGGGAGGTGGACCTATCGGCGATGGATCTTCTGCACTGCCTCGTTCTCATGATCGGCTGTCACGGCCGAATCTGACGGGTGATAGTTTCGGTTTTCTACGAAAGTGCAAAACGCACAGCTCGGGAAGCAGAAATATGGTAGAACATGGCCTTGGCAACAGTCTCCTATGGTATCATGATGTTTTACCGGCTTTTCTGGCCACTCTTGGCTCTGATTTCTATGACATCCGCTTCGCAGGCGTTGTCCGCTCAAACCCACGGAGTGTATCTTGGCTTCGATCAGGATATGTATATAAGACTCTCTCATCATCGTCTAGAGACTTATATTTTCTACATCAGCAAGCCTCAGATTCCATTTAATACTCATCGTCTTTCTCGACCATTCACCTTTAATCAACTTATTCTACATTAATATCCTTGCTGGTTCAAGATGCATTCCTACTCTCTCCTCGCAGTTGCCCTTCTCGCAGTCTCCGACCTCGTGGCAGGCCACGGTGCAATTGTCTCAGCAACCGGTGACCAAGGTGGCACTGGCTCTGCTATTGGCAGTAAGACCACACAGCCAACCCTGGAATATTCTCTTGTTAACTAACGCCACTAGTTGACCCTGCCACCCCCCGCGACGGCACTCGACGCAACCCCTTTCAGCAGGATACCACGCGCTTCAGAGGCAATGCCGCTAATGCCTGTGGCGAGACTCTTGCTGGCGGCGACAACGACGCCGAGGCCGGTACTGCTGCTGTGATGCAGCTCTCCGGAGACCAGCTCCCTCAGATCAGTCCGGGCGGTCAGGTATCCATGACCCTTCATCAGGTCAACGGCGACGGCGCTGGGCCATACACGTGCATGATTGATGCCACGGGCACCGGCACCAACTGGGTCAATATGCAGGTCACCACCAATGTTCCGGGGAGAAGGGGAAATGACCGGAATGGCGCAGAGACTGATTTCGTGAGTGTTTGATGTCCCTTGGGTGCTAAGTAGACAGTGTGGTGTGCTAATGGTGTACGACTAGCCACTTGTTGCGAATGTCGCAGCTACTCAGACTTGCACCGGAACAGTTGCTGGGCAGGAGAATGTGTGTATGGTCCGTTGCCAAAATCCGGCTCGAGCAGGTCCATTTGGGGGTTGTGTTCCGGTGCAGATGGCTGGTGCAGCAGGCAATGCCACAGACGCTGCTGCTGCTGTTGGCACTGCTGCTAATGCTGCGGGTGCCGCTGTTGGTGGTTCTGGTGATGCTTCTGCCGCCACGGTGGCAGTTACTGCCACTGCCGCTGCAGCAACTGGTACTCAACTTGTAAACTCGGCGAAGTTCCGTAGGGTGACTGCTGAAGTTGAAGAGGATGACGAAGAATTTGATGAGGAGTGGGATATTTGAGAGGTTTTTTTGTTTTGTTTTTGCAAACATGGCTGTAATCTAGAATTATTAGCACGCGCTGGGCGCAAGTATATGTTGGCAAAACTATTGTGATCTATAAAACACCGATACTTAGATATAGTGCTATTCTTTGTGAATTTAAACATGATGCTCCCAGCGAAACCCAGAGTAGGCATATAATGCACCATACACTCCTTCATCCAACTAGCAAGTGATCGTATCTTCAAATAGCACACCACTATCTGTCATGCCTCGGTGTTATTGCAAAGCATTTATTTAAGAAATACATCTTCTCTAGCCCAGTATCCGAGAAAGGGCGTGTGAACCACCCAAAAGGGGCCATACTCTTATAGATCTTGCGACCAGTGATGCCTCGCACTATCCATCTCCCGTTCCAGCATATTTATTTTCCAATCCTTAAGATTGAACAGCCCCTCCTTCAACTCCGTCTTGTCCCCACGCCATTTAAACGTGTTTCCAACAACCTCCGTCCCATCCTCAAACTCGACAATACAACCTATCTGCACGTAACGATCTGTCTCGTAGGCCTGTAGTAGTTAATTTTCTTCAGGCGATTGGACTTCGTATGCCATGCCGTACACTGGCTCATCTGGCTCGCCGCCTACAAGAGCTGGACATTCGCCCCAGAGCTTGCAGTGATATCCACTAATCTTGGCTGGAATGAGGCGAGGTAAGTTGTTGAGTTTCAAAACCTTGGCTAAAGTTTGGGGATCCATCAAGGTGCCGTAGAAGAAGTGAAATTCTTTGGAAAAGGCACGTTTTCGTAACGGCGGATATGAATAGTTGGACTCTTCTGCCTCCATGGATTTGCGGGTCGTTAACGAAGGTGGCCCGAGGTCTTTCATACCGTCCATAGGTGACGCCGCGATACTTTTTTCGGCAACTTTGCTGATGTTTTTACTGCTACTCATGACGAATATGCAGGCGGAAATATATTAAGTGAGCGGCCTTTTTGAAGATATGCTGTTAACACAAGACGGGTGGGCTGTTAAGGGACCATGGAATCACGTGGACATCCATATATTAACCACGCTCTAGAATACAGATTCCCAGGGTATCTCTTTAAATCACAGCCACTAGCCACCGGCACTAATCATATAGTGCTAAAGAAGGATATAAATATGACCCACTGGAGCAACAGTAGCTAATATAATAGCCGGCACATCCCAGATGTCGCTTCGCCTCTAGAGATAGACTATACAAGCCCCTCAATGCTCTAAAACATTCCGGCCTCCTCCGAATCTAAGAAGACTCTCTTCGCAGTCGCCACGACACTGAATCTCACAAAGTATAGTGTCAATTTTGCCGATTACCACACCTTACTCGTTATCCTTAGGGTCAATGATGGTCGACTTGAACTTTCTAGCTGGAACCTTGCGGTTGAACAAGATATCGCTCTCGCGGTAGGAGCGATGCTTGAGCTCAGGTAGGAAGAAGAAAGCCATACCGAAGCAGACGCAAGCAGTACTGCCCCAGATATAACCGCACTTTCCTGCCAAGTTCCACCCTGTTGGGTTGAGCATCTGCGATGAGAGATAGATCATGGGGATCTCAGCGACATAGTAGGCGGCACGACCGACACCGGTACTCAAAGCACGAAGGCGAACGGATGATGTCTCCGCGATAATGGTGTAAGAGATCGGTCCGATAGCAAGGGCGTAAATGAAGGAGATAGCTATACCTAGAACAGCCTGGGCGTAGTTGGTTGCCGAGCTTTGTGAGATAGACGCACAGATACCGAGGAGAAAGAGGAGGGTGACGTTGGTGGCTGTGCCATAGAGATAGATGGCTCGGCGATCGAACCAGTTGGTAAGAGGCCACGCGAGTATGTTAGCAATGAATTGAAGACACGCATTGATGAGGTTGAGCTGGAATGCCTTGTCGGTGTCAATCCCAGCCTCTGAGTGGCAGATTAGTCACACGTGTTGGAGAAGTTGTCGAAAGGAGAGCTACATACGTGTGAAGAAAAAAGTGGCCTGGTTCGCAATCAGGTTGCCAGCAAAGTTTTGTGACGCGTAGATCAAGCAGGTGATAATGGTTCGCCTTAAATCGGTGCCCTTAACAAGATCGAGGAGAGTAGGGGAACCACCTGCCAAGTTCTCGATCTCAACAGTTCGTTCCATCATGGCAAGTGATTGTAGAGCATGGTCTTCAGATCCGCTGCCAAGGCGCTTGATGGAGCGAAGTGCCTCCTCTTTGCGTCCGTGACGAACAAGCCACCAGGGGGATTCGGGGGCGAAAAAGATAAGGATCAAGAGGGGGGTCTCCACAAGTCAGCTTCCGAAGGGCCAAGATCACATGGAGGGACTCACAGGGAAGATCCACTGCAGGGCAAGAGGTATTCTCCACGACCACTCACCCTTTTGCTGATTGAAGCTGTACGTGACGCCAGCGACAATAATTGATCCAATAGACCAACTCGTTTGCAAAGTAGCTGTGCAGGCTCCGCGAAGGACAAGAGGAACAATTTCGCTAGCGTAGGCGGGGGAATTTGCAATGAAGAGTCCCCAAGGAACACCCTCTAACGCCTGCCCTACCACAAGCAGGGCAAGCGAGTTGGCCTAAGTGGATCAGTCAGGGAATAAGATTATCAACATTAGGCTGGACTACTCACAAAAAAGGAAACGAAGATCGTGGCGTTCATGAGAATCAGGCCCATCATAGTAGTCCAGCGGTAGCCAATGCGGTTAGTGATGGGACCAGCCAAAAAGACACCGACAAAAGCACCGCATTGCCCAGCTTGAAAGAGGGCACTCTGCCATTTAGTTTCGATAGTCCAACCGTCTCCCTCGACCCAGACACCATAACGCTCTTTAAACGCGTCAATCACAATAAAATTTCCATTCAGGAACATATCAAACGACTCCATGACCTGCTAGATGTCAGCGGTGTTCTTGGCAAAGACGCGTATTTTCGCAATTCGAATTATGGGAAACTAAGGCGAACCCCAAATGCGAGGAAATGGACTCACGATGGTGAAGCACATTACAGACCCCCAAAAGCAAGCCCAGGGGTATTGTTTGACCGCAGCCAACATGCTCATCTCGTGTTCGCGGTTCTCGCCGTCGACAGCATCGTCCATAAGTTGCTGGTTAATCAAGACATCGGAATGTAGCACGTCTGCCTTGTCAGCCGCAACCTTCTCACCGACAGCGAACGTCTCATCGATTTGCTTGTCCTCGAGCGTTGCATCCTTTCGGTCGGTGATATCTGTCGACATATTGAGGTTGCTCGCTATGCCACAACGTCGATGGGAAGGAAACAGAAAAAAAAAGCTAGGAAAATGAAGGCGACTCGGGATCTTGTACCCCATCCATCTTTTACTCCACTTGTACATCCATGACCGATGTTCATTATCACCCACCGAATTCGCGCACAAATGTAGCGCGCGTGATGCTCGGATTAACTACCATGTAATCAGCGACGTATTACCACATCGAGGGCTACGTATCCTACCTACTACAACCAACTACCCCAGATGTTCCACTATAGCAACTGGCAGCTGCATTTTCCTCGTTCGAGTCCCGGCCCTAACTAAAAGCAAGTTCCTCGGCTAAGAACCTAAATAAAATACTCTTTCCGTTTATGGGTGAAACAGAGAAGAAAAGGGCCGAACACAGCATTGCCTTCCTTTTTCGTTAATGTCATAAATCAGCTCGTAAGGGAGCCAATTGGACGTTGATGGGGACTGGACAATGTCGGTTGGTCGTGGTGCGACGGCTCACGAAAAAATCCTCAAGTACCCTGTCCTGACCCCGCCAACTTTCTCCAACGTAGCTTGCAAGGATGAGATCCTCGCCTTTGCCGTGGCTGCTCTAACTAAAGTAAGATAGTACTGTTGCATCTCAAACGAGGGGAAGGTACTTCCTTATATATGGTAGCTTTCTCCACTATTCCACTCCGCATACTTATCCAGTCATCTAGAAACATCTGGACTTGTGAAGACATCAGAACCACCTTTGAAAGCCAACATAATTTACGAAAGTACAGTATATACGTAGCTTTCGCCATTTACCTAGCCTCGGCTATCAACACCCTCACCTCACAAGCTAATTTGCCGCCGATATTGCCAAATTGAAACCAATTCTCGTTACTTTAGACTTATACGCGATCCTTTGGTTGCGCGTCCCTTCCCTACTCGCCCTCCAAAGCGATCTTCTTCCTAAAGATACTCAACACCATGATCCACGACGGCTCAATTGTCAACGCGCGAGTCTGTGCCACAGTATCCCGGAACGGCTCGAGTGAGACGCAGCGCCCGCCTGCTCGCCCAATAGAGGCGTAGCATAGCTGCGTGGTATCAGCCTGGGAGACACAGTCTAGGGCGGAAGCTAGTTCGTTGGTGGTGTATGCGCGAATGTCGGCGGCACAGGTGGGGCTGTGGTAGTCGAAGACCCTTTCGGCACCAAAGCAGAGGACGTGATCGAAGTTTGAGGGCGAAGAGGTTGCAATTGGGCGGAGACCAGGGGTAGTTGGCAAGAATCAGCATGGAATTGACTGCTCTACAAGGACAACTTGCAGTTTTAGAAGCTGGATCGCGCGCGTGCAAGTAGCCGTGCTTGCTCCTGCTACCAAGACAAATTCACCATCCTCCGCTTTGACTTAGTTTTCCCCCGACTGTCCACAAAGCAGTTGAAGCGAGACAAGAACGTGCAGTTCGTCGAAGAGACTCATCGAAGCAGTCGCAACACCCGTGCCAAATCTAGCAGCCTCCTCAAACGTCATCTTACCTGGGACTCTGAGTAGTATATCGGAACTATACCAACACCACCACACGAGCACCACTTTGGTCTTTTGGGCCACGCCCCATACCCCACTTGCGTCCTTCTAGTGCGCTCCTAATGGAAACATATCGACACATATAGATCTATATTCCGACTCAACTTCTATGAGATCAAGACACAGGTATATCTAATTATTTGAAGTGGCTGTGTGTTTGTAATGACTGATTTTGTTTCTATTATACAGCAAGCTCTCCGTCCCAAGACCATCTCAGCGCTGGCTCACAACTAACGGAGACGGGTACTGTATATGCAGACCGTAACGGTAGAGCAGGTCAAATGTGCAGCGTTTGTCGAAGTCTCTCCAGCCGCTGCTGAACCTCGATCTCCAAATCACTCATCGCCTCTCTATTGGCATCTATACCCGGCTGGTCAAAAATGAAAGGGCCGTTTTCTTGTGATGACACCGGCAGAAGATGGGGCGACAAGTATAAAGCAACGGCTTGATGTTGGCGTTTGATTAGGTACGAGCAGAGCCTCAGAACCAAGACCAGCCTGATATCAGCTAGTGCCGCTACGTCCATATCAGCGTTGGCTTCAACGTATTTATGAGGCAGGGAGGAACTCCTCAGATCCACGTCGTGCTGTAGGACGATGAGTACTGCAGCATGGATATTTAGGAGGAGTGTGTTGCATGCGATAACAAGATGGCGGACGACGGTGCTACAGCACTGGCTCGGTCGGCGTACGTGGTTCGATAGCCCATTGTTGAGCTCGAAGCATGGGAGGTTTTCGCTAGTTGTCGATTCCATGGATTGCGGGGTGCTGCTTTCCCAGAAGTCTCTGTTACCAACTCGTTCAGTAGACGCTGTAGTGGACGTGGAGACTGTGAAACTATTGTAGGAGATGCCATTTTGTATGTCGACTTTTATGCCTCGTAGAATTTCAAGGAGGCGGTGGGAGGCGGAGAATGCGTTGTGTAGGATATTACCCATTGTCGTCGTTTCTGGCGATGGGCTCTGAAGACTGTCCTGAGATGAGAAATTCATATTTGCGGAAACATCGACGAGCCAGGCGGTCACCGATTTGAAGGCGACATCATCTATGAGCGGGCTTTGGCGTGAATAGTTGCGGTCCCTTGATTGGCATGATGACGCCACTGCTTCGGCCAAGTTGCAGCTTGAGCGATACAACGGGTAGAGTCGCGAGCTTAGCTGGGACAGCTGCGCGATACCAAATTCAGGGCCGTTTCTGTCAATTTCTATGCTGCTGTTGCTGTTTATATCAAAGCCACCATTTCCAGAATAGTGGTCATGCTCATTGAGGCGACGAGTTGGTGACAGAGGCCTTCCTCGCGCGCTACTGCTCACTTCGCTGTTTGGCGAAGAAATCGACTGAACGAAATTCGGGACATCATCCCAGACTACTGCTCCGGGATCAGTTTGGGGGTCAACAATGCTGTGCAGGTTTGAATTCTGGTGGCTCCCATCTATCAGCATATCGTTCCAGTTTAAAGGAGCTAACCATGGGCAAGTAGAGGCGTCCATGGGCCCAAACATTATTGTGTCGTCATTCACATCGACGCTTGTATTTGAATTGTAATTGTTATTGGTATTGACATTGGCATTGGTACTAGTACTGGCATTTGGGTTCGCATTGACATGTATGTCAGCTTTTTCATCGGCTTCGGTATTGGCGTTGGTATTGGAATTGGCAGAAGGAAGAGGTTCTCTTGGAAGTTTGCCCTGCATCACTGGAGAGACTGGCGTTATAGGCATGGGAGGCATTGGTTGAGGACTCGAAGCCGCAATCGATTCATCAGCCAAGCGGTACATGCTAGGGCGACCTTTGGGCAAGCTTGAGCTATACAGACACTGCGCCCCTTGGCGGATGCACCTATTGCATGCGCTTGTCTCGCGTTTGTTAACTCGTGTGCAACGAAGCTTCTGGCCATGGCATCGATTGCACGACTGTCGTCTTGGGGGCGTCGCCGAGTTCGAAGTTGGCGCCATGACATAAACGTGTAATCCTGCCAGTCCTGAGATAATTATGTGCTCAATTGTATCAGTACCGCTCTCCTGAGATATCGCGCCTAGTTTACTGTAAGCACTTAGCAGCCCCAAGGCTTATGTTGTGAGAAACAGTGCGCCAGTTAATTTAGATTCGTGGTGTGCAGTGCGGGCAGACTAATTATACCACCCGAGAGATTTTGTCGGACGAGTAATGAAATAAAAAGCTGTGCGAACGATGTTTCCGAGTTGACAGCTTGATTGACGACCCATAGCGAAGCGTTGCTATTTATGTGTCGTTGAGTTATCTGCGGAGCACTTCCAAGTTTTCCAGGTCACAACTTGAAGTGCTGTGCATGTAACCGCTGTCGATTATGGATGCGAGAACATGGAATACTGACGGGGTTTAATTTCACGTACATCTTAGAACATTCCATGAATATTTTAGAACAGCAGCATCTGCACGATTATTGCAACACTTGTCCATGGGCGTCTGCACGATTATTAAACCGGTATACGCGATCATCGAATCGGGGTTTAGCTCGATTCGAAATATCGTCTAATATCATCCACGTATTGCTTTTGATGTACACATGATTATTGCATTGGCTAGCAATGACTTCTACATATGTTGATCGAAGCACCAAGGGCAAACTCTAGTGCGTTGACTCGCACGCCTTGGAACTAGATGTTATAGGCTAAACAACACACCGTTCCTCTCTCTATATGTTGAGCACCAGGAACCAAGTAGGAACACGCACGACCTGAGGAGCACATAGCGCCTCTTGGGAACTTGAAATCATCTTACTGGTCGGTTCGGGTAATTAGTTCGAAAGCCAATGCTTTAGCGCACGCCACAATGTTTTGCAAATGCTACGATCTTTGCTTCATTCGTTAAAGCGTTGGTGGCGAGGCAGACATTGCTTGCTCCAGCATTCCACACGAGCGTATCTATGCAATTTGACTACCTCGTGGTCCAAGATGGACTAATCAGAAGGCAGAAAGTAAGCAACATGCAACGAATGAGCGGGTGATCTAAGTATGCGCCACTCCCCCACATAGTAGAACCTGCCTACATATTAAACCCACTTTAATAGAGTACAAAATTCTGGTGCTTTACAGTAGTAAGGCGGGACCACGGCAGCGTTACAGGAACAGGATTATACACATGAAGGCTCCACCCGCTATAGCTTATAAGTATGTTAGCGCTTTGAGGCCGCATCTCTAAAACCAAAAGGGGTCGCTTCCAATGCGACCTGGAGTGGTGGCCGCGAGCTTTGTGGCCTTCATGAATATACGAGGGCATACTGGGGATATAACAAGCTTATCCGAAGCCAACGAGGAGAGAAAAATGCCCACCTAATAGAATTTAGTTGCTCAGTCGCGAAGATCCTCGTGCGGAACACTCTTGCAACGTTGTATCTATTACCCATCATGGGCTACTAGCGGTTTACGGGGACCAAAGGGCTACGTCTCTCGTACATAGACCTGCTCATCACCAAGTGCAGTTCTATATTCAAGACTTGTAAACGTGGGATGGATTTTTCCCACTGTCATCATTACTCCAATTCGAAATAAGACTTTAGACACGGAAATGATGCAAGGAATCATCACCTTGGATATTAGGAAGTAGCGGGGACGCATCCACAGCTTAGATGCATATGATAAATATAATGATTATGACGGATTTAAGGTACCAAATGGCTCTTTTAAAGTTCTCCGAGTACAATGGTAGACGCCCCTTTCCTTCGAACTTCCATGACTATGTAGTCCAAGATATCGGTAGGTGACGCTACTATTAAAGCCAATGTTGCTGAGTATAATGCAGAGCTGCTTGAAAGAGACTCTGAGGCGGTGCGGAATTCTAGGAATGAACAGTCGGGTAAAGACTCAAGATGGACAGGCTAAGTTTATGTCGGCAGCCCAGGAGGTGAATCCACTGCTTACGGGAAATATCGTGCCAGGAGTAAAACATTTTGATTGCCAGGTATATAAATAACGATCCTACTCCTATTTACATACTCTAATATTATATCATTTATTTGAATATTTCCCGAGGTAGTAAAGTGTAATGCCACCCTTTCGTAAAAATAAACTCCACTACGGATGATAATAATTATAAACACTATTTTAATGTCAATATTAGCCCTACTCAAGACAGACTATGTCTAATGCTCTTATTTAGAAACATGAGTTTATAGTGATAGAAACTTACTTGAGAATACCATTCGTTGGCGGGCTTGCAAGTGTAAGGTGACTCGCATACTGTAGGACCTGTCCACCCATTACCACCACTGTAAATATAAAGGTTAGCAATATTATTGAGGCTGTCTACCAACTACTGTCAAGACTTACCATTGTCCCCAATGGGGCGAAGTTGGAGCACCAGGATTTGTGCCAGTTGATGTCGTCGTGGGCGGGTTAGAAGTGGTTGTCGTACCTGAAGGGGCAGTGGTAGTTGTTGCCGATGGAGGATTTCCAGAACCTGGAATACCAAACCATGCCAAATCGTCGTCGGTTCGTACAGGTGGGGTGTGGCCTACGTTGTTGCAAGAGATGCCTACCAGTTTCGTACCATCGCCGTATATCATTTTTGTATAGCCTGAGATGGGCGTATTTGCTACACTGTGATCAAATGATACCCCAAGCACATTGGACCACTGCTTCAACTGCTCGTTAAAATTCGCATAGGCCAGGGTTGTATCGACGGTCCCGTGATAACTGTTAAAATGCAGGTTAATCAAGAACTGAGAGGGGAGCGTTGGCAAACATACATAAGCAAATTTGGACGGCTTCCGGAATATCCAGGATAATATCCGCGGGCTTGATCGCCCCACTGCTGCGCCGTCTTAATTAAAGTTCCTCCGGAGCACTGACTATTCCAACCAGGTGACCCCGTAGTAGCGCCTGCGACATAGAAACAGCCATCCGGAACGCCTCCATAGATCACGCCAGCTTTGAAAATATCTGGATAAGCACCAGCCAGGACGTTGGTCATCATCGCTCCAGAGCTAGTACCAGTCATATATACTCTGTTTGCATCGCCGCCGTAATTAGCTATGGCGTATTTAACCATGTTTACAATAATCTGGCTATCACCACCACCATTGTGTGTAAGTGTTTGTGTTGAGGAGATGTCCCAGCATCCTGGATGGTTTGGGTAGATGACAATAAATCCGTATTTGTCCGCGCTTTGAGCATATCCCTGGGTTTGGCTAAAGTAGCCAGATCCAGTGCCGCCACACATGTGTATTGCAACAACGATGGGCGCCAAAGCGAGTTTGTTAGTTGGTATGTAGACATACATCGTCGGTGCTGTTGGTGTTGAGACAAAGCCGGTGACTTGCTGGAGGGATGATGAGAGGGCATTTACGAGTGGTATAGCGGCTATTGCAGCTATAGCTGTGATGAGTTTCGTGCCTGAAAACATACTGGCGACGTAGCTTTGCTGCTGCTTTGGGAATACTGGGAAAATTGTAGATGCTGATGGAGTTTAAAGAAAGAACAACTTTGCAGATGCCAAGAGGGTTATTTATATGTACAATGGTTAAAGTTTATGCTTATCCCGCATGTAATAGGCTATGTACGCCTCAGTACATATATCTGGATTCACTATATGGCTACCTCACTGCTAATCTAAAACAATGGTATTAGATTCCATGAATAGAAAGACTAAGCTACTTTTTTTTTGGGTCAACAGATCCTTATTATAATTTTAGCCTCAAAAATTCCCACAAAAGCCAAGGATTTCACGAGACATACAGGTACCCCGCACTTTCATATTTATTCGTCCTAGTTTATATTATAATTAACTTTGGGCTCTTATGCACCTAGTTTAGGCTGTGGATAACCGCCACCTTTTAGGAATATGCCAAGGTATTGCTAAAATATGATTGCTCTTGCTACATTGGTCCCAACAGTTAGACCACGTAGCATTAGGCACAAAAATAAATCGATCGATCCACCCCCCCCCCTTTGTAGTGTTTGCCCGTTTAGTTCTACAAATAATATTGTCTAGCAATGGTATTAGTTGTTAACGGCATATGCTACTCTGATATGTGTTGATATAGCAGCTCCCATGCAGTACAAACATGTGATCCTCATTACTTCCACCGGTTCACACACGTTTAAAATCAAACGACTGATGTAACACCAGCCTTCTCCTCAGACGTCGCTTCCTTGGTGATATTATCATCGCCGCGGTCCGTGATACCGATCTCAGTCTCGCCAAAGGAGTCAACGACGTTTTTATACGCTGGTACAAAGTTAACACACAGAGCATAGCTCCACGATGCAATCAAGAACACCATCGGCACAACCATAGCAATACCACTGCCTTTTGCATCTCCAACTGCGAAAGCTATTGGAGGAACACAAGCACCGCCCGCGACACCACCAACAATGAATCCGCTTCCACGCTTGGTGTGCCTGCCCAGACCACGCATACCGAGGGCGACAATAGTGGGGAAGCAGACCGACTCAAAGAAGAGAACCACGAAGAGCATGGCCACGCCAGTGTTTTCACGTTGAGTAATGACAGGACCACTGAAGACAATGCACATCGTCAAGAAGGCAAGGAATACCCAACGCGGCCGGACGTAACGCATGAGAGCACTGCCGACAAATCTACCCAGCGCAAAAGCGCCCTGAGCACCAGCAAATAACTTTGAGCTGGTAGAACTACTACGACCAGGCTTGGTATAATCAGCGTAGTTGATAAAGCCAGCAGCAAAGGCGACTTGTGCTCCCGTGTAGCAGAACTGCGCGAAGGTGGCGTGGAAAAGCTTGTACTGCTTGTAGAAAGGCTTGTCGTCGGCTTCTGTGTGCGTTACCTCGACCTGGAATGCCATATCTACCCAATGTTAGCTGATTTAGGCATATTGTAGGCAAAGTTCTGGGTCATGAACATACCCGCGTCGGTAATCTCGGGGATATCTGCAAAATAAAATGCTGTGGCCAAGAGGAGGACGAAGGCGGCGATGGCAACATAAACCCATTGCACATTGTCAAGGGCCTTTTCATCGCTAAAATTAAAGAAGACATATGAGCCCAGGACTGGCGCGACGACGGTGCCAATGCCGTTGAATGCTTGGGCAATGTTGATGCGAATCTCGGCGTATTTCGGCGGGCCGCAGACTGGACGCAATCACCAAAGTTAGCCAACCATAATGCGACCACAAAGTGTACAAGTACCGACCTGTAATGAATGGATTGGCTGCCGTTTCTAACGATCCCAGACCATTGCCAATGATAAAAATGCATGCGCAGAAGCCCCCAAACGAAGCTTTCTTCAACGCGGCAATGGCAAGAAGCGCACCCACGGCGTATAAGCAGAGGCCCCAAATGAAGACAGCGCGATAGCCATAATGGCGAAGGATCCAGGCGGCATGGCCGACGGAAGCAAGCGGATATGCGCTGAAAGTGACTGGTTAGCTTTTGCTGTGGTCGTGAAGATGTTGAGGGAGCATTTGCCAGTTGGTGGCTTTCGGCTCTCTTCATTAACTGGGTCTTCATTAACTGGGCTAACATACCCAAAGTAGGCGGCCTGAAGACCTGACGAACGCGCCTGGTTAATATTCAGGACGTTCTGGAAATGTTTGTTGAGAGTATCTAGCAGGCCGTAACTGAAACCCCAGAGAAAAAAGAGGACGGTGACGAGGCAGATGGGGAAAATTGACTGGCGTAGAGTCAGTTCCGCAGCTGCTGTACGGCGAGAATCGTCAGCCTTAAGTGAGCGTCTCTTGAAGAACCCTTCAGTGCCCATGATGGTTATCCGGTGAAGAGTACCAAGTCTGGTGAGGTAAGCTCCCAACAAGACGGTGTGGGATGCTACGGGACTATTATGATGTCTTCGTTTCTGTGGTATGAGGAGGAGAAGGAAAAAGCGGGAGGGCGAGGGTTTAAGAACAGTAGCAATTCTCGAGGTCTTGGATCGCGATCCATTTTGTCTCGCTGGAGACCCTGTCTTTGCGTCAATACGTTACCTCGTCCGAAGCTGTGCTTACGCAGGTCATGATCATCGGTTCCATCGGTGCAACCTCGGTCCCTTCTGCAGCGCGACCGGGCTAAAACGAAGCGACATTTGACTTAGATATACGGACCCATGCGCCTCACTCGACCTTGCGAAATTATGGAAAGGCGACTGATGGATAATTTGTATGGGATAAGGAAATCCACATGACGAATTTTCGGTGCAGCAAACACTTTGACCTCTTCGCCTATACCGCTTTGGAATCGGGTTTTTGTACGCCTCAATTACCCGATCGGTTCATTTTGATCGGCTTATTTACTTGATCGGCTTGGTATGCTTGGCGCTAACCTTTGGCGTCCAGGGTTCACTAGAGCCTGGTTATATAATGAGTTCAAAGAGGCTCAACATTTGGGTTACTAGTTCCAGAAAACGTTGTCAAAATGCAGAGGTAGTTCTTCGCTCTCATTACCTCCATTCTATCTAGTCTGAATTCTTTGGTGCTCTAACGCGTGCTCTAACGCTCGCGATTTCCACTTCTCATTTGGCAAAGTGCCGAAGTTCTGGGGCAATACCCCGCACTGAGCTATGTACGCCATGGCATTTCCCCGCCTTCCGCTACGGGAACCCCCTGGAACCACCCACAACCCTAACTCACACGAGGTTTGACATGACACGTCATAGCACAATTGGGTTTAGCTTCGTTTAGACGGCGCAGCACCCCAACCTCTTCTCGGGAGTTTCTATCCGCCCTCGCAAAGCTCATAGAAGAAGACAAACCCATGCCAGAATGAGCTAGGCCGGGAAGTGTTATTCTTCTAACTCATAATCTAAGGGAAGTATTATTGTGGTGGGAAATACTCAGACGCTCTCGTGAGACTGGCTTCGTTCCCAGAGGCCCGAATTATCGACCAGCTATATATTCATAGGTCAGGGGAGCCATTTGTAGTCTTTCGTCAGTAGTTAATGATTCCTGGAAAGATGGCGATAAAACGTGCGCAAACATAATCCAGAGGTAATCCGAACTTGATCTGGCCCGAGCAAACACTGTGCGCGGTCGCATGAGCTCAATCCGTAAACAGCGGGGATTACGACATTGCTGAGCTAACACAGCCGACATGCTGAGCGGGAGTGAGGAAAACACGTTAATTTTAAGTTTAATTTCATTTAAGTTCAAAATCAGTAAAGTTCGTAATTTCAGTCGCAGCGTTCACCGCTTTCAGGCTGTATAAGAGGACAGCTCTTCCCCCAACTGTTTCTCTCCACGCAACTTTCGCCATGGCACGCAATTTGTCTATCCTCCTCCTCTTTTTGTTGTGAGCTGCTCTTGCCCTACTACTCCTAATGACGCCTCTTCCTTTTGTGTCTTCCATCGCACATATCCATCCTCCGACACTATGACGCTCGTATACGCGGCTCGGCGATCACGGTAATCTCTTTTCCGGCTTGACAGTGCTGCACGTACTGAATGTCGGCGAAATGAGGCTTTTGACCGATTCCGCCGGCGAAACTATCCCCCATGACTACAATTACAGTTCGAACAAGCCCATCATTTCCGGCAAAGGAGTGCTCAGCTTTGCGTTTACCGACCCTCACCAGCTGCAGATCGCTTGCAGATCTCCCTTGTTCTGTTCAAATCAGCCTTCCGCATATTTCAATCGCCGCTCAGCCTATAAGGTCCAATCTGGCAACCGCGTGGGACCTGCTCATCTTGCGTCCGTATATATACGAGATACACCACCTAGTAGTGGTATATAATCTTCGAATCCGCCCTCAAAATGTAGTCCTATCCTGTCTTTACCCTCCTTCATTTTCTTCTTCATCACCCCACCTGCCTATTGCTGTTATAGCTAAGCCAATATGATTCTATCATCTTTGCTACTAGTTGGAGTTGCTCCTGCGTACTCCCTAGGCGCAATACTTTACGCTACGCACTATAGCGGAACTCTCAGTGTCCTGTCGCTGACGACTCAAGGATCTACCTCCAGTCTGAGCGTAGTGTCTAGCAAGAAGACATGTGGTAGCCAGCCTAGTTGGTTGACTCTGGATTCTGCGAATCGAGTACTGTACTGTCTTGATGAGGCAGACGATGGCGCAACATTGAACGCATATGCGGCGTCATCTTCTGGAGCTCTCACCCAGAGCGCACAAATCCGCATTGGTGGGGGCCCCGTCCACAGTACCCTATATGGTGGCCCAGATGGGAGGTCATTCCAGGTAGTTGCACATTAGTATGTTAACACACCTCCTATCAACGCTTCCTTCTAACATGTAAATAGTGGATCTGCACAATTGAGCACGTTTGCTTTGCCAATTAACTCAAAGTCTAAACCACTACAAAGCTTCAAATACACTATGGCCCATCCTGGCCCGAACGAAAACCAAGAAGCACCACATCCGCATCAAGCTGTGCTTGACCCTACGGGAGCGTTCATCGTTGTCCCAGATCTCGGTGCTGATATTCTTCGCATCTATTCCGTGAACAAAAAGACTGGGTTTCTCACCTCCTGTAATAATGTCACTGTTGCAGCTGGAAGTGGACCAAGGCATGCTGGATTTTGGAACCCTGCTGCTGGAACAGATGGAACGAAGTTGTTTCTTGGCAACGAACTGTCAAAGAGCGCAAGTGCATTTTCTGTGTCTTATCCGCAGAAGGAGGGAGGTTGTTTGACGTTGGAGTTAACACAAACTGCCAAACCGTATCCGCCAAGTCCACCAGCCAAGGCTGGTCAAGACGTTGAGGCAGTGATGGTCAAGGTACAAAATTCTTCCTAGCTTGTAAATTACAGCTATAGCGGGTGAAAGTTATGCTAACCTAAATGATAGGGCAATACGCTCACAATTTCAAACCCTACTGATAATAGGTTTGGATCCAATAACGACTCCCTAGCCGTCTTCTCGATTTCCTCATCAGGCACAATGGCTCTGCAGGATATGTCGCCCACATATGGAAGCTACCCGCGGACGTTCCAAATCAACAAGGCTGGCGATCTTGTTGCAATTGGAAATCAGAATTCTGGGACAGTCGTTATTGTGGCGCGAAATCCGACATCGGGAAAGTTGGGAAAGAAGGTTGCAAGTGTAAAGGTTGGGCCTCAAGTGACAAATGGAGACGGCGGTCTCAGCAGCGTGATATGGGATGAGTAGATTAGATGCTATATACAACGAGTTCGTGAGCTGTTTGAAATGTGGGTACACTTGGAATGGGCGGAATTTTTGAGATAAATAGAAGAATATGTGTTAATCCAACATACAGCCCCCGTGGTTACTTCTCTAGGTTTCTGCTGTTGTCTTCAAAACGTTGGCTGGCGTAGATGGTGAATCTCAAGACAAGATTCTGTCCCGAAAGAGAATGAGATCTTATACAAAAGCGAAAATGCCCATCAAAAGGCAGAAACTTCGATGAATAGGCTCCCTTAGGAGCCATCTGCCAACCCCCAAAAACGAAAATGTAATCGTGGTCGGAACTTAGACTAAATATGTAATTGCGGCATGAGAGGCCGTCTGAATGAGGTTGGTACATGCGACTTATGTTGTGATTTACCAAGTAACAGGTCCTGTGGGTCCGACGCGAATATACTGAGTCCTCAAACCTTTTATAGAGGCAGAGATGATGTAATCAAATAATAAACTCCATCGCAAAGGTCGAGGGTCTTGGTGTGGTGGAATACAGGATCGGAAAGAAGCCGAGAACCAACTGTCTGCATTGGCGTGTCTACACGGCGAGAGCTACAATGGCGGATCCTGCAAAATCAAATTTCTAAAGCAAGAAAGTCTATATTGAAAGTGAAATAAAAGGAGCTTCAATTGGATTACATATCACCTTCAACTAGACATTCTTATAACGCGTTATATACCGGCCGGCCAGTACCAAGCCGAAGCCAAATCGAAGGGGCGAAGAGCGGTCTTCACGTCACCCTTCGGCTCCCCGAGCTAGGAGTTCGTGCTTGACTAAATATAATATTCGTTGCAGTTATGAATTTACCAGCCGTGTTCGTCGTGGTTGCCAACGGTGCTCACTTGTACCTTCATTCCATTATTCCGTGGCGTTGAGCCAACGCCCAGGCACCGGCCCGCAACGGGCCTTGTGCTACCGCATAAGTTCGCATCCACCCCCCCTAGCGGTCGAGGGCTATGTTAGCGTCAGGGACATTCACATGCCAACCAAGAAGATCTGCATCTCAGATCCAAGATCGTCGACTGCGAGTTTCCACGAATGCACCGTACCATACTTAAAGTAATGCGCAATTGTCGACGATCAGGACATGCACTTACTCAAGCTTGCCCTGATCAGATTTCATGCTGAAGGACTCCATACCAGGACGAAGAAAGCCTTCCAGGGGCCATCGCTCTTGTAGTTCTGTAAGAATGATAGACACTTTAGTTTCATCCCCCCCCCGGAGTAAATTAATGGTGGTGCATGACATTGCCGGTCCCCCCCCCGGAGTAAATTAATAGTGGTGCATGACATTGCCGGAATCTCTACTGCGGATAAACACGAGGTTAAAGTCCGCGTCCAGGGTTCCATGAGCTACTTAGCTGGTCATAACGATATGAGGGCTTTATCGCTTTTATTCCACCTCTAATACCCATAAGAAATAAACTTCCGTACATCACGGGGTCATGTTCGTACAACGCTACAGATCGACGGTACTGAGCGGGGAAGAAGGTCGCCATTTCGGCGGGGTATTGCTTCCCGAAGCGGAGCATATAACGGGTGTAACGCCCTTCGATGAATACTTAAGCTTCTTGTCGATCGGTTAAAAAAGCTTACATGAGTGATCATCCCTCTGTTTCCCCACCAAAAGTGTAGACATGTTCTCAAATCCACGCCTAGAACGGGCCCGCGCACTCGCTTTTAGCCTCGTTGCTGCGAGCTCTCTCGTCGCCGCTGGGCCCTGCGATATCTACTCTTCTGGCGGCACTCCATGCATTGCTGCGCACAGCACCACACGAGCCCTGTATAGCGCCTATTCCGGCTCATTATACCAGGTGAAACGCGGTTCCGACAATACCACGACTAGTATTTTACCGCTTTCTGCTGGTGGTGTCGCCAATGCCGCCGCGCAGGATTCCTTCTGCGCCAGCACAACCTGCCTTATAACTATCATTTACGACCAGTCCGGCCGCGGCAACCATCTCCGCCAGGCTCCTCCTGGTGGATTTAGCGGCCCAGAATCCAATGGCTATGACAATCTCGCCAGCGCCATTGGCGCACCGGTCACGCTGAACGGCCAGAAGGCATACGGAGTCTTCAGTTCACCTGGTACTGGCTACAGCAACAACGCCGCTAGCGGCACAGCTACAGGTGATGCAGCAGAGGGCATGTACGCTGTCCTAGATGGATCACACTACAACGGAGGTTGCTGCTATGACTATGGTAATGCTGAAACCAACAGTCATGATACTGGCAACGGTCATATGGAGGCTATTTACTATGGTGATAGCACTGCCTGGGGCTCTGGCGCTGGAAGTGGCCCTTGGATCATGGCCGACCTTGAGAACGGCCTGTTCTCAGGAGTTAGTCCTGGCAACAACGCTGGCGACCCCTCGATCTCCTACCGGTTTGTCACTGCGATCGTTAAGGGAGAGCCAAACCATTGGGCAGTCCGCGGTGCCAATGCTGCGTCCGGCACGTTGTCAACATACTATAGCGGTGTACGCCCAAGCGTGTCTGGCTACAACCCAATGAGCAAAGAGGGTGCCATAATTCTTGGTATCGGCGGTGACAACAGTGTCAGTGCCCAGGGCACATTCTATGAAGGCGTGATGACCACCGGCTATCCGTCTGATGCCACCGAGGCCTTAGTTCAAGCCAACATCGTCGCCGCCAAATACGCCACCACCTCATTGACTAGTGGCCCAGCACTCACTGTCGGCTCGTCCGTCTCTCTACGGGTTACCACATCCTGCTGCACAACACGCTACCTGGCACACACCGGTTCCGTTGTCAACACTCAGGTTGTCTCGTCATCCAGCACCACCGCCCTCAAGCAACAGGCCAGCTGGACAGTTCGCGCCGGCCTCGGTAACAGCGCCTGCTTCTCTTTCGAGTCAAAGGATACCGCCGGCAGCTACATACGGCACTACAACTTTGCACTCGTGCTCAACGCCAACGACGGAACCAAGCAGTTCCGCGAAGACGCCACCTTCTGCCCGCAGACCGGCCTCAACGGACAGGGTAGCTCAATTCGATCATGGGGTTATCCCACTCGCTATTTCCGCCACTACGACAATGTGGCCTACACTGCTAGCAACGGTGGGGTTCACTCGTTCGATGCTGCCAGTTTGTTCAACGATGATGCGAGCTGGGTCATTGGCACTAGCTTTGCTTAAGGCCTGACACATCTCCTACCAAAGCATTGGCGCATCTTGTGTCTCAAGCATCAAATTTTATGAAAGATATTCTTTCCTTGACTCAATTGCTGACGTCGTGCTGGGGTAGGAAATGGTCCTCATAAAACGCAGTTCATGTTACAGAAGTGGCACTTTCGTGTCTTCAGTATGCGAAGAAGCTACATCACGTTCGTTAGCCTGCTTATTTATAAAACAAGAACACATTTCAGTAACAGTATAAATACTATGGAATATAACCTCGTATAATTTCTATAATCAGAGTAACAGTGGCTACAAACTCCCATCCGTGTCAACTGAACCCATAGGAAGGCAACACCTCTTTATTCGGATGGCACTTGGTGGTAGGGTAGTAGATCAACCTGACATATAGTATCTGGTTCCGGTAGAGTTCCATTCACACTGTATGTTGCAAGGTGCTGTGTTGCACATTTTGACACAAGATTGGCAGATGAGTGTCCGTATCCGTTAATCTCCAACACAACGCCATCCTCGAATATAGCACTCGTGTTATATGCTGACTGCGGAGGAGTATGCCCGTCGAAAGGGTTGGTGACAATCATCATAGGGTAATTCGTCGCAAGGTTCTCCAACACACCATCGTATCGCTGTTTATTATCGAGCTTCCAAGTCGCGCAACTCATGGCCGTCAAGGACGACATATCTCCCATGACACAGCTAGTATTACTAAGTCGGTCCAAAGTTGGCTGTAGCTCCTTGAGGCTATCTGATCAGTCAAAGTGTCACATTCGTAGTCCCATGTAGTGTTGAGCGAGATGCCGTCACATGGTGCCCATTTAACATTTCGCGGATGCAGGGGTACAGCGGCATAAAGGCAAGCCAAACTTGAGAGTAGATGTAACTGTAGCATCTTCGGTCCTCTTAGATAGAGGATTTGTTTCAATTTATTATATTTGAAGGGCTGATGTGCCTCTGGCCTTCGATGCGGAAGACATGTTTTTATAGCAAATTTTAGAGCTCCAAAGAATTCCTTTGGATTTCCCAAGTCCTGCCTGGAGATTGTTTAGAATAGAACAGATCGACAAAAATTAAAGATCGATGGTGACGTGGGCGCCAATTTTAGAGTTGGGGGTCCAAATTTGCTTGGCAGAACCGCCCCAGTGGTACTTTTTGCCAAATATGGCTAAAATATGGTCGGCTTTAGCCCTACATTTCGCGAAACGCGGACAGTCCCGCCTTATAAAATAGGATTCGTGATTTACGTGCTGGGCCTATATCATTGTGCACAGGCATAGCCTCGTACGTGTTTATTTACTTAGCATGAGTAAACTATCAGTAAGCTGTCGTTGATATTCTCTGGTTGTTGTGTTACGGTCAAAATATTTGTTCGTTACAACAACATGATAGTTGTTGAGGCTGGCTTCAAAAAAAATTATGGTTGTTTTGGTCTCCTTATGTAGGTAGGAGAGATGCGTTACCACCGGGAGCTTCGACGGTGAGTTCAACTACCAAAAAAATATGAGTACTCCAAAAATATAGTGTTCTTAATCGAGGTGATCCTCGACTCGCAGATTGCGGCTTCTGTGGATCGAACACAGTGCCTCCAGATATCGGAGCTGAAGTTGTCTTCAGTCTGGCGCTCTCCCAAGTGAGCTAAAGCCGCCTTGGTGTTTGCCTCAGCTACAAAATGCTAGATAAGACTGATAATTCGATTTTTATGACTGCCCGTATTTACAGTTTATATAGCATTTGTTATCTCTTTGATTTGCATTTTATTATTATTGTATTTGTTTTTAGTAAGGCAAAAAAAAAAAAAAAAAAAAAAACTCAATTCAATAATAACTATTCCTTGATATTTGACTTTTAATTATAACTTTTTAGAGAACATTTAATCTATTATATAATATATATATTTATATAAACATGATGGCTTCTACACAACAACTTATTACCATGGGCTTAATACCAGCCAAGTTTGTAATAAGCAGTCCGTTAAGACCCCTTCTCTTAGCTCAGCCGCAAGCACGACCAAACGCATAGCCTCCCACGCACCTAAACTTGGGGTTACGATTAGTTTTAATGGTGGTATACCTAGGTAAAGGACGGCTATACCCCTGTCTAATACCACTCACTTTGCGCAGAACCTCGTCTATAATAATGGAGTTATACACGATTTGAATCGTGACAGATTGTGGTAGTCAGGAGAGTAAGGTGGAGCATACGCAGATCATTAGCGGGGCATAGCCGCCTCACATATTGCTTGGTATGCGTTTGTACTCTTGCTAGAGGGTAGGCAATGCATAAGACATAATGTACAAAAATGTCATATCGAGAGGCGGCTTCACACTGTCTGGTTTCTGAGAAGCATGGCAAATGGCCGACATTAGCTATCTTGGGACTGAGTGCGAAGTATTACAACGAAACTCTTTTACCCATCCACCCAGCCGCACAACCACACTATTGCTGCCTTGCGCCCTTGCATATGAATTATGTGAAGTCTCTTCCCTTTTTGGACGCAAAAGGTTTCTAAAGCCTAATGGTAGCAATTGCAATAACCGGTGAAGAGCTGTGACCGGTAAAGAGTCGTGACCGGTGAAGAGATTGTGGAAATTATGTGGCGTGTCTAGGGAGCAACAGACACCTATGAGGTGAGGTGTGCCACCCTCTCATTAGGAGTCATAAGTTTCATCCAATCAGTAGCTGCTGCTATGCGCTAGGGGCAACCTTTACTGTGTAAAGAAAGCCAGTCTGTCTGCCTGAACATGCTCTCATAAACAGCTCCGATTCGCTGCTTGAGTGACCTGTGTGTGCAAACGCCACAAGATCGATCTGTTTATTCCCAATAGTTTGTTCCATTCCTCTAGCTCTTGCTTTTCATTTATCGGGGTCGGCGCTAAATCTGACATGTCAAGAATGCGTTCCACGTTCGTCTAGTTCATTTTTGAGACTGTACAACAGGGCTATGAAGTTTTAGAGTTTTAGATACTTCCTACTGTATGTAAATAAGACTCTTTTATAAAGCAAGTGTACTTTTTATTTCCTTAATTTCATTGGTCAGGTCGCAGCCTAATGTGAAAGCTATAATCCTCTGGTAAGTTAACGTGAAATGGCGTACCTTGGATCATGGCAAGCCGCTGCATTACAAAGCCTATCAGGAACGAGCTGTCTGCACTGTGATCTGTGATATCTGGCACACTTGATTTACCCTGTCAAAAGGCTAATCGAGACTAGTGTTTACATGAGGCTGGTTGAATGCAAGACTGCGTCTCTATAGAAGAGTCGCGTTTCCCTTTCCTCTTCCGTCAAGTCTCATTTCATTGCACACACGGCATTTCATTGCGCATTGGAGGCGCATATCTAAGCATAATTCTTTCAAACGACTGCCACTATTATATTTACGAACAGTTACGACTTGAATATTCATGTAACTCTCTTTTTATTCCACACAAGAACAGAAGATATAGGAGCAGAACCACCCTTTGGTTTTTATTCCATACTCCAGCCACAAATGAACCCCAACCAGTATTTTGGCCCACACATCCCGGGTCGGACACACACATGTACGTTGACATCCCTTCCAGGTCATTTTCTTTGAGTAGCCCTTTATGATCTGATATTACTTCTCACTTTTACACCTCAACTACAAACCATTGCTAAATGTTTCCGTATTAAAGACACCCATCACGGCCCCATAGCCTACGTCACAAACCAAACGAGAGAGGTTATGAGTCCAGGGACCATAATCGGCATCCTCAACAATTCCCCCATGGCACGAGCAGCGCCCAACCATGCCTACCTGTCCATTGTGACCTTGAGGTATCCACATGGAGGCTTTCAAGTCGTACGGTCGCAAAACCAGGGTGCCCGTATGCAAGGCCAGATGAGGCAAAGGCCGCCAATGCAAAGACAGCCACAGTACGATGATCGGAATGATGGGTGCTGCTGTGGTATAATGTAAAATTAGAGCCAAGCATTGTTTCTCAGACGGTCACCATACGTCGGTGGTGGGGAAAATAGGGATGTATTGAAGAATTCGGAGTGGTGGATTGCGATGCATACTTCAACTTGCTACTCATCGGTCACGCCAAGTGCAAGGATCCCATCAGACAGTTTCGTGTAGGACTGCCATGGTGTTCCTCTCAGGCCAATAAAGTTTTGATCTGGGGTTTTTAAAATATGGAATCGAGTAAGGGTGGCGAGAAACACCCATTTACGTTGGGAGGCTGATGAGTGAACCCAAAACTCTATTTCCATTACACATTACATCTCTATATATCAGCATCTATCAACCACACCACCCCTTCCCACCATCTATGCCTCCTCACCACCAACCACTCTACCTCTTCCCCTCCGGCCTCCAAACCATAGCCCAAACCCTCACCCCCTCCCCCCCCTTCTTCAGCAACCCATCCCCCCCCACCCGTCCCTCCCCCATAACAATCTCCCTCACCTCCTCAAACCCCAACCTCTTATACAACCTCCTACTCCCCCCCGTCGTCGCCTCCAACCACACCGTCTTCCCCTCCCCCTGCGCCTTCCTCAACACCTCCTTGACCAACTCCCCCCCTATTCCTTGCCCCTGATGCGCCGCCGCCGTGCCGACGAAGAAGATGTAATACGGGTCTTCGCCTTTGCGTAATCCGGCTTTGCGGGCGGACTTGCAGGCGCCTTCGAATTCGAAGAGCATTTTTCGCACGCCGCGGAGGCCGAGCTTGAGGAGGACGGAGGGGAGGCCGGAGGGGAGCATGGTAAGGGGGTTGTCGATTGAGGAGCCTGGGGGGAGGAGGACGATCGTGCTGCGCCATGGGTGACTAACGGCGACCTTGCCGCCCTTCTGCGGGCTACCGGAACTAGGGACCGAAAAGGGAGGGTTGGAATCCAGCTCATCGGTGTGGTAGAAACTCCCCTTATTCATGCCCGCCGCCGTTAGGAGGATGGTGAAGTACTTGGGGAGGTAGGCATTGCGCTCCTCCCGCGTTAGGCCATTGAGGAAGTAGGTGATGAGAGGGTCGGTCTCGAAGATTGGGGCGAGGAGGGTGACGGCTGGGTGGATGAGTTCTGGGGGGTGTGTTAGACGGGGTTATAATTTTGGGTGTTTTCTTATTGGGCAAGAGGAGGGGGAGGGAAAGGGCGGATGGTGGGGGGGTTGGAAGTGGGGAACGGGACGCGCCTTTACCGCCTACGGAGATTTGGAGTTTTCCATCTTCCTTCGCTGGCGCGGTAGTAGTGGATGGACCATCTGCGGCTATGGGCGGGGTGTCAAGCGATACGGCCATGGCGGGGAAGTTTGATGGGGAAGCAAGTGGTGGCTTTTACAGCGGGAGTGGAATTTCTCGGCGGTGGATAAAAAAATATCAAATTGAGGAGATTTGGAATCGAGAATTAAAGAATTGAGAATTCTGATGGCTGACGGCTGACAGGAGGCTGAAGTTGAAGGAGGAGATTATATATATATCACGTGATATAAGACGCGTATATACTGACGCGGCGGGACTGACAGCCAAGAGAAACTCGGAAATCGGAGGTTATGGAAATAGGCCACGTGATATAAAAAATCCCCTTTCGAACGTTAGAATTATTTTGCAAGAAGGATTTGTGAAATTAATATAACCGTCACGTGGTGTAAGAGTCATGAAATTAACATATCTGTCACGTGGTGTAAGACGGGCTTGGCCGTTGCAAAACTTCAGGGTTCATGATTTTCCCCCAGATTTTGAGAAATTTTGGGGAGCGCGCGCTCGGCACCGTGCGTTGCGTGGACTGCTTGGCCCCGTGCGCTTTTTAAGGGTTTCTGGGGGGATGCCGAGGCATGGCATGGGGAAATGAGGGGCCGTTCCGGGCGATGCGGCTGAGGGAGCGAAATGAGATTAGCGATCTGGGAGGGAGCGAGAATCCGGGGAAAGGGATGGAGCGAGCAGGCAGGTGACTGTGTGTGACTCAGGTGACTGACTTGATTGCGGAAATTTGGTTTTGGATTTAGCTTTTTGTTGAGTTCTAAGTTTGGTGAGGCTTTAACACGAGTACGGGGTATGGACCACAAACCCAAAAAGTACCAAGGGGCCACGATGCTTCTTTTGCGCCGAGGTTTGGTGTAAAGTCCAACAAAGAAGGTACACGCGGAGTAGTGTGCTCCCTTTGATGGACACGTTTTAAGGCCCTGTTTAGAAAAACAGCCGAGACGAGAAAAGCCACACCATGGGGATCTCCCGAAGATCCCAACAGGTCACAGGCTGGAAAATGAAGCTCACGATGGGTCGGTGCACCGATGCGCTGGTGCACAAACTGAGTCATCACCTGATTTACCGCCACCGCCTCTTGGACCGCGGAATGCTGAAAAGGGGGAAGGCGTTAACGCTGCCAAGGGCGTCCAGATCGCGTCTTTACTTTACGATGCAGCTGTAGAGGAGCAAGGAAGCAAGACCAAGCACGACCAAGACTAAGACCAGGAGTAAAACAAGTAGCAAAGTAAAGTAACCTTGTAGTATACTTCGTACCTCTCCAATCCAACGTCTTTGTCGTAGTGCGTGTGAGCGTTTGGAAAGTAGAGTAGAGCCCAGGCCCAGACTCAACCGCCCGCTTACCCACGGGACCACCAGCGCTCCCCCTCCGCACTCCCAGTAAATGCCTCTCATGCCTCTCATCCCCCCAGAAACCCAGCATCCAAGCGGTCCGCCCTATTTTTAGTCACACTGCGTCTCCCAAGTCCCCTCGTACTCTGCGCACCCAAGCAGAGAAAACAGAGAACAGCTCATAAAAACTCAACTCACCGGGCCCGCACTAGTCCCACAACGGCACTAGCGTAAGAATATTCCAAGACCTTCCAAGACTCCCAAGCACCCGCTGACCTCGCTAATTACCCCCATTTTACCTAATAGTGACCAGGATGGCAACGACGAGGGGGCTGGATGCGCGACAGTGAGGGCAGGAGAGGCGGTTGTGAGGGCGCATGGCGAAATCTCTGCGGGCGTGGTGATGGGGAGTGGATGGCGTGTGGGTCTTGGCGGCAGTCACGGGGAGGGAGGAGGGGGGGGCGATGGAGGGATGACGGGAGGGGGAGGTGAGGGATGAGTGAGGAATGAGGCGATGAGACGATGAGAGACGGCGTTCAGGGGGTTGATGGTGAAGTTGCAGTGCAGGTACGGCGCGTGGTTTGTAACTGCACGATTTGCACGCTATTTGGGGCGGTGGAGAGAGGTAAGTTTGTAAAGTGTCTAGAGCGTGCGCAAGTGTATGCGGTGGATTGGAAGCTATGAGGGTTTGAGGGTTTTTTGGAGTGGTTTGGTGATCATGAGCACCGTCGGCATAGGAACGTGAGGGCGTTGATGGGCTGGCGACGATGGAGAGGGGTCAGGGGCAGAATAGCGGTGGGTGGGTGTACAGTACGGTGTGTGTTAGTGTGTATTTGTGAGTGTATTTTGTGTGTTACTACGTGTATTTGGCTATTCTCGGTGTACTGACTGTACTGAACTGTACTGACTGTGCTGAGTGAGAGTAAATGAGAGTAAAGTAAATAAAATACACTCTACGGAGTACTGTACTGTGCTCTCTTAACCTCAATGTACCTTTTCTTGCCTTTCTCCGTTCCACCGCTTGTACACCTTCATGTACCTTCTACTAGGCTCACGTACCTTCTCAAACTTTCTACTACATTTTACTACATTTTTCACTCTAGTCATCGCCACCACACCCCATACTAATATCATACTATACCATACTATACCACACTATTACTCTACTCCACGCTCAGTCATCCAAGCAAAGCCTTGACAAACCTCACACACTCCTCAACCCATACGCCAATGATCGCCAAGTCAAAAATACATCATCGGTACTTGCCCCCCTCCAGTACCCTCTCGTACCAGACAACGTTTTCCTCGGCGTGCTGCCCCAGGCGACGTGACTGGATTTGAGTTTTGCGTCATGGCCACAGCACCGAGAGACTTGTCTCTCTCGCTCTTGGTATATAGTCTCACTAGCCCCCTCAACTCTTTCGTGCCTGGATCATTATATTCTCTCTGCCATTATAAACAGACGACCTTCTTCAGTCATCGTATTGTTGATCGCCAATTCGCTTCAACTATCATCTTCATCCTCACGCCGGCTCTCTCATACGCACCGGTTCTAAGACACGCAGCTTACCCCTGCCCATCAACGATCGACTCGACCCATTTGCCACTTCAAAATCACGTGGAAGCCCCCAAGGTTACTCATCGACTCACCTCACGTGAAGACTCAAACACGAAGCTTTCATATCACGTGGAGACCATCACGTGATACTCCTTCTCACATTACAACAACAACCCACACAACCGCCATCATGGCGTCGACATCAACAGCGAGCACCTCCACCCCTCCCCTCGCCGAAACCCTCCTCGCCCTCCCCATCAACACCCAGCGCCAATCACCCCTCTACGCGCTCCCCCAAGAGATCCGCGACCAAATCTTCGCCTACGCACTCACACCCTACACCCCCAAGGCACCTCCCCCACCCCCAAAGCCATCGGCGCTCTACCCTTCAACCAGCGCACCGCGCCCGCGCAAGCCGAACCCATGGAACCCTATCCGCGCACCCTACGACATCAACACCCCCTACTCACGCCCCGGCCAGCGCGCAAAGGTCCACCACCCCACGGCCCTGCTGCTGGTCAGCCGCCTCACACACCTCGAGACAGCGCATATGCCTGTCCCCTTAGCGACACATACTTTCTACGCCCCCCCTTCGAGCGGTCCACCAGATCTGTTGGCGTCACCGGAGTACTTCGCTCGCATGAGCCCGGCGCAACAAGATACCGTTCGCCGTGTTCGTGTGTTTGCTGATGTGGCGTGGTTGCTTAAGGGGGAGTTGAAGGACATGTGCGCGCATCCTGCTATGCGTGGTGTCACCGACTTCTCCCTCGTGGTTCGCTGGTGCGATTGGCGCGGTTGGGCATCGAATGAGGCGCTTAGCCTTGCTAGTCGTCCTCTGCCCTTGGTGCAGGTTGAGGAGGAGGAGGAGCGTTTACAAGACCCGGCCGAGCAGGAGATGGAGTTCTCTGCGCCACCAACACCAATGGCCGGTGTCGAGATGGCTGATCCCATGGGGGCACTTGCCCAGGAGGGATGCGCCGATGCCCAGGAGGCGCTCGAGGCCGCGATGGCACAACTCCCGAACTTGAAGTCTGTGTCCCTCTCCCTTGAGGCACCATACGTCAAGTCCGATGAGCTCGAGGCGCAACTCTCAGCTGCGCGCGAGTGGACCTTCCACCTCGGCGGCAAGGCTGCGAGGGAGGAGGAGAAGACCGTCAAAGGCGTTGTCTCTAGCGAGGCGGAGTGGGAGGCGCCCATGTGCGCATGGAGCGATTTCTGCGCTCACTGCGGCGGTGGAATCGGAGATGATAAGGCTTGCGAGGAGCGCAAGAGGCGCAGGTGCCGTGGTCTCGGACCGAGAGTCCTTGGTGGTGTTGTGAGGTGGTGCTGATCGGATCAGACCATCTGTTTTCCTGTTGGCTTCGGCCGTTTCTACTGCGGATTTTGCGAGGTGCTTGTTTCTGGAAGCGACAAAAAAAATTATGGGCTTGTCTAATTGGGGGACGAACGGGATTTGGGATTTGTTTTTATTTTAATTCAGCGAACGGGATAAGGGAAAGGGAACAAACAAACAAAAAGTGCAGCGAATTAGGAAGGGGGGGTGATCATAGTGCATGAGGCCCCTGGCGACCCTGGGAGAGAATTAGTTAATACACACATCACACATACTTTGCATAGCGCCCAGGGATGGGAATGGGAAGGAATGGGGATATAGCATAGCTTAGCATAGCACCCAACTTCGGATGGAAGCGTCTGAGGACGGATAATAAGATACCATAATTTTTTTACCACACTATCATCTCTCAGCATACTTTGTGATTTATCGTGCAGCATACCATACTACATAGCTATAGTAACCAGTAGCTGTCATTCGTCATACGCCTGTCAGAGTAGAACAGCACTAACAGCACTTCCGCAATCCTACAGGGTAAGACTTACATCCACGTGAACGCACCCCCTACACCCTTCTAGCATTCCTTCTATGCAAGTAGCCGCCTCCTTCGCGCCCCTCTATCCCGACCCCGAGAGCTGTACCCCGGATTTCTCGTACCCTGGACCCCACCTCAGCTCCCTTCTCCATGTTTTCATTTGGGCCATGGGGTAGGGGATTTCGGGGAAAGGATTTGGGTAGTGCGGGGAATTAAATGCAGCGAATGCGGTGATATTGGAGATATGATAGATGTGATCGATGTGATCGATGTGATAGACACCTTGCTTGGTGAAGTCATGATGGTATGTGTACTTGGCGAATATGAGTACCGCAGCGTTAATCTAAAGTGCCGGAATTCGCAGGCATCCCGCGCGCGCCCGTGCATATTGCTTAATCCCCCACGTTTATTAGCCTCTTCGCACTCTTCACTTCACAAATCATCAGTAAGTAAAACACGCATTTAAATACCGTAAATAGCGACAGCGTACAACATAAAATACCATCAAAATAACTCCCAGTACACCACAGCCCAGCAATGAGGCTGTAATCGTATCTCACCACCAACACGTGCGCACCCTCCACGTCCCCTCGGTCCTCATCCGGCTTAAATCCCCACCAACGACCTTAGCGCACCCGGGGCCACATTTCTCAGATCGTCGATCTATTACCCGATCTAGCATTCCTCCCCACATTCGTCGCGAATAAGGACCCGTGAGTTATGACCGCATTAGGATGAGAGTGATAACTGGTTAGGAATGGACGTCAACGTTACACTTGGTGCGTAGGATGTTGCGAGCTGGAAGTGGTGGGAAGGTGTCGGGGGTCGGGGGGATGGGGACCGAGTGCGGTTGGGGGGAGGTGGAATTACTTATTGGGAGGGATGGGATGGTTGTTTTGTTGTTTTTGCATCTTCAATTGATGTTGAGATTGTGACTACGAATATATTGAAGGAAAGGAATGTAAAGAGAGAATTGGCGCTGGAATTGATAAATCAACGTCATTATATTGACGGTTTGCTCTGCCGCGTTTTTGGTTGATGTGAGAGCTGAGCTGAGCTGTTACACACGCCTTCGTTGTCAACTGTCGGCGTTGAAACACCTACGACACACCATAATTCACACACGCAAGAGGACCAAACCACCACGATGGGTACAAAACAGAGACTCAAGGGCGTCTTCAGTCGCAAAATCGCCGTCGAAGACAACACCATAACCTCCGCCGCGAACCTCACCCTCCGCCAATCCATCATCCCCAATCTCCTCGGTACGCCTATCTTACCACTCCCCCCCGCCCCCCCCCCTCTCCCCGTCCCTCCCAACTAACACCCCCCAAGTAACAATCCTCTTCTTCCTCTGGGGCTTCGCCTACGGCCTCCTCGACGTCCTCAACAGCCACTTCCAGCAACAACTCCACATCACGGCTTCCAAAGCCTCCGGCCTCGCCGCCGCCTACTTCGGCGCCTACTTCCTCTGCCCCCTCACCATCTCGGGCTGGATCCTGCGCCGCTACGGTTTCCGCGTCACTTTCATGTCCGGGCTCTCCGTGCTGGCGATCGGATGTCTACTCTTCTGGCCATCCGGGGTAAAACGCTCATTCGGCGGATTCTGCGGGAGTATGTTTGTCGTCGGCGCCGGTCTATCCACGCTGGAGACTGCGGCGGATCCGTTCCTGGCGATTTGCGGACCGCCGAGGTATTCTGAGATTAGGTTGAATCTAGCGCAGGCGGTGCAGGGGGTGGGGAGTTTCGTGGCGCCGTTGTTGGCGGCGAGGGTATTTTTTCGGAATGCGGAGTCGGAGGCGGGATTGAAGAATGTGCAGTGGACTTATTTGGCTGTGGCGTGTTTTGTGGCTTTGTTGATTATTTTGTTTGCGGTGGTGCCGATGCCGGAGATTACGGATGCTGAGTGAGTTCCCCGATATCTTTGAGAGGAAGGGGAGCGGTCAGTGCTAATGGAGTGGTAGTATGGCGGAGCAGGAGACGGAGATTGTGGGGGAAGATGTTGGGCCACTGAGGAAACAGTATAATCTCTTCCTCGGTGTGTGGAGCCAGTTCTGGTATGTTGGCGCGCAAGTCGCCATTGCCGGTTATTTCATCAACTACTGCAAGGAGGCTGGCAAGACCTCTGCACAGGGATGTAAGTCTCCAAACCCCTGAACTCCCATCCCGTTCGCCCAAACCCAACTAACACCACCCAGCCGACCTCCTCGCCGTCGCCCAAGGCCTCTACGCCGCAAACCGCTTCATCGCCGCGGGGCTCATGACTATCTCTTTCTTCAGGCCGCGCTTCATGTTAGCGGCCTACCTAGGTATGTGCGCAGTCTTCTCCATCGCTGCTATGAACACCCACGGCGATGCGGGGATCGCGCTTTTCATCATGATCTTCGTGTTCGAGTCGTGCTGCTTCGCTACCATCTTTACGCTGGCACTTAGAGGGATCGGGAGGCATACGAAGAGGGGAGGGAGTTTCTTGGTTTCGGCGATTTCGGGGGGTGGTGAGTTTTGTACTCCTATTCTTGACTTATCTCACCACGTCCCATTCATGCGCTCCCCCCCAAAAAAAGGCAAAGCTAATTCAACCCCCAGCCGTCGTACCCCCAATGATGGGCGCGGTAGTAACAGCCCACAATGCTCACTTCGCCATGATCATCCCCTTCATGGGTTATGTTCTTGCCTACGCCTTTCCAATATATGTTAATTTCTTCAATAAGGACGCCATGGACAGCCATCGCGAGACGGACCTGAATGTTGTCCCCCGTGAGGATGCGGGTGGTGAGAAGGAGGCGGGGGTTTCGGAGGAGAGGGAGAATAATGCTGTGCCTCCGGCTTATGCGGGTAAGGAATAATGTATATTTGTGAGATGGATGGAGCTGGGGAAGTGGGGAGTGGGTCATAGTAACTGTTAGCTATCGAATGAAGGAGAGTTATATTATCCTCCACATGCCTTTGCTTATTATTAGTCTGCCCCATATTGCATTGCCACGGTTTCTGAAGTAGTAACTTGATTTGACAGCGCGCCCCATTTTCTATTTTACAAGTGAGAGACGGACGTACCATGCCGAGAAATGAGTCTATCACATAGCGCTGCCCATTTACGCTTATTGATCGTGCTGATCGAATAATCCAAGATACTAGTATAAACTATGATAGTTAAAATTTAGAAGGTGCAGCTAGAAGTGAGACTATGTGGTATCATCAGACGGAAGTACCTCTGAAGTATGCAGATATGTTCCGGCACAACCGTGAGTTGTGCCCGGTCATGAGCTGACCGGCCAGCTCATGAGGGAGAATAACTCACGGTTGTGCCAGAACAAATATATGGACGCCCATGTTTCGGTGCAGAGCCTACCCCTGGAAAATAATTATTATATCCCAAACTCATTATTATGGATTTACTATGCCAGCGGATATTTGGCATGGTTAAATTAGTCAATGAGGATTCCGGAGGACTTCCAATCTTGTAGCTCATATTTAAATAAATGAAGTGACAGTATGTATCCTATTTCCGAAGGACTCAAATATATCGACAAATAGGTAGTTGAAATAGAATTGAAGATCCACGACGCTACATCACTTATATCCATATGCAACCATCTGGTTTAAGTGAGGCACATCTCGCACCGTTCCCTCTTTACCCAACCAACCAATCTGATGATTAACCGGTCGTGGGCTGATCGCCACACTATTTTTCGTCGGCGATTGTTTTAAAACCATGAGCGTTTTTTTCGTATGGCCACGAGTGACCATTCACCTTGTAAGTGGAACAAGATTCACGCAGGACGTAACTTAGGCAATCTAGGTACAGAGTCTTGTCGCCTCTATTCCCACCAATCCACTGGTATACGAAGCAAACATCATTGCTCCATTTAAGATCAAGATCATTAAGATCGCAGACCGGAATGTTAACAAATAGCGGATATGATGACAGAGACTCCACATCTGGGCTGTTGGCTATTTTTAGAAACATATCACTCATGACGCTGCTTTTGCGCGGTATGAATTCTTTCGCGGCCTCCTGAACCCGAACTGCGGAGATCACCATTTCGCTCTTGTCGATGCCGACTTGTGAGATTGTATCTTGGGCGGTGCCATAATCGTTAAACATATACTCGCGGTCGAGGTCCCAAGAAAGCTGCCACGGGTGTATGTTAGTCTAGAACAAAGCCATGGAAGAAGATTCGAGCTCACCAGTAAATAGTTGTTTTCGCCCATTCCTCCCTCGCCATGTGGACAGTAGTACTTCCCATTGAATGTCTCGTCATAGCTCACCGTACCATAGCAAGGGTCGAATTTGAAATTCCTGTGACTAATTGCTCCCTCTCATGTGTAATCTAACAATCCCTGTCTGAATTTAACAATGAACATCCTTTGACTATTCCAAATTTCGCTGATGATTGGTGCTTTGATCATTTTGCGCATCAATTTGCGGTCAAACTCGACATATCCGGGCGTTGGATCCCTAATGCCTGTATCTGTATCTAGCATCCCGATATATTGGTTCGAAAATACGCCAGATTTTAGGATGTTAGAAAGTTGGGTACCTTGCTCAATATTTCCCGTGGCAGGATGAGCAAAGAACATTTTTTGGAAATAAATGTCAACCGTGTCCACAACCAGATCTTGCATGTCGCCAAACGTCGTGGACAAGTTAGCAAAACTAGTGAACCCCGGATCGTGGATCTGAGCAGCGCCATCAGCAAATGCACTGGCCATGCCGAAGATACCGGATGCTGCAGCACCAGCCATGCCACCGAATCCAGGCATAAATGCTGTTATTGCAGTAACAGCGCCACCCGCCATGGTGAGCCATGCTCCATCACTTATGGCGAGGCCTTTGTTTTGTTCGGCAATCAAGATTTTCGCCATTGTAGGAAGATCGTAGGCGGTATTCCCTGCCTCAGATTTATATACCTTAACAAATCTCTGTATAAATCTAGCAAAATTGGCCATTGCGAATAGAGAGTAAGCTCGTTCCCAGTCGGTCTCACAGTTTTCTTTAAGATGGACGGCAAGAATGATGCATGTTTCTAGGATACTAAATAATGAATGTAGTTAGTAATGCCCATGTAACAATGCCGACATAGGATAGGCCGCTACTAGAACTCACCTTAGACAAGATGGAAGCCAGTTGAAAAACTCGTCCTCAGTAAGGAGTCTAAAATTTGAAATGACTCGAGGTACTCCAGCATCCCAAGAGTTGGTTTTTGGTCTAGGCCACCCTTCGGGTCTCCCGCTATACCATCGAGTTCTGCAGAATTAGATATGCTGAATGAAAATACAATGGAGATGCTAAACAGAATCTTACCTCTGGTCTAACCACGTCCCAACTTGTAGTTCGTTCCAAAGCTCCGGAGACCAGCTTCCTTCATTCTTAGAGCAAAACTTATTGGCATTTACTTTGTCATCTGGGTCGGTTGGATCTATCGGACCACTTGGATTGTATGCGGGTAACATAGGATCCGGGACTGGACCCTCGCCGTCGTCACCTCCCCCAGGGCAGCTATTGAACCATATAAATCCCTAACACGTCTTAATTAATGATATCATTGAAGGAGGCAAATTCAACGATAGATGTAAGGGTTCTTGCTTACTTTAGCTGTAGTTGGATTAACATCCACTATATCAGCTCGACCTACCCCCCCTATGTTTGGGAAGTGCATGTTAGATCCACGAGAGGATCCTTTATATACTGTCCCCTTAAGGCTCCAACGAAACGAGCTGCCTCCAACACGTTCGCCGTTGGGCAGCTCGCCAAGATTTTCCCAGACCTTTGTGTCGCCGTTGAACTTGTCTACCCAGAGAAAATCTGCCCTCCCGTCCCCTAAGCAGAAACTATAAGTACTCTTGCAATATCAAGTAGAATGAGACAGGCATACCGTTAACATCAGCAAAACGATGGTTTGCTCGGTCAAATTTTTCACTAAATTTAATCTGGCCGACAGAGCGGAGGTCTGACCCATCATCGTTCAACCAAGCCTCCGTAGTCCCGTCAGGTTTCATACAAAGATAGTCAACCCGACCATTTCCACTATGTTAGACACAATTTGTTAGTATCTGCAACTACATATGTCGTGACTGAGCGACTCACGTTAGGTCGGCAAAGATCACCCCAATGTCAAACAAGCCAACACCCCACCCCTGATTACACTTGCCGCTGTTGGGGATAACCTGTTTAGCGAATGAAAATTTATTCCCAGCATAGCTGGTCTTCCAAACTGTGACTGCACCACTCCCTTTTTCAACGGCAATGATGTCGGCCTTTCCGTCGCCGTCCCAGTCTCCAATATGCAAAGCTCGACGGTCATATCCGGTTTCAAGATTGACGTGTGCTGCGTCCCAGCCACCGCCTGTTTTGAATTTGGATGTGTCAGGAGGCTGATGAAGATTCCTAAAGATGGCAACTTTGCCATCGGGCGAGATCCAGACATAATCATCGTTTCCATTACCATCCATGTCGCCCCAGTGCGCGCCATCGCCTAGAATAATCAGCCTCTACTTCTTTAAGCATAACGTAAATCAACAGCCAAAAAAGGGGTAAAGGGCGTAATTGTTGCCTTGTTATAATTTACCTTTCTGGTGCTTGCCTCCACCACCATCGTTTTTCCAACACTTGAGGTCTTTGAACATAGTAAAAGGTTCATACGGCTGTTCAACAAATACATACTATGAGAAAGTTAGAATCTTCTAGTGCGTGTTTTTTGTAGATGGCATATTGTACTTACGTCTGCACGCTCCCCATAAACCTGTCCAAAGAGAATGTTTTCATCCCGCAAAACGCCTTTTCCCATTCCGGCATGGGTCACAACAGCTTCTAACCATTTCGGTACAAGACCATCGCCATCGCCTCTCTGATTAATGTAGGTGACAACTTGGCCATATTTGTTAACCAACAGCCAGTCAGAACGACCACTATTACCTAGTTAAGACTGTCCATCCAAAGAATTGTTGCAAGATAATGAAACTTACTCGCCGTTGATATCCACTATATTAGTTGTTAGCCAAACTTGTGAATAGATCGAACAAACTTTACTCACCAAATCTCCCTTTCTGGCCATCCACGTATTTACTACCAGTGAAAACTTTTCCTAGATTTTGCCAGTATTCGGCTTTGTCACTTAGGCCGCCATTTCTCCAACACCAGACGTCATTGCTATTGTTAACAACACAATAGTCCAATCTCCCATCGCCATCGATATCTATCAAATGCATTATAATAGTTAGCAGCCTATTTCCTCAGAGGATATAAGGGAGGGTAGAGTGACATACCACCAAGCCGAACATAATCGCGTGTATATCCTTCGGGGGAACTCTTATACTATATAGCATCTTGTTAATATGAGACACTTTTTTCCGCTCCAATATATCACTTACAATTCCGCCTAAAGATTTGAATGTGGGTGGGTTACCTCCCTGATTAATTGAAACGTACCTATATAAGAAAGTAAGTATTAATCATTTTTAGTTTTGTTAGTAACCTACATATTTCCTGCTTCCCCAATGCAGATGAAATCATCAAGACCATCATTGTTCTATTTCAAATTAATATTTAATGAACAACAATTAATAAACAATATACGTACCACATCGCCCCAACGAACCCCTAATAAGCCATTAGCACATGAAATTCTGAAATTTGTAGCAAAGGTAAAAGATAATGATAGTTATCCAATGTAAGATGCACTAACCTGCTACCGGGCAGCTGTCATGGACGTCAATCTTCACTTCAGGGCCGAAAGTCCCATCGCCTTGGTTAATAAACATCGTAATCTTCAAGGCAGATCCGTCGACATAAACTATATCATCACGTTCGCCGCCACGGCCTACCTTTTGAAGACTTACCAGCTGAGCGAGAAAAAAATCGGTGTTGCTAATGGCCTCTTTCCCAACGTGGCTGTGGATTACCCCCATTGCTGTAGAGCGATGCACATAGTTCCCATCATTATATATCAACCCTGAGTTAGCTGTGAGGATCTGCATTCCAGATCGAGGATCCGCAGATCCACTTCCTAAAACCTTCGGGCAGGTTTTTCCATAGGTTCCATCCTGGAAGGTCACGTCGCTGCTTGGCTGCACAAGCCAGCCTTTTTTGTCCGCTTGGTTGATCGCATGATGCCAAACAGCCGCCATTTTCTGGTAGCCGCTTGGATTCGGGTGAGTTTTATCAAAGATCTCGTTTATGGATATGAATCCATCATCCATTTCGGCCAAAATTATGTGAAAGCCGTCGTTTCTAAACTTCGCTGCGATGTTCCGATACTGGTCGTTAATTTCTGCCACTTTTCCGGGAGCTATTGAGTTGGGAAGGAGCGTTGATAGAATAACTACAGTGCTAGGAACCTTTATGAAGCAATTCATAATCATGTCTTTCATGCGATCGCCGGCTGTGCTAACATCGTGATCTTTCGTTGCATCATTCGTGCCAGCATTAATCAAGACGGCGTTTGGTTTGAAGGTCGATAGGGCAAATTCTGCGTGTCCCGCAACCTCAGCGATTATCGCACCTGGGTAGCCTTCACTATCCTGTTGTTATTTAGCATCTAAATTTCTATAAGAATCCAGAGTATTTATCATACGTTGTCTTGCATAGTCCCACCTGGTTGGCTGCCAACCATGTTTACTTGCCATCCGTCGAAACGAAGTTGGTCCCGTAAGAATTTCCTATACCCATTGTTGTCTGCTCCTGGTACTCCTTGGCCCTTTGTTATAGAGGCTCCGAGGGGCATAATACGGAGATAGTAATTCGCAGCGCGGCGACTGATGTCCTCAGGGAAACTCGAGTTTCCAGAATAGAACGGAATGGCCACGGTAGAAGCACAAAGAGAAATTAACACGCCGTACTTGGCATACGCAATTTTGAACGACACCATGGTCACTCCAAGACAACAAAGCTGTCTATCAAGCTTGTGAAAACGACTTCTTGTACTCTGGAAGTCTTGTGGGCGAAATGTACTTTAATAATATTCCGTTAATCGTTTGTCCTCGGAGATGAGAATGCCAAACTCAACGCTACCGGGAGTTGGAAGAACTGTGAGCCCTGGCAATCCCATTCGAATCCATCGTCTCACTTGGCAAAGCAACCTAGCAGAGAAATCGGGGCATGGGATATTGGTTTGAATAATACTAGTTAAAAATCCTCCTCCACGAAGGCACGCTAACAATACCAGCATGCGAAACACCACGAAGATATCTGCACATACTTCATATCAGTAAGCATATTATCACTCTGTACATATCTGGTACTGGAGTACATTACTTCGGGCCGTTACTATTATTAGTAATATCCCCTTCAAGTGACATAGTTGTAGTGCCTATCCTATGTGCCTGAATGTGTAAATACCGACTCCTATTCCTTCAAGTCTTTCGACTCCTCTATTTTTCGGGCTGAATTGTAGGATTGTAGGATTCGCCAGTGTAATTACAGACCTTGGCAACATATAGACCACTGAATATTCCTTGGCGACTCGGAGAAAGGTACAAATGACACCACAGGATTGACACTTCCGCTAACAGACACGGCAGGTTTAAACATGGATGATAGTCCTTTGATGTGGCCTAATACATAGGCTAGTTCCTCATTCGTATATATAGCGGGATAGGGCGGGTGGGTGTTGGGGGTGATGCGGGGATATTGTAGTTATTCAAAAACATGCCAGCTCGCACAATGAAATACCCTGGTTAACTTCAATAAGCATAACGTATAAACACCTTTCCGCGACCTACCTTCTAACCCCCAAGATAACTTACGTATAAATTCTATAGCACAGAGTGGCCTTCCAACTAGGTCACAGGGCGGTGGGTGTGATCCACGGTGCGGCATGTAAAAGCACCAGTCACGTCGGTATTTGCCCTAGTAATGTAGTTAGTTTCTGAATGTCATTAATCATACTGTAGAGTAACTTATCCGGTTTAGCCGTGCTCTTCAGCTCGTGAGAATTGTCCCAATTGGGAGGTTTCTTTCTCCTTCTAATAAGGCATCCGTCTAGCAACGTGGGGGCTAAAGCTCGTACCCATAGGGCAATATGTCACAATACATAGTGGCTTCTAGATCTAAAACGAGTGTAATAACGACGATATTTTGGTCCCTTCAATCGTCCTTGGTTTACCTACTCCCATTTACATGAGTTTGTTGTCTCATGTTTCTACCGTATATCACAGCACGTTATGCGATCTAGAGAGCAAAGATGGGGGAATCTGCCAAAGCGCACGACCATCATTTTGGGATCGAAAGGGTTGAAAAGTTGACGGTGGCGTTTATGGAAGGACGATAAAATATTGTTTATTGTCAAGCACATCTAGGCCCAGTCGAAATCAAGGCTGGTAGTAATGCACAGATAAATGTGTATTTTTGGTGGTGAGGGTGTGGGAAACCACCACCATGTGGACGTTGCGGGGGTGTGCATTTATTTTGGGGGGTGTCCAAGGTTACTACTCATTGTTCGCGGTACTGACAGGGGGTTTTTCCCGCGATTCCTTCGTCACTCACACCTCCCGAATCTAGCTTGGCCTGCCATAATACCCTGACAACCAGATCCTACGGTGCCATTCTGCACAATCCTCCAAGCTCCCAGCCTTTGCCGGCGAATGCTTCCTCTCTGACATGCGCATAATAGCGCAACCGCAGTCGGCATTGGCGCGAGCCTGGAGAAAATTGACTGGGGCATCGGGGCAGCAAACAATCCTGCCGCGTGAACTGTGAGAAGCAGGAACTCAGATCCCCGAAGAAGGGACAAACAACAACTACAGGTTATTTTGTCGCGTAAATCTGGGCGATAGATTTAATAATGAGAGATATATTACTTTGCGAAAACTTGGGTATGGCCAATACTCAACTGTTTGGCTGGCGCGTGACCTGAGGTACAAATCCGAACCACTACGATTCAATCGAATCCTTGGATCTGTCATTGACACACCCCTAACACCATACTAGGAGAGTGGCCGAAGGGTGGTTCAACTCCACCGTCGAAGCTCCCGGTGGCAAAGGCACCTCTCCTACGTATCACAGGAAAATAAAACAACTACAATGCTTCCAAATCCGAACCACTAATTTAAGGGGCTCTCAGTAAGCTAACAGTATGCACCAGAACGAAAACACACGTGGCCCTTAAAGTTTTAAGGTCGGATTGTTATAATGACAATCATGATATTTTCGAGCTTGAGATGCTACAGCACATCGAACATGAATCGTCCCTATCGACCCATGCCGGATAAAACCACGTCCTTCGGCTGCTCAACCACTTTCGCCACGAAGGAGAAGAGGGAACTCACGTATGTCTTGTGTTCCCCGTTTTGGGGCATCACCTAGGCCTTCAAATTGCCAAATTTGACCAGGGACGCATCCCAGTGGCTGTGATGAAGGAAGTAGCTCGGCAATTACTTCAGGGGTTGGATTATTTGCATCGAGAATGCGGCATCATACACACAGGCAAGGCGCTCAGTGCAAAAATAGCTTGAAAGAGTTAATAATTGACCAATCAAATATAGACCTGAAGCCATCGAACATACTACTCGAGCTGGATGATTCCAAGGCAGTTGTTTCGAGATATATCGAGCAAACCCCAGTTCGAACCACAGAGACAGATGCTGGCAGCGAGGAAGGCGTAATTGCGACACCCCTGAGTGAAGTTATTACAACACCATTAATCTCAGAAATGGATAATATTCGTGTGAGGATTATCGATTTTGGAGTCGGTACGGTGCCCCTGACCTCCATTGGGACCCCTTTGCAGCGGGGATGTTACTGACTTACTGTTCGCAGCATCTTGGGTGGATAAACATTTATCAGATCGGATCCAACCACCTCATCTGAGAGCCCCCGAAGTTACGCTGGGCGCTCCGTGGGGTACGGGTGTGGATATATGGAGCTTTGGGTGTCTCGTACGTTACAGTTTCCAGACACATTTCTAGAAAGTATGCATTCAACAGGGGGAGAAATAATTAACATTGCTCTAGATTATTGAGTTCGTGAAGGGCCATCTCCCATTCCCTGGGGCCGCATCGCGGGATGGAACATGGACAGCGGAAGATGACCGGCTCGCACAGCTCATCGAGGTTTTCGGGCCTTTTCCTAGGGCTCTTCTTGAACGAGGCGCCAGGCCTAAGGAGTTCTTCGATGAAGGTATGCTGGAACGAATGAGTTCCGCCAGCTGTCTTTGATGTTCTTGGCGATAAATGCTAACCTCTCCACCAGGTAATTTGCTGCGTATCCCAAAGCTTTCGCCCGCGTCTTTCCTCTCATTGATGGATGGCGAGACTGAGGTCCTTCGAAGGCCGAAGGATATGCCGAAGGCCGAGGTGCCTGTCTTTGTCGACTTCTTGGAGAACGTGCTGGCCATTGATCCCGATGACAGGAAATCAGCGGCTGAGATGCTGAAGCACCCCTGGCTTGTTCCAGAAGCTGTGAGAACAGCTCCACCCGAACGCTCTTAGCCCAAGCGCTTTTCTAAACCACCCTGCTTCTTTCCAATTCCAGCCACTTTGTATCGCTTCTGCCGATTACCACCCTTGTCAACTCTTGACTGGCGTTCATTCTGCCCCCTCATTTCCATCGCAAACATTTGTCTCTCCACAGCCACCAATGCGAGTCGTTGGACTTCTGGGATACCAATCATACTGGTGGATGTACCGGCCCTTGCGATTAATCTCCTATCGAGCGTTGCCGGAGGCGTTGCCTCAGACTCCTCCTCATTGAGGAGGTGTCGGCGTAATGATGGCGCGGAGGATGAGCGCCTCTTGGAATTTCTATGAGTGCTGCGCGCGCCTGAGCGAGAACCAACGGTTTTACCCGATGGTAGGTGCAAGTCATCGTCGTCATCCGGAACCAAATTCACTCCTTGGGGCTCGTCCTGAGAATCGTCGACATCATAAAACTGCCAGAATTTATGTCGGTCGTTCGAAAAATCAAGTATGCAATGGCCTTTGCCACACATGTGATCTTGGACGGCGAGCCTGTTAGGTTTTAAGCTCCCGCAGAAAAGGCATTCGTGGAAAACTGATATTAGGGTATAGAGGTAACCGAGAAGAGAGTCGATGTCGGTGAGTTCTTCGGAATTGGGGATAAAGAAGCTGTGGGCGTGAGACATGTGTGCGATATTAGAACCTAATGACGTAGATTTCACGTTGCAGAATAAACAATCCAGCGAACTGAAAGGTTTGGCTGGACTGGCCGGTTCATCTTCCTTGCGGGTGTTTGAAAGGGGAGAACTTGGTTCAGGGGTTTCGTCCGGCGAAACGGGCAATTTGGTGGCTCTCCTTGTGTGATTTCGTGATTTGAGATGTTCTTGCCATGCTTTTTGGTTCAGAAAATTCTGGCCACAGGCAGAGCACGAAAGCTGAAATCCTGAAGACGCGTCTGCCGCATCGGTTTCAGGAAGCACTTCCCCGTTGAATGTAGCCTCTGATATTGGAGGCAAGGCGTCTATGCGGCGCTTCAAGTTGCAGACGCTAGTTTTATTAATATTTCTAATAATAACTTGGCTTCGATTTGCCACTCACTGCCAATCATCTTTCATATGCGCCCTCTGTGTTTGCCTGTCGGTAAAATTGACACGGCATGCCGAACAACTATAGACTTCTTTGGCTGAATTTTCGCTGGTAGCAGAAGCAGCTGCACCAGATCCTGATCCGGATCCTGATCCGCTCATTGTAAATAATAAAAATTTAATAAAGAACAATCAATAAAAAAACTGCTGCGTGAATAAATAGAGTAAATCTTCAAAAATACAGCAAAATAGCAGATGTACAAAATTAGAATGCACTTATAGCCCGAAGAAAAGAATAAACCTGATCACTTATATATTAGAGCATATGCTGACTTGAAAGTATGAGCGACAAAATACGTAGATGTCGTATCCGTCAATATGCGCCGGAGGCGCCGAAAGCGCCGAATGCAATGATGAGCCATGATGACTCAGAATGAGTCGCGGATTTGGGGAGTGACAAGGGTGGGGTTGCAATTACTCTTTTCACGAACACCAACATAGCAGCCATCAATGCCTCAATTCATAGCAATAGCATGAAATATTTCCGCTAGTACTTTATCATCGTCGCAATTGACTCATGTGATGTTTATAACGGTCTTTCCATGTTGAGGAATAGAAGGTTGATGATACTCGACAACAGCACATCCACGCTATACTAAATATAGATAGAGTTGCCACTCAAGCATTCCAACATCATCATCGCTGTATCACTTGAGTCTTGAGTTCTCGGTGCGAACTGAAACCTTCAATCCCTAACTAATAACCCCCTTCGGTCAACTCGCCACCCCACGTCGGCGCCCAGCATATAGCCTACCGATTCCTCCCACCGCTCCTGCTTCACCAAATCCGCTGGCTCAAACTCCTTCACGGATCGCCAGTTACCAGGGTCAACCTCGGCATCCGAACCGTCCCAGAGGAGATATTTGGCAAGGTGCGTGTAGCACTCCAATCGCTCCTGAAGTATGTTTTCAGCATACTCGTCTTGGTAGAAGCCATCCTTGGGACCATCGGGGAAGAGCGCCGTAGATTTGGATTTCGGGCTGAGGTGTAAGGATAGGTGGTGTACGGCGGGTAAATGATATGTCAGGGTTTCGAAGTGCGTTCGAAGGGGGAAGATGGCGACGTAGGTTAGTGTTGTAGCCGTGGCGGGGTATAGTGGAGTGATGAGGAGGGAATTCAGGAGTGAAGGGGCTCGATGGTGGCGTGGAGCGTCATAGTTCAAGCTGGCTTCCATGTGGGATCCTTCGTTGAGGAGAACGGAAGTCCAGGGCCGGATCTCGAGAAGTCCTTGGGGCTGAGAGACGGTAGTTTCGTTATTTTGTGGTTGATCAAGCTGCTTGGAAGACGCCAACTTTTCCACCGAGAGCTGTAAGATTTGATACTTGATATTAAACGCATCCGCGTCTTCCATATCAATTACACACCTAGTAAGGTCCCCGAGTAACCTCGGCGGGGCTACGATAGTGACAACCCGGGGGTTAATGACCTGGAATAAATCCGCCCAGACGCTTTGATACTCCTCGGGCTGGTAGCCAAGGACGCGCTGGATGGGTGCTTCATGGTTATAAACGCCCAGTATGAAGCTGGACACCACAAGATCGTGCGCTTTGAAGAGACCGAGAAAGGCATCCACGTTGCCCTTCAGATTGAAGCTGCATAGGTGGCTATCGCGGAGGATGAGGCGAGTATGCTTGAAGAGAAGGTGGAGCGTAGAGCGACGCCACGTGCGGCTGACCAAGGACGCATTTTTCAGAGTTGTGCTTTCCGCGCTGGTAATTGAAAAGCTAGGTTCTTGGCTTATGGCGTCTGAGAGGGAAAGAATAGGCCCCGCGGCATGATGAAAGATGAGGTCAAAGATCTCGCGAGGTAGGGACTCGATGGTTGTAGCTGTTGTGGGGTGGTCTACGGGGAGGGTCCTGGTGCCTTCCACGGCTGGTAGCTCCATGGCTTCACCCGCGTTCTGGAAGGTGCTAATTATTGGCGCCCAGTGTTTGACAGGTCTAAGCGGATCGTCACACAGGGGAACAAACTAGTTTCTTGCCATGAGTTTGCCGTGGATCGTGTTTTGTTGATGTCCAAGTTAAGTTCCGATGTAAGATTCTTAGTAATCATAAAATTGGAGCCTAACTAACTCTAAACCGTATTCCCGGTCCCGTCGCAAACAATCGTGTCGCCATTTCTTCATTATTGTGCCCCTGGTATTTCCCCCCATCTAACGTATTAAATATGATTGTTTGTCGCAGTAGTTGAGGTCGATAATAGCAACAGACTATTGCATGCTGAGTCTGCTGCACATGGATCAAGCCGGCTGAAAGAGCCAGCCACATGGGCCCTGACATGCGCCCTGGTATGGCGACAGAACCAACCCCAGAAGTTCACTCTGGAGATGCGGATTCTCGCGCAAACTCTACATCACAGAACAGCACAAACATGCTGCGCACCCTCCACAGCAACCAGCGAGACACGCATCTGTATTGCTACCACCGCCACCCCCCCCGCCGCCGCCGCCTCCACCGCCCGCTGCTGCTGCAGAAGCACTCGGTGCGTTATTGATGATAATTGTTGGTTGCTCTTTGACCGGCGTCATCATAATGGGTTGCTGTGGCGGCGCCGCTACCGCCTGCATTGTGCCATTTGGTAGCTGGATGAAGTATTGCTGTTGGGGTTGTGCGAACTGAGGTTGTTGCGCAAACTGGCCTTGTTGGAAGTATGCTTGCTGAGGCTGCTGGAACTGAGGCTGTTGAGGCATCGGTGCCGCCGACGGGCTCGGCGCGTATGCTGGCGGCAGCTGTCCCTCGTGCGCCTGCTGCATATGTATCGAATTGGGATCGGGGTGCTGGTACGAGTATGGTTGTTGACGGCTTGAATCACCCTCGGAGGGGATCTTCTGTTCTTTAAGGTTGTCTGCCATGTTTAATGTTTAGGAACAGAGTAGACCAAGCTGCGAAGACAGCGGGGAATGGGCGGGAGATGAGGTATATGCAGCCTCATGGTGGTTTCGTGGTACACAGCTGCGCCCAAGGGCATACTGCAAGGCTTCACATCGATGCGGGTCATCCAGTTGGCCGATGCAACTTATTCTGAGTGATTGTGGCGCGGGATGGCATGGGATTTCATGCATGGCAGGGGGATGAAGGTCGACATGTGCCTGATAAAGAGTCCCAAATTGGGACTAATGGGCTTGGTAGTGGTGGGGGCCCAATTAGAGTACGCGGGTTGGGCTGTGCAAGCGCTGTGGACATTTATTGTTTCAGGCGCTGTTGGTATCTACAATATCGGCCGTTACAATATTGATTATCGCAACAATAAATAGGAAAGCACATACGAGGCAAGAGGAAAAGGGCTGTGGAACGGTTATTGTTAACACAGTATCTGCTATGAAAAGGGCCTAAGCTGTAACGGTGAAATATAAATATAATCATCGTGACCTACCTTGAGCTTTGCTCTAATTCCCTGTGGGACAGCCTTGTCAACTGGAGGCCGCCACTGACAACACTAAATGCGGCCGGTTCCATGAGGTTGGAGGCCTCCAATATCCAGCCTTTGCCAGCAAAGCAGACACTCGCAATTTACACTGGCACCGCGCTGATTGACAGACGTCTGATTGTATAGAGCCTTCATAGACTGCCCTCCAAAGTAATAGCAATGCCGTTCCTGATGGGTTCCAAAGAAATCTCAGAATAAGAGCGGGTAGCTCTACAATTGCTTTATATGTAGTGAAATATAATTACGTGAACCTGTTATCGTAAACAACTTTTAGAGAAATATTATAGATACTATAAAAGAGTACTCTACACAACAAAATAACAACAATAATATGATATTTAATAGGAAGAGTGATGAGGTCGTAAATTATCACGTGAGTAAAACGATGGGGTGGTCGAATGGGCCAGCCTTGGGAGCCCGTGGGAGCCTTGTACACCTTCACACGCAACCCGTGCGAAAGGTCGCACGCACTATCCGCACCAGCTATGGTCCACCCTAGGGACGGCCCTCTAGCGGGGTCACTTCCCCGTGCTGATCAGGGTGTAGAATATAACCACACTTCATACATCTGCCCAGAAGACTTAGACGTTACTTTAAGCAACAATTGTAACAATCCATCCTCGGATGATATCGCATCTTTTCTGGAATATGCACAGTTCGATAGCCGTGACTCTTCTCGATACCATTGCGATGAGGATCTTCGAGACATCATTACTCCTCCTCTGGACCTTTCCAGCCATTCGAGGACACCGCTCTCACCCCACATAATCCACAGCGATGTTTCGTCAGACTCTCCATCTTCACCCGAAATTACTCAGTGGCATAATTACCATATTTAAGGTGATTTCTTGCCGTACATTACGCTCATTACCAAGACTAATCCTCTCTCTAGACCCGAACCGGCATCCATGTAGCCCTTCGCAGGATGTACCTTCCGAATTATCCCTCGGTCATTCGAGTCCTGCGCAGAGACAAACCACACCCACAAGTCACGAACGACATGAAACAGACTGGGAATACAATCACGATAACTCGACAAGTCTAGATTGTCCTTCCTCCCATGGTCCTCCATATCCCACAGTTCAACGAAATATCGACACGCATCCCTCTATAGACTTTGGACAATTTATCCACTTTTCGCCAGAACCACCATTACCAGATGACATTCTGAAGTCAGCTCGCAAGCGAACATCAGGGAGGAGGTCACGGAGGAAATACCTACAGCTTGTCTGTGATTCTTGCCCAAAAGAATTCTCGCGTCGTTGCGATCTCAAGTAAGCAAGCCATATCCATACCAAAGACACACTATTGATGCTTTGCAAAGCAAGCACGCGAAGATACACGAACATTCTTTCAAATGCAATATTCCTGGCTGTAGCTTCACACAAGGATTTGCTCTCCAGAAGGATCTCCGGCGCCATATTAACACCATTCACTGGCAGAGCACGTTTACGTGTCACGATTGTGGGCAGAAATTTTCAAGATCTGACAATTGCCAGCGGCATGTCGAAGAGCAGCATTCTTGACGTTCTCTACGATGTGCCTCATATCTATTTACCGTAAGGGGGTTAGATGCAAATTGGGGAGTAAGCTTCCTTCATGTTTTTCTTATGCCTATGGATTTCTCTGCGCTTCGGAGCTTCGCTTGCTGCACTTGCCCACAAAACATATCAACATTCCGGTCTACTTTACTTTGTACTGCTAATTTTTCTCTATTTTATCTATAACTAAAATATATATAGTCGCTAGAGAATGCAGTAAATTTAGAGCCTGGTCATTATAGTCGTTCAGTTTATGAAATAGTCAACTCCCCACTCAAAGGAAGAATTCTGCTACTAGCACCAACCCAGACCGGATATTTCCCCTGCTGCAAGACCCAAGCTTGCTCGGCAACATTCCAATCCGATAAATCTCTTCGCAAAAGCGTGAACTTGACAGTCTCGGTCTGGCCGGGCGCAATCTCGACCTTATCGAATCCACGAAGCTGTCGCACAGGGCCGCCTGGGATGTTAACGTATAGCTGTGCTACTTCCTTTGCTGTGACATCGCCGGTGTTGGTGATTACTGCAGTGGCAGTTGCGATAACATCCCAGAGACTCTCCCTTCCGCCTTCGATGATGGGGGATTCGGGAGCAGCGCGGGATGTGTTCGCATTTTGGACAAGCGACACGCTGAGGTCCGAATATTCGAATGTGGTGTAGGTCAAGCCGAAACCGAATTCGTATCTTGGCGTGATGTTCTTCCGGTCAAAATCGCGGTAGTCAATGTAGACACCCTCCGTGAAGTCATCTTGTGGGAAGAAGAAGAATTCGTCAGCTGGCTTGGCGATGGGAACGTTGTAGTCTGATTCGTTTCTGGCGACTGTGTAGCTCATTTTGCCAGATGGGGATTCATCGCCGAAGAGAAGTGAGACGGCTGCGCGGCCTGAGTCCTGCCCTGGGAGATGAGCGAACATGACAGCGGTGATGTTGGGGTGCTCGATCCATGTGTCCACGAGGCGAATACCGGCGTTGTGGATGACAACGATGGTGTTAGAGCAAGCCGAGGCGACGTTGAGAATAATATCATCGGAGTAATCGTCTGTGGATTTCAATAATTAGCATATTCTGTTATGATATCTCTTGAGCGTGGTCACAAACCATGAAGTCCTTCTCTATCCACCCCCTCAGTGGCGAAAGCGTTGATGAAAACTAGGCAGGTATCACTTGCTTGGTCAACAAGTGGCGCAGTCGAGTGGAAATCCCAGAGTAACTGGAATCCATCGGCGTAGGCTCTCTCTTGAAGAGCATCAAACGGAGCTGAGATGTACGCAGGAGCTGTTCCGCCACTACCCCCACCAACGATCAAAGTCCCGTTCGGACCGATCTGGCCAGGATTGGTAAATGGGGGTGCGAATGCGTCTCTCCAGAAGAAATCGGTGTTTGATAAGAATCCGAACTTGTAATTGAAGTTGGCATCGACAAGATTGACACGAGGCGGTGCCACTGCGTCGTAGCCAAATAGAGACAAAAGCTTGGGCTTCTTGAAAGGGAGGGCCTTGTTGACATTCTTAACAAGTACGTGTCCTTCGATTGCACCCTGAAGGAGAATGGGCTTTGAGGCGGGATCGCGGGCGTTTACTGCTTTGTGTGATACGTTGTACTGAAGGGGCAGGCTAACTGGAGGGAAATCTCTCTATGGGGTGATTAGCGAAAAACTCTTTCGTTGGATAAGTAAGGACTTACGTCTTGACCGAGTTGATACCAGGCTGCGACAATTCTAGTTGCCACTGAAAACAAACAGTTAGTGACAAATGCTGATGGGTGGAATAGTTGGAACTTACTATCGGTAAGACGAGCTTCCGGAATACTGCCATTCTTAACGAATGTTGTAAGGTTGCTGCCGTCTTTTCCCCAAAAGAAGCCACCATTAGGCATGGCCATGTCTAATCCTCCTTCCGCCGAAGCGATACCAGCATCTGGAATTGTTAGCAATATTCAAACCTGGGAATAAGAGACAGCATACGCTGAGCACCCCAATCAGAAACAACGAAACCTTCAAATCCAAGCTCAGTCTTTAACAGGTCATTTTGGGTCTTCTGGTTGTGGCAACCGTAAGTGTTGTTGATTCGCTGGTAGGAGCACATGACTGACGCGGATCCAGCATGGACGGCATCGGCAAATGGCCACAAATACAATTCGTGCATTGTCTTGTCGTCAATATTAGATGAGACAGATTCGACGGTCTGAGAAATATTCGCAGGATTTGACGAAGAAAGTCCACCACCACCAATCCCTCCACTGGCTGTGCTAGTTATTGGGTTGCGATTTTCTTCCTGCTCATTTCCAATGAAATGTTTTACAGAAGAGATCACACCCGCGTTTTGGATGCCCTTGATAGTATCATGGACGAGACTTCCCGAGAGATATGCTGGAAACCTGTTAGTTTGGTGTTCACTCATGCAAAGGGGAACAACGTACGGTCATTGCTAAACCCTTCCCAATTTCTACCACCAAGAGCAACTCTTCCTAACGGACCTACCACAGGACCTAATAGAACATGAACTCCCTTTCTCTTGAACTCAGCTGCCATATGAGTAGCACGCTGCAGAGTCAGAGCTTTGTTCCAGCTCGTGCCCACACTAATACCCGCGGGATAAGCGTTGACAAAATCCGTGGCTCTCAATCCCTGGCCAGCATCTGCTAAACAGAGGCCTTCCCAACCCAGACGGGGTACGGTGCCAGTGACACCTGAACAGCCTGTTGACGGAGTGTAGCCCACAGTAATGTTGGCTCTCTCTGCAAGTGTCATCTGAGAGACAAGGGCGACAGCTTTGGCGTGAGCTGTTTGCCATGATAGAGTACCAGGAGCCTCCGCTAATAAACGTTAGCTGTTGAAAAGCAATAAAACCAGAGCTTAGGTTGGGGTCAGTTATCTCACGGGAGGGTAAGACAGATGGCGACTGCCCATAGAAGTGGGAGTCATCGGTAATATTTTGACCAAAAGAAGTGCCAGCGAAGATACTCAGCGACAGATATGAGGCTGCCGTCACTCTAGCTATAAAGGAGACCATTTTGAACTGCCTTTATCGAGATGGTGGTAGAGAAATTGAAGCATAGGACGAAACCCGCCTTTTGTATCCAGCTCAGATAACGACATTTCTCAACATCGGATTTATCTTTTCATGTCGGTGTAAATTCATTCTCTAATCGGACCTACTTTCCAAGTATTCCCTCCGCAACCTGTGACGATTGTGAAAACGTGCCCCTCAGCGAGTATGTTCCCGCTATCTCTTTGGCTGTCGTCGAGTTGCGAATCGTTGGGCAAGATCGTCCCTATGGGGAACGGAAAGTCACCTCCTGCGGAGGGGATCGCATGATCTCAGTCAAGCAGTCCACATAGCACTCCCCAGTCATTTGTTCAACAGACCGAGGTCATAGGGGCTTAGAAGACGTTGGAAAGAGCCAGTATTAAGACTCTTAACGGCGAAATAACCTTGACCGGGCTCTTGGCATCTATGCTCATCGCCGAGTACGTAGTCTCTCTACTGAGAGGCGTTTCCCTAGTATACGAACTGGCGGGAAGCCGGATCTGAGAAGTGCATATATGCCGTCTCTAAGAGCTGTAAGTAGGGAGTGTAGCTGTGCGGAGGGGTAAACTTCGGCTCAATCACCTCTCAGTCACCCGTCAGTCAGCTACTTTGCCCCAACTCGGCTTTTTCGTCCATACTTCTTCCGTGATGAAGCTTAACTACCTTGACCAACAGCCAACCAATCCTGGTATGTGGTGGGGTACAGCATTTTGGTGGGGTACAGCGAAACCCCGCATTCTCCGCAACTACTAAAGTGCCTCCCCTCCTTCTCCATCCCCGATCTCGGGTTTCTTACATACAGAGTTATCTTTGTGCAGGCCTAGGAGCTTAATAATGTCACTGGGATCACGGAGATGGGCCGAAAGGGGAAGTCTTGACCAGCGCATAAGATGGGGTGTGATCGTCTCCCACTTGTGAATTGCCGAAGTTTACCCTCAAGCCCCATAATTTGTTAATGTTTGCGAATACTCCCTAACAAGTGCCCTTCTCTCATCGTCCTTCTCCAGCGATTCTTGCTACGTTGATAACACCGAGACCTCTACCTAACTCTAGAGCTTGATATAATGGGCTACTGCGTTCGAATGTTCACTCTGATTCAGGAGCGTATAGCTCTGCCGACGTTTTCATCCCAAAGTTGATGGCCATGCCGAGGCTCCTATTTTTTTTAGGCGGGGTGGGTGAAGGGTCGATGCCACTGTCCATCTTCGTTAAATTGTCTATCTAGGTCCGAGAAGTGGGGATGTAAAGATTGCAGCCTCTCCGCTTCCCCTCAGCGTTGTCAACCAACTACCGAACGCCGTAGAACGATATTTTCGTTTATTTAGCGCATCCACATTGCGGAGACAGGCAAAAAAAAATTCAACCGCCATAATATGGAGATTGTACTGTAATGCATCAGCCGTGAATCGAACACGGGGCCCATCGATGGCAACGATGGATTTTACCACTAAACCACTGATGCTTCTTGTTGTTGGCCATGGCGTATTGGCACATATGGTCTTTGGGCCCCGGATGCTCTACACACACTCCGCTGCTTTTGCGATGCACCATTTTCGTCTTTTCGCACTTGCAAAAGCGGCTCCCCTTGCTGTTCCTCGAGCATGTGTGAGGTGTGCAGTGCAAGCAGAGTTCTACCCCTTCTCAGCCTAGCTGAGGGGCTGGGCGTCGTGCCTGTGAGCCTGCGATTCAGACCCCAGCTAACTCCAAACCTAGTTATGCTTTTAATCAGACTTCGGAATAGTATTACAACAGCGAAATTCCATAGCATTAACAATACAAAAGGATTGGAGTAGCCGTACAACAAAATTAATAGACAAAATTTCAGGGACACATACACTAGCTACGTTAATTAGCAACTTGAACGTGGCATTAGATGTCAATGGGAGTATAAATGTCAGTCGGAAATTCCGATTAGAAAACTCCGACCAACCGCACGTAATCCAAAAGAAGTATAGTGTAGGATGCTCTTAGGGTCGGATAAGCATAGATCTAACGCTAACAACAGGATAACCCGTCATTTTGGGCGTAAAAACCGACCGTATCCCACGGGAATGTCCGTTTCCCCAACACATATCAAATCAAAGGCACTAATTATGTCGTGAAAACCACCCTCCCAACTTAACAAGGACTAGGATGCCGAGAGAAAGATATATGAGCATTTACAACGTGACAGCAGTTACCCAAGCATACTCAAATACTTTGGGAGGTGCCCCACTAAATATGAGCTGCTGCGACGTGGTCTGGTATTTGAATACCACCCACGTGGAACTCTTTTGGCTTCGTTTGAAAAACTGGATGGAATTGAGGTTTCTGAGAACGATCGACAATGGTTTGCGGTCCCCTTTACCCTATTCGAGAAATTCGTATGCTGCAATACCGTCATGCTCTGACTTGTCTCTATTGGCTGGCCCTACCAGATTGTATCGGCAATAGACTTTATCCACCCATGCAGCGTCAATCAGATAACTCATGCACTCATGGGCCATACATATCCCGCGCGAAGTGTCTCTTCTGGAAGTAACACCACCGTGTGAAAACCCCCGGTCCAACAACTCCTGAGAGAGGCCAAGAACCCCAGATAAAGATCAACAATCTCTCGATTTCGATCCTCGCGCTCCGGTTCACGTTCCCGACGATTGCCTAGATGCGCTCCCCCCTGATCCTGCTCTCACTGAACTTGAGCAGAAGCGAGAGCAGTTGAAAGCTGGGACGTACAGAATTCAGGGGACGAGCATCGAAGCAGAGGTTCGGCGACTTACCGCCGTAATCGGTAGTCCCTACCAATGTCGTAGTAGCACGGAAGGTTGAAATTCAATGTTCCGAGGTAGATTGGGATGTAATTTCCTTGAAGTGAGCGCAGTCGATTATAGACTTTCTCTCCTAAAGAATATCGTTCTCGTCCATCCCTTTAGCAACCAGAGTATACCCGTGTGCAGAGTGTCGGATTTTAAAGAGTGCTCCTCCAGCCCCTTTTAACGTAGAGCGGTTTACAGTCAGCTTGTTACTGCAGTCTCTTGCGAGCTGGATACGAATACAGCGGAGGAAGTTGCTTTTCTACATGTGTTAGTTTCCATGATATTTAAAGGTTGCGACGCCAGTCATCTAGAACGCCACCAAATACTAAAGCAAACAGACACTTCTGAGTAAATAAATAAATAAAAGCTCTGCTCTGAGCTAGTCTAAAGACTATCAAGCAGTCTAGTATTCATGTCAGCTCTAAAGTCTATCCAATATCTCGAAACAGCATTGAAGCTGAGTTTGAGACACGCTCTCCAACCAAAGGAATTTTCGCAAGCAGTCCCTACACTGGTCTTGATTTTGCAGTTGGAGCGAGGCAGCTGTGCGCATGAAGTGGTCCATGTACCAAGGGCATAGCGGTCCTCCAATCGTTGCCGTGGAGCCCATGAACAGAACCCAGAGGAGTAGCTTAGATAGCATGCTCCATGAATAGGTGAGATCCGTTTCCTCTAGAGCCGCGCGGAGGCTTGCTCCGAAGGTAGTCAAGGTCGTTGACATCACATGGGATTCTCCTAGCAGAACGGTCCTGATGAAGATCAAACATGAGATATGACAGCACGACAGAATTTGACAGTGATTAATAGTTGTGGTTGTGATTGTTACCGGCGCAGAAAGTTTGCCCTCAATAGCGAGGCATTTTTCCTTGAACTGGGATGGCATTAAATTCAACTTGTCGTTCGACTGGGCTAGCCCAAGGCTCACAATCAAGAATCGAAGCTCGCAAATTATGGAAATGAATTCGTCAAAGATGATAGATGTGTGCAACAAATCGGCGAATCCATGACCCATCAAGGCCATTTCAGTTCCAGGATAGATGTTTAGTGGAAGAGTATTCAGCACCGCTTGTGATCGCAGTAGCGTGAATTGCAACCTGCTACCAAAGCTACATGCACAGCAGAAGTCCGCCCTATTATCGAAGGTAAGTCAGCTTTTGTTAAAGCGTAGCTTGGTTGAACAGAGCAATATAATTATATACCAGAAAATAGTGTCTCGGACCACTGGGTTTAACCATGTCGCATCGAGGCCACCTCCCAAGGAGATCATTCGCCGCATCCCAGCCATGTGGATACGAGCTGCTTCATAATCCTTGTCGAATACCTACCAAATCAGTCAACTAGTCTCCGTCATAGATAAAATAGCAACTCACAGCTTGGGTGAGGAGACCAAGCACAGCAGCCATTGTTATGTTGCTGATAGCTCTTGAGGAATCTTGATCCCGTAGCCGTTCATTCAAATGACTAATGCTCATTTGTGAATACTTTAATACTAGTGGACAAGCACTTTGTCGCCTCAGAGCCGCAAGCTGACCTGCTGACGAAGCCATTGCCCCGTATAATACAAGTGGATCCGATATTATCATTGGTAGCCATACATCCTTCATAGCGCTGTAACGTCCTAATGGTGCCAACGCGGGCTCAAGATTTGTCATGGCTGTGATCCTCTAATATCAGTCATCATAATACTAGGCTTCACTAGAAACAACTCATAATGTTTTGGCTAGAATTGAGAAGAACATGAGCATGACTTACTATAATGCATGAGTAGTTTCATCTCCTGCTCGTGAAGGGGAACTGATAATGAATTAAATGGATCGCTACTACCAGCCCCGAGTCCTCTTAGTTGAATCTCGGACGTCTGCCTTTTTCGAGATTGTACTTTCTGTACAACTGCAGCAGTTTCATTGCGAAAGTTGAGATCGAGGTGATCCCGGTATTTCGGACAAACGTAGCCGGCCCTTAAGCATTGTTTGCAGCCCGAAATGTCTTGGCTACACTAATCGGATATGTTAGCGAGTGTTCTAGTACTGAGACACATGCCATTTCTTGTGTTAGGAATGAATATCATTAGGGGTGCCTAACCTTGATCTTTCGTTGACGGCAATTAGAGCAACCTTTGCTTGGCTTACCGCAAAATACCATGACGATTCGAGCAGCCGTTATTCGTAAGTAGTGTGTAGATCAATATGGCAGTTGGGACAACTGTTTTATAATAGTGCCTGATGACCGACGTAAAAGCACGGGCCTAATGCCACGTGGCTACCTAAAACGGCAAATGGCACTAAGTTTCTATCAATAAGAAGCGAGCGCCTAGCCCTACACGGTATGCATCACGTTAGCGCTTACTATGGGATGCTTATAAGTGATTATCTGATGTAAGAAGCAAGGGCTTGAATCCCCTAGACCGCTGTCACATGGGGGTCCAGGGGACTAGGGTACCATAATCCAAGCTAGTTATGTAGGGAGACAAAGCGATACCCTAGTAAGCCGACTATAATAAAGTCGATAAACTACCAGTCATTTACTAAGCATTGCACTTTCATGATCCCTCGCTCAGCCTCCTCCACCTGTCTAGACTTTTGTCTGTAGATACCACGCTTTCCTTGATCAGCTTCCAAGCATCTTCGCCGACGGCAAGCCTTAGGGGTAAATCAGGGCTCCTGACAATATCGATAATTCTCTTCGCGACGCTTGGTGCAGTCGCCCAGTGTGCCCGTGCTTCCGGACTTGCAAGGAATTTCTTTAATTGATTCGTTGGACAGCTGGTGTCAACATAATCAGGATGGGTCGCGGCATAGATGTAGTTGCTTCCTGCAAACTCAGTCTTGACACCCCCTAGTTCCAAAATGAGGTATTTGATGTTCCAGTCTGGATGGACTTCCAAGGACGCACACTCTGTCCAACCTTCGATGGCGAATTTGCTGGAATCAGAAAGAGGTTAGTTAGTGGTTTTCTCACAAAGGATGTTATTATGTATGAATAGTATCATTACCTTGCCGAATAAGACGAATTTCCTGCAAACCCAAATCGTCCTAGAAAAGAACTAATCTGAATGATCAACCCCCCTTGGCCCACCGGGTTGACCTGGCGAAAGGTTTTCATAGCCTCTAATGACATGTTGACCGTGCCCCAGTAGTTCGTTTCGAAGATCGCCCTCGCTTCTTCTTCTGTGATGCCTTCGGCATCGCCTAGAATACCATAGCCTGCATTGTTGACGACGATGTCAACATGACCAAAACGCGTAATAGCTTGTACAAAAGCAGCTTCAATACTTAGCCTACTAGTGATGTCAAGTTGTAATGTCAAGATAGATGGGGTGTCTGGAAGATCAGACAGTGTGGCGAGGTTTCTAGCTGTTGCTACGACGCAATGTCCAGATTCCAGAATCTGAGCGCTCAGGGCCGCGCCAATGCCTGAGGAGCAGCCTGATACTGGAACTCGCATTAAAAGACTATCCTCAATTTGATTAAGGAGAACTCACCCAGCCACACGAGCTTTTGACTTGCTTTCGCCATCACGATTGCACCGTCGAGCTGATATGATGAGTTACTAGAGCAGCTATTAACCGTGATATTGAAAACGCTTAAAATATTCGGCGGGTGCTCATATAAAGTGCAGTCTTGTATCCTTTATAGTTTTATATTCGTAGTAAGTAGCGCCTCATTGTGTTCATTTAAAAACGTAAAAGTCAGGTCGGGCTTATTTCTCATTAACTCGCATGGTCGGATTGGATACATCGCACTGGTATCCTTAAACGATGTTGCTCTAGTCTTTGCATTAATCTGCGGTTTCACAGTGGACTGCTGTTACTGCAAAAGCAAGAGCCTAACCGTACGTGGTATTAAATACGTTAGTGCCTGCTAGTTAAAAGCACAGCATGAGGCCGCATGGCAGTTGCCTCAAATAGCAAATAGACTAAACTTCTGTTATTACCATATAAATTGAAAGAATTCTATGCTCCATATGACTAGACTATTAACAACCTGTTAGGAAACCACGCCACCACTCTGGGTGGTTTTCCTTAAATTTTGCATCTAACCCACGGTCGGGGGCGTGCAAAGATTTCGGACCCATGCAACCCAGACTGTCGGGGGCCTATGACGCACCCTGATTCTGCCTATCGTGCCATTCTATTCATAATTGTAAGGATCTCAATTTGCCGCGAACATTTCGTTGTTTGTTTCAGACCATGATGTCTCTCTTGGTACTGTGCTGTACTCAATTTTGTCGAAATTTCTCTGGAAGCCGAAGCCAGGGTGGAAAATGCAAAACGCGATGCTAGCGATTGTAACCATGCTACAAGAAATGTGTTAGGTACGGCCCTGCCTATAATGGTATGAGTAGATGACGACCTACCATGATTCGAGAATGATAAACAGGGTTTCGTTTCTCATAAGCGGATTGTCCCAGCCAGGACCCAGCTCAGCAACTCTGTAGACGCATCTTATAAATATTGATAATCCGAATACTAAGGCCATGATCAGGAAGCCTCGGAATGGCATTGAGCTGCGCATCAACTTGTATTTTGGATTCTTACGCTCTGGATAGCGACGAATACGGATGGCCAAATCTGCGCACATGCAACCAAATATGAACATGGTTACAACCTGCGTAATGAGGCCAACCAACATGAGGCGATTGCCTAAGTTCATTGTAGAATCGGTTGTAGAAGACGACGCCAACCCACCACCAGCACCTTGCAATGATAGGGAAACCCAGTCGCAAAAGATAAAGAATTGAGAGTAGCGGATTGGTGCAATGCGTGAGAAGTCTCTTCCAAATATCATGATACTAAAAGAGTATGAGCATATATATAAGAGGTATTAAGGGCATGGTATTACATTCGCCCGAGACAGAGATATAGGGCCGCAGAATAGAATGCTGGCGCAGTTGTTAAACACACAACCTGCACCAAAAATCTGCAAAACTGCTCAGCAATCATACAAATCATCCTAATTATGAGAACATACGTGCTCAAGTTATATGGGTTCTTGTGCATGAATACGCGTCCCACATATCCGATGACCTCAGTCATTGAGCCGAGAACCATACAGACCATAAAAGTCCATGTTCGATATCTGATGCCCCAAACAACATGCGCGATTAGAGACACAGCAAAGAGAGAGAGGAAAGCAATGCTCGCGGCCAAATTGGGTGCATAGCCTAGGGGAGACCCATCCGCTGGACAGTCAGGCCCAACGCCAATATTCGCGCAAGTAGTTAACGACATCATGAATGCGATTTACTAGAGACCGAGGTTGCAGGACCTATTGAACAAATTATGCTCAGTGACACGGTTGCGCAAAGTAAAAGAAAGGGAACGGGGATATATAACTAAGGAATGACAAAAAAAACAATACAACATTGTCGACAGGGAATATAGTTCCAGCCGCCCACGGCTCTGTATATACTGTAGGAGCTAGGCGCATGGATAATAATACGAAAACATGAATTGGCTGGCCAGGTCTTTATGAGCAAATCTACTCTGCCTAGAGAGCCTTGTCTAAGATTACTCAGGCGGGTCACCTTCCTTCGTGCGCACCTTGTTTTAGTCTTTTTAGTAGCGTACGCGAGTATCTTCCGGGCAAATTGAGGAATGCGTGTTTGTAGAATAGAACTAACAAATGTTACAGCGTTATCAGCTTTTTACTTTAGGGCAAATGATTAAGTATCTTTACCTATAAAATCAACTGCAGAGATACTTACTGTTGGGGGAAACAAACATCCCCGTGGAATACGGTCGGTTTTTACGTCCAAAATGACGGTTTATCCCGTGGGACCGTCCAGCTCCCAGCTGGGCTTGCGAGTGAGACAGTGGCGCCATTTGGAAGCCACTGATCCAAAGCCCAACTCAGCTCGGAAAGCCCAACTTGTCAGGGTTTTGGGGGGTTTCCCCCAGGACTACAAATATCGTACGTAGGCCCGTAGATTAGGTAGTAATCCAATTAACTTATATACTGTATTTACCGTGTTCTAGTGTTTGAAGCCTTCTGTTCTGTTGCGCCAAAGTAAAGAGTTCCGGCCACCGGAGACACGGTACAATTCGTGTGTGGTCCCCGTATTCCGGTCCTCCCACCAACACTTACGCTTAAATTGCTTACGTCACGTGACCAGTTTACTAGACCTATTCAATGGCCTAGGTATAAATCTAATTCTAGCGCATGCAATGGCGTGTTTGGTATGGAGAAGTAATCAGTGCCTAACCTTACATGGTATGCATCACGTAGAAATGGAAAAAAATGAAGACCTAACCCTATATGGTATGTATCACGTAGAAATGGAAAAACAATTAAGGCCTAACCCTGTATAGTATGCATCCTATACAGCCTAACTATACATGGTATATTGCGGTTGTGTAAAAAATATAGGGAACGATCGGAGCCTAGCCCAATGTGGTATGCGTCACGTACAATCTAATTTGGACAAGGCTTCTACATAAAGAAAATGCAGGACATGACATGTGCTGTGTACAAATTAGACCGAGATAAACGGATAGAAAAGAATAGTATAATTAGTTCGAGACCGGGATGGGATTGCGTGGATCCATCTACATAAGACAACCCTACATGTCTTGTCAATCGCGCTGTCATTATATCAAGACGGGATACCTCTTTCTCAAATACATATCCTACTCTGTCAAGAGCAGCTCTTCTCTGTGCTGTCAAATCCATGATGCTCGATTCACGTGGTGACCTCGCAGCTGTCGTCTTGGCTCTCTGGTGTCCATTATTTCTTGTTGCAATCTGGGTTGTGAGACGCCATGGCTTCAGTCGCCAAGCTGGATGGATCTTCATCGTCTTCCTGGCTGCCATTCGCATCACTGGTTCAAGCATGGAGTTGGCCAGCGAGAGTACGCCTCAGAACTGGCTCATTGTGGCTTCTGCCACTCTTCAGTCGGTTGGACTGTCGCCACTGCTGTTCGCGCTCCTAGGCATTCTTTCTCAAGTGTACGTTGATATATCCATTAGTCTCTTCCCCTCCAGCTGCAAAGCTGTCATAATTATGCGGCGAATGCCTTTCCATGAACATGGCTTAGGTTTACACAGTAGCTAATTTTGAATTGTGCTTCAGGTTCAAAGCTTCTCATCTAGGCCAGAGAGTGATAATAATTGGACTGAACACACTACAATTGATAATCCTTACTGGATTCATCCTGGCCATTGTTGGTGGAGTAAAGGCATACGTACCTAACTCTTCGGCTTCGGACATCAGCTTGGGCAAAGTCTTGATCAAAGTTGCTGTCGGCCTTTTCGTAGCCTCATTCGTTGCCCAAGTCTACCTAATTGTCAAGAGTCGATATACAGCAGCTTTGTCCGGTACGCACAAAGCAACCGAGATCCGCCTTCTCGCATTCGCCGCTGCAGTCAGTGCCCCTTTTATAGCAACCCGAGTAGCCTACAGCGCAGTTGGGACGTTCTCGAACGACTCGCCACAGTTCAACCCGGTTGCTGGTAATGTGGTTATATTGGCGTGTATGGCGCTATTAATGGAGCTCATCGCTGCTTGCATCTACCTCGCCATAGGATGCTACATAGATCCTTCCGACGGATTGGGAACAGTAGAAGACTCAAGAAAGATGCCTCAATTTAGTAGCCTAGCAGTGGTCTAATCGGTTACTCTGCACGCATTATCTACAGAATTATAAATCTTAGCCTAATCTTATACTAGAGTTTTATAACGTATTTCACATACTGCCACTGCCACTGCCACTGTTAATGACACCAACGTTGACAGATGCCCGTCCTATGCCCAGTCAGACTGGTGCGGTTTCACTACTGCTCCGCCGACAGGCGTCTTCCCGGCCTATTCGACATACGTCAGCCAGGTGTACTCATGGTGGATGGAGCATAGCTCCGCGCTCGTCTACATGAGGGACAATTGCCCTAATACTTGGGAGCATGGCCGGTGGCGTGATGGAGACGGCGAGCGGTGGATTGAAGACACCTTTGTCGTTGCTGCATGCTATGCCGAAGCGCTTACGACTGCTGAGCTGGCGTCGACGGGGCTGGCGGCTACGGGGGGGTTGAGCACGACGAAGCTAGAGGCTACGAGTCTCGCGAAAACGGCTGTGAGAAGCGCGACCCCGACATCGACGGACGCGCCGAGTGGTGGGATGGGACGCTTGGGCGCGGAGATGTGGATGGCTGCGCTTGCGGGGATCGCTGCTGTTGCGATAGGCTGCGAGTGGTAGGGAGTCTGCATATTTGTGGGAGAGGTGCTGTATTGTATAGTATAGTTAGATACCCTAATTGTTGCGTGATGTATGCGTTGCTACTCCAGATGCCTACGGTCCACAAGTACAAGGCAGGCGTTAAGGGATACACATAAAGGGGTCAGTCACCCACATACTCACGTCCTCATTATAGAATAATACAACTGAAAATTAGATCCGCCGCTGGCTCATTGTATTCATCAACTCTCCGTTCTTGCTATTCTCATCTCGTCATACAATCCCCATCCCCTCATCCCCGCCGTGAGGCACCTCTCCAGCTGCTTCCTTCAGAAAATCTAAAGCTTAACTACTGGCTCCATGTACTCTTGCTCCTGTTGTTGTCCGCTGGTATGCATTACAATTATGGGCGCCCTACAATTATCCGCTAGGTTGGTCTAGCGCCTGATAGTCCCAAACGCTAACTGATGATGCAGTTTACTCCCATTACCCTTCTCTGCTTTATCAATATAATATATAGCTATATGCATATGTTGAAGTATGTAGGCAAAATAAATCACATGCTATAAGATTAGTACAACTTGGTTAATATACGAATCCGGCTACCTATCTCCTATTACCTCTCTCTGATATATAATTTTTCTTCGTTTACTTCCAACTTGTTGAGACCAGTTGAGTACACATTCCATCTGTACCCGCTACTGTATCCACCCTATTGCTTCCACTTTCCCACGTCACTGCTCCTAAGCTACTAACCATAATAAACTTATACTCAAAGTACGTTCCGGGTGCGAAGTTAATAGTTGCTGACCACAAAGGATTCGAACTCGTGTATTTGCTTGCACTCAACGGTACTCCGTTCGCTGTATTCCAGCTCCCGAGGGCAGCGATTGACCCTACGATCTTGATATTGGTGCCATATATAGTTGTAACCAACTTATTAAATGTGACTGCAACCGAAGAGCAACCTGTGGGCGCAGTGGTGCTTGTAGTCGGCGCAGTGGTGCTTGTCGTCGACGCAGTGGTGCTTGTCGTCGGCACAGTGGTGCTTGTCGTCGGCACAGTGGTGCTTGTAGTCGGCACAGTGGTGCTTGTCCTTCCTGAAGTCGTTGCCGTCGCTACAGTAGAGAACGTGGTCGATACTGTCGCACTAGTAGACGACACTACACAAAGCAGGGACTCGGTATCAGCACAGTTCTCACGACGGCTCCATTACGACGATTGTAGAGGGGTGGGAAGACAAACCAATCAACGCGCTGCAGATACCGCTCCCCGACAAGTTCGCCGAGGGGTAAAGCACGCGCGGCAAACCACCCGACATAGTGATAACGACATTCCCTGACGAGTCCGCAGTATACGCCGGGCAGCTTAAAACCTCTATAACTGCCTGGTTAGCTGTGAATCCTGTATTCGCAAAGTTCAACGTCAGTGTATATGCAGAACTACTAGCGCCCTTATTAGTGAAAACGCCGACGGTCTGCGACCCAGCAGCCCCCTTCTTTAACAGCACCATCTGGGTATTCAGCTGGGTTGCCACAGCCACATACGTCACCTATGAGCTGTCCCTGGCTATTGCAAAGTTGCGAATTTGGTTCACCTGCTTCACAAACCCGTACTGTACGCTGCCGGTATTGTATCCACTCAGCCAGGTGGCTTCGCGGTCGGACGGCACGGCGCCGCCTCTGTACCCTTGTTCTTGACCAGCGTTGATGATGGGAATACCATCCATGAGCATAGTGAAGGCAATGGCATTCTTCTGAAGTGACAAATCCGAGGTCAACGAGGGAAATCGTGCAACGTCGTGATTTTCAAGGAAAGATCCTAAGAGCGTGGTGTCGCTGCACGAGAGTTTCATGGTGTTGATGCCGTTTACTAGGTTCGAAATGGAGCCTGAGGTGGATTGGAAACCCTGCGTTATCCAATAGTATCTACGTCACTATTAGTAATGAAATGGCTTCGTGGTAAGTACGTTGGAGAGTCAAACGCTGGGAAATTCATCAGTCCTGTCATAGACGTTTGGTAGGGACAAACATAGGCTGGATCGCCATTGAAGACCTCGCCTAGGACGTGCATGCCACCAGCGGCAGCCTGGAAGGACGGCCAGAAGTTATTGTTGACTTGCTGTACGGAGTCGATGCGTAGGCCATCGATGGAATAGTCTGACACAAGCTGCATAATCCACGCATAATCCACGCATTGAAGATGGATTGGACATCTGAATCTTCCGTGCGAAGATCGGGGAGGGACACGGTATTACTGCCCTCCCAGCAAGTCTTGATGCTGTTTATGTCACTGTAGTTTATGAGGCAGAAAGGATGGAAGTAAGATTGCTGTAGATTTATTAACTCCTGTCTCTATGAGGCAAACTTGGGTGCACAATAGCGTACCGAGTTGAAAGGGCTAAGGGTGCTGTAATCGACACAGGCTCCACAGCCAGCGTAAGCCATGTGGTTCGTCACAACATCGACCATAAGGTACTACTACTGTCAGCTGTCATAAAAAATACAGCGCGTCTAGAGCAAGAGCGTGAGTCACCAGCCAACCGCTACCTGTGACAGCGCTGTCATTGCTAGGAAACTTACCATCCCTCTTGCATGGAGTGCCGCCGAAAGGTCCTTGAGATCCTGCACGGTTCCAAATTTTTGATTCAGCTGGTTAATATCCGCGCCCAGTAGCCATGGTACGAAGAGCCATCGCTTGTCTGTGCCGAAATCTGCTTAACAACTGGGGAGATCCAGACCTGTATTCTATATTAACTTTGTTCACTCGAAAATCCTAAACGGGAGGGAGTAGCACACAGCTGTAAAACCCATTCCCTGAATGTAATCTAGGTGGTTCACAATGCCTCTCCATGACCCGCCACAATAAGCCTGAGCCGCAGTATTACAGGCCGCAGTTGTAGAACCATCGGTCCGCGCAAAGCGGTCCGTTAGGACCTGATAGATGGACTGGCTGCGCCACTGTGCAGGACTGTGCGCTTGAACTGCTGCTAGGTCAAAGACAGAAAGGGCGGCGAGGGTCAGAGGAGCGAGGTTGCGGAAACGCATGGTCGTGTAAGCACTTTGTAGAATCGGAGTTATATGCCCTGTGCTGGGTTTTGGCGTTTTGGCGTCTTGGCAAATAAGCAAAATTGAGATGCAAGTTCTCGGGAGCCATGACCTACGAGGGGAGTTGAGTGCTTTTTATACATGCTCTATTACACTATACCCACATGTGGTATATCTTTGCCCTACGTACTCAAAATTTTGCTGCTTTGTTTTAGAATAAATACTGTCCACAATATACTATGTTTGCTAGTTGGGATTCATGAGCAGAGCCTAGGAAGGGGGGTAATAATTGTTTTGGTGGTGAATTGAGAGTGTCGCCCTTCATTGACCACTTCTCAATTTAATGTAGAGTATATTCAGATCGGCCCGTACAGAGTTCTGGACTATCCCTAGGGCATGAGTGGATTGATTTAAAGAGGCAGAGTAATTTATCTTCAGTATCGCGAAATATTAGCTCCGAAGCTGCAAATTCGGTCCTTTTACAGTTTCTCTCCGGCTGCCCCAACTTCTCCATTTTCCAACCCGCCATGTGATGGTATGCGGCACATCATACGAGGAAAATGGCCCGTGCAAAACAGGGGTTGTCCCCGCTCCCCCATTCTTCCCGCTGTCGTTAATTAAGTCTGGTTATCCTGGTCACTTGAATGGCAACCACTGTGTAGCTCAGCAATAATGGGGTTAACCCCTCCGACTCCCTCCCCCGCAAACCTTGTCTCGTTCTTATGCACCTTAAGGCCGTTAGTAAGGACAACAGCACTAAATACGAGAACAGGGCACTAGATCGACATCCGTTCACAAAAAAGCATCTGTTGAGCCTTTCCCATTTAAACGGTAAATTAAGAGTCTAGAACTGCGTCGCATTGACGGTCACACCCATCTCAATGCTTTTGAATATCGTAAGGTTAAAAGGTTACCACCAAAGGCGTGCCGTGCGGAAATGATTTTTGTCTGGTTTAATATCCCGATGGACGGCATTAAGTTGCACCGTACTGCCGATGGCGTGCCGAAAGAGTTCCTTGGCTGTATAGCTAGACATTCCGGAGTCAATCGTGTGCCACAACCTTAGCCGGCGTATCTAGGGCTGGGTCCTAATACGGACAGCGACCTGTGCCATGTTAGGGGAACACGTGTGCCATAGATGTGAAAAATGTTATTGAACGGTGGACCCTTTACAACAGTACTCTGTATCCTACGGAGAGATATTTAATTGTGCCGAAGCCACATAGGTGACCTCAAAAGGCCAAAGTGGCGCCAGTTAGAGCTGCTTCCTTTGTGCGGCGTCACTAGATCATTTCCAAAGGCCCGATCAGATGATGGCATGGCAACTAGTGAGGGTAGGTTTACGACTGTCGCTCAGCAAGTGAGACTAGACATTACCTTGGCATATGATATTGTGAAGTTTTTTTTTGCTCTCTCTACTATCAGTTCTCTGTTGTTGGTCCTACTTTGCGGCTACTTTGCGCCTCCGCCGGTCTCTGTGTCGAGGCATCTAAGACTCTAAATTTCTATATAATCGCCATGAATTCCCGCTTTATCTCCCTTTTTCATCCTCACCATCATTCTTACCATTCTTTCGTCCTTGTCTAAAAGTTGGCCTTTACTCCATCATGAGCGGAATCTTTTCCACTCTCTTTGTTGGCATTCTTGCCATCCAAAATGTCGTCGCCTATCCCAATAGCAGCCCTGCTAACTTGGGAAAGCGCGATCTCAATTCTTGGATAGCTAGTGAATCTACCTATGCTTTCAACGAGTTGATCTGTAATATTGGCAGTGGAGGATGCAACTCTGGTGGGGTGGCATCTGGGCTAGTTATTGCCTCCCCTAGCAAATCAAACCCAGATTGTGATTATAACCAATCTCTTCTTACTAGATGCTCTCTAACAAATACAGATTGGTACACCTGGACACGAGACTCGGCGCTTGTTTTTAAGTACATCTTTGACAGATTTCAGAGTGGTTATACTGCCAGTCTCCAGACCCAGCTTCAAAACTACATCGTGGCACAAGCCAAGATCCAGGGCGTTTCAAACCCTGCCGGCTCTCTCTCGGATGGATCTGGACTTGGGGAGGCAAAGTATTACGTCGACATGTCTCCTTACACTGGAGGGTGGGGTCGTCCACAACGTGATGGGCCAGGCCTCAGAGCAGCTGTCTTGATCGGATACGGCAATTGGCTCGTGGATAATGGCTACACTGCCACTGCACAGTCTATCATCTGGCCAGTCGTTGCTAACGATCTTGCCTACGTTGTTCAATACTGGCAAGTAATGATCTTCATTGTAAAAAAAAGAACGTTGGCTAACTTAGCTTAGGAATCAAGGCGGATTTGACTTGTGGGAAGAGGTCAATGGCAACTCTTTCTTCACTACTGCCGCCCAGCACCGCGCTCTAGTTGAGGGCATTCAATTTGCAGCTAGAATCGGCAAGACCTGCAACAATTGTGCCACAGTCGCACCTCAAATTCTCTGCTATCAACAATCGTACTGGACTTCATCGGGTAATTACATTGTTTCAAACCTCAACGTGAACAACGGACGATCTGGAAAAGATGCCAACTCTATTTTAACTTCGATCCACAATTTTGACCCAGCTGCCGGGTGTGACGCTTCTACGTTTCAGCCGTAAGTTATACAGTCCTTGGATTAAGGTTGCTCGACCTAACAATTTCTAGATGTTCTGACCGTGCCCTTGCAAACCACAAGGCTGTTACCGATTCTTTTAGGTCCATCTACAGCATCAATTCCGGAATACCCCAGGGAGTTGCGGTTGCAGTTGGACGGTATGCAGAGGACACATACTACGGTGGGAATCCTTGGTATCTGAATACTTTTGCTGCGGCCGAACAACTTTACGATGCCGTTTACCAGTGGAACCGCATTGGCTCGCTCACTATTACTTCGGTGTCGCTGAACTTTTTTAAGGATATATATCCATCTGCGGCTGTCGGAACATACGCATCGTCGACTGCCACATTTACTAGCATCATCTCAGCAACCAAGACTTACGCTGATGGTTACATGGCAAAGGCACAACAGTATACACCCTCTAATGGAGCACTTGCTGAGCAATACTCACGGTCAAACGGCGCACCACTCTCCGCCGCTGATCTAACCTGGTCCTATGCTGCTTTACTCAGCGCCGCTGACCGCCGAGCTGGAATTGTACCTCGTTCCTGGGGATCCTCCGCAGCAAATACTGTCCCTGGTAGCTGTAGCAGTCCTTCATTTGGTGGATCCTACACCAGTGCCACGAACACTGGGTTTCCAGCAAGCCAGCCGCCAGTCACCACCGCGGTGCCAACGTCTACCGGAGGCACTACTACCGCACCAACTGGGACGACTACAACTGATGGAACTTCTTGCCCAACTCCTACAACATGTGAGATATGTCAGGTGTGCCCTACATGCCCAAGTGGTGGAACTGTCGTCCCCGTCACTTTTAACGAACTGGTGACCACTCAAGTTGGCCAGACTATTAAGATCGTGGGATCCATCCCTGAGCTCGGCAGCTGGAACACTGGTAGTGCTATTGCTCTTTCTGGAAGCGGATACACAAACAGCAATCCTCTATGGAGCATTACTGTGAATCTGGCAGCCGGTACAACGTTCCAGTACAAGTTCATCAACGTTGCGTCAAATGGTGCAGTTACTTGGGAGTCAGATCCAAACCGCCAATACACCGTCGCAGCAATTGCTAGCAGCAGCTGGCGTTAAATTGCCTAACAAATGTACCTAGTGTTAGGGCTAACCCGGTTGCTTACGGTCTCTTCCCGCTTTTCGGTGGTTCGCAAAAGCGTCGCCTTTGGCGTTTGGCTATGCTCCCCAGTTGGCTCGGGTTCGGTTGGTGGCTTTGGGCAGAATGCAGCCACCGAATTCTATCACATCTGAAACTGAGAGCCTTCAGCTCGTCAAGGTTTCTGGGCCCCCCGAAACCTATATTATACAATACGTACGTAGGCCCGTAGTTAGTGTAGAAATTCAATCGATTCATTTATTCTATATAGTATAGTCTACTGTTGATCTTTCTGCACGTTGCACCAAGAGTAAGAAGTTCCGGCCACAGGAGATACTCGCAATTTGTGTGTGATCCCTGTATTCCGGTGCTCTCTCCAACAGAAATTGATGGGGCGGAGGAAGAGCCTGAAACAGGGGCTGTCCACATTCTTGGCACTGCTGTGATAAGTGCCACACTTGCAATGCTTGACTTGTACTAGTATACTCTAGAGTACGATGATATACTTTGCACCCTGCTCACTGCCAAAGTATGCTCGATAAACTGATTTTATTGTTCATACAATAAAACAAACTAAAGGTAGGCGTGTCCGGATTGTATTGTTGTCACGAAAGTTGACCGTAGTATGTGCATAGAAAGGCTATGGCTATGACCCTCCTTGGAACGCTTCGCGAAGACAAACGACAAACCTTCGTTTGTCTTCACGTGGGTGCATAACAGGTAGGTACATACTGTACGGGGTGACGAAAGTAGTGATGTGCTGATGTACTAGTGAATCCTAACCAGACCGGTGTGCTCGCTCCCGACTAGTTTCCGTGAGGCTGAGAGTCTCCTCCTTGGCATCGAGAGGCAGTGGACGCGCTGGATGTTGTCCGTTAAGTCAGACAGAAGATGAACAAACTAGCATTGGGAGTCCATTAATAACTGATTCAATTCTCATATTACTTTACGAATACTTGTGCTGCTCGGAAGACTACTGTACTGTGCTGTACTGTACAGATCGGTATTGTATTCTACTGAGAGGCGGTGCTTCCATTCCAGCTGCTTTAACTTGCCTTACTTGGTGTGTGCCAGGGTGATAGATTCGTTCGGCTTGGAGGGTACGGGTGATTACGCCACAATGTTGGTTGGTAACTGCGGCTATTTACCAAATCGTAGACTCTTCATAATGGAGCATTTGCCAACTTTAAAAGCCAGCAAGTACGCTCTAATCTCCGTCTCCAAAAATGGCTTCTTCTTAGTTCACGTACAATATTACACACCCTTATCCTTTCAGATGGTTTACCCCCTTGGTTGTGATATGCAGCATCCTTGCCTTGCTATTAGTCACAATCCTGAATCTGGTTACAGCTGGCTACGTTTTAAGGTAGGTGTATTACTGTCTGGAGAGCACCATACTGACTGAAGTTTAGCACAGAATCTTCGCAGAATCTCAATGCGACCATTGCTGCTAATGGCCTTTGGTTCCGAACCTGGCCATCATATTTTTCTAGCAAAGTATTAGCCTGATTCTGTTCGGAAAACTAGCCCTTTCATACTAAAGCTGGTTTTTAGATGCAACCATCTTGCGAACCTGTTACTCTACCAGTTGGATCTCGTAGGTTACTCTCTTCTCTACACTGAGTAAGTGAGCTAACGAGAGGAACAAGGTTTTTTTACAAACCATACTGGTCTGACTTACACATTAGTTAGCGTGACAGACCCCCCAACAGGTGCTGTTGGTGGTGCTATGTCACCTTCACTAAGCTACTTGAATCAACCCCTTGAGAATTGTGAGGTCAGCTTGGTTCAGATAGAAGTGTCTAGCGCAGATAGAACTGCATGGCAGTTTGCAACAACGCCATGGGGATCAGCCTCGCGAGTGGGTTTCCTCATTTATCACTCTACCAAGCTCTTTGTAACACCCGGGTTCTAGGTATTCATTACTTGCGGCGTATTTGGCCCAAATGGGTTCACATCACTTAACCTTACTGTCGAGTATGATCTTCTACCAACAAGCATGGCAGGTTTCAATCAAGGGACCTTCAAGTTTCTGCAATCGGATAAGCAAAATGGTGCTGCTTTGTGGTGGGGAGAATCGCTACTGTAAGCTGCCTATCTCAGTACTATATTTCTACTTGTTAATCGTCAGGTCAATATATTGGAATGAAGTTTCCTATACGATGTAGAGTATCCGAGATGAAGAAAGCAAGAAGGGCAAAGGGATCTTAAGGAAAGGCTCGATTGGTACTTTCTCCATTCTCCTTGCAATATTCGGATCCCACCATAACTGAACATCCTTGACCCCTAGCACTACCCAGCGCGACATCACCCAGCTGGACTTTTTTGATCTCAACTATCGTTTCATCAAGGACAGCACCTACGAATTGTCTTACACCCAGGCGGGAATAAAAACGACATTAAGGATTCGAGCGCTAAAAATGAGTACCCAAATATCTGGCTTCTCGCTGACAATCTCGGGAAATCCCTCTTCTCGGTCGCTCTCTTAGACCTGGGACAAAAAGCATCCAGCATCCTTACAGATACAGCAGTTTTTCAGAAGTATACAGAAGAATTCCCTGAACTCATATCCTTGCCCGGGATGAATGTCGCAACGGGTCCCGCAAAAGCCAGCTATGAAAATCTAAAGAACAGTACGGGGCCACTGGAAACCTCACCAGCTATCATCTCAGCGAAGTACTTATGTCAAGTGCCACGGAGGAGGGCGATGGGAACGCTCATTATGGCACTCATTCTAGCGAATCTAGTCTTGCTGCGCGCGTCTTGGGCGCTGCTTACATTCTTCACTTCGTTCTATGTGGCACAATTTGATCCGGCTGGTACGTGACTTCCACAATATCGCTACGACTAAAGACAAATGGATCTAACGGGGTTGTTTGCTATAGCGCATCATTGTGTAGGGTGTATTAAACAAACTATAAGTTCCCCAGTAAGTAGAAGAAAACCAGTTGCAGGAAAGTTTGAACAAACGACAAGGGGGATCTATGAGCCAGTAAGAGGGAGGACATAGAGCATAGGAGAGCAGGTTAGACGTAGAACGAAATGGCATGATATTTAATAGCCGGGTAGAATGATCAATTTGACACGCACCAAGTGAAGCAGCCGGATAGGGCCACACTAACGTAGAGTACTGTAGTTAGAATAGCATAGTCGACTCGATTGATTAAACTAAAACATAAACCAGGTGTCCCCGTAATAGAACCTACCTGTATTTGAGGGCCAGAAGTTGCTGCTCTTTGAGATTCACAGAAAGGGAAGTTGAGGAACATAAACCAACATTACAGGGACAAAAAAAAATTATAGCAACGATGGATTTATACCACTAAGCCACTGCTGCTAGATTGTTGTTAGCCAATCGTGTATTGCCGTATATGGACTTTGGAGCACGTTTCCATGATGTTGATCGCAGCATTCACAACTCGCTGCTTTTGCCATGCGCCATTTTCATGTTTTCGCCACTTGCAAAAGCAGCTCCCCTTAGGCGTTGGTCGAAGTGGGCATGCAACTAGGGTTCTGCCCATCATTAGAGGGCTGAGAACCGAAAGTAACTACTATATGGTGTAGGGTGTTTTGTTTTAGCCCTCCTACACTCTGCCTAGCCTAAGGAGGAGCCAGAATAGGGGTTGAATGAACAGAAGATGGCTAATTGCGCTAGTTCTAAGGTCACCGCTACAAATGGACCGTCGGCATTATAATTATCTGCTACGTTTGTCGGACGCTATTTGTAGTAATACTTTAGTAGCTCACTCGCCTGTGTGGCACAGTCGCATGTGAAATACGTTATAGAATTTGTTCTAGAACTAATAAACGATAGAACAGTTACTCTCTAATTAGTCGCTTTAAACGCCAACAGTCTTTAGTGAGTTGACAGTATCAACGATAGTCTTCTCGAATGGGGTAAACTCAATACCTAGGACCTGCTTTGTCTGGCTGTTGTCAAGTTTATACACGCCTTCCGCTGGGTAGTCACCGCCCTGGTCCTGAGGACCCGGCAACCTATCGTTATATTCGGGGAAGTTTTTCCTAATAATATCTACCATCACCTTGTTCGTGAAGTATCCGGCTGCGAAGAAGAACCTCTTGCCGCCCGCCTCTGGCTTCTCCATGGCTAGGACATGGCCAAGGGCGAGGTCGCGTACATCAGTCCAAAGGAAGGTTATAGTTGGTGGGATCCCGTCCTTGTAGCTGCCTTGAACAAACCCGTTGATAAGCTGATTCGAGGTATTGAGGGCATTAAGTGAGGTAAGATTGTGCGTGACGGGCCCGAAGACAAATGGAGGGGCCAACGTCGCGAGGGTGAAGTTGGGCTTTTCCTTCTCGACAAAGTCCCATGCGGCGCGCTCTGCGAAGAGTTTACTGCCTGTAGTTTTTAATTATCAGATCTATCCTTGAAGTAGAAAGGTAAGCTACTGAACACACCTGTATAAGCAAAGGCGGCGTTCATTAACGCCTGCTCATGCGTCATGGGATTCCAGTCAACCTCAGAGTATGTGTGCTCTGGCCAATTACCCTTAAACGGGTTCATGATCGCGGCGAATGACGAAGTAATTACAACCCTTTTCACTGTAGGAGCGCTCTTCTTGATCGACTTAAGGATACCAGCCGTGCCAAGAATGGCGGGATCTAGCAGTTGCTTCTGCACATCCGTAACATTGAAGTGGAAGGGACCGGCGGTGTGAATAACGGCTTCAAACGGTGGGTCTGATTTGACGGCATTGTCAAATGCGCCCTCAACGGCAATATCCTCGACAATGGAGAAGTCGAGCTTGTCCTTGCCAAAGCTAGAGTGCGCCTTCCTGATCTTGTCTGCCTTGTCTTGGCTGCGAACAGTGGTCACAACGGAGTGACTATGTAGAGAACACATTAGAGGCTTTGTTTGCCTAATTGGAAGTCCAAACACCTACCCCTGCTTAAGGAGGACATTGAGGACGTGAGTGGCAATGAAGCCGCTACCACCGGTAAGCAAGACGCGAGTCATCGTGGAATTGGGTCGTTGGAAGCGATATCTAGAATAGAGAGGAGGCGATAGAGTAAAGTCTCGGCGTTTTCAAGTTATAAGATATAGACTCGACACTCATGGGTGATCGCTGTGCTTTTTAAGTGACGAAATCAGTTGAACCCACCCGGAGTTAGCCTAATCACCGTTAACTATGCATTGATGTGAAAAGCAGGGTAAATAATAGGGCATGTATGAAGTACACACTCCGTCTCTCGCAACCGTAGTTTGACTTAGCGCTCATGCAAGCTCTACTAGTACGAAGTAATCAGTAAGGGATATGCTTACTACTATATTTGTACGACATGCTTCTAGGCTTATTCTATAAAATAATTGTGGGCATAGACCATGTCAGCCATTCTTAGCGTTCACGTAAAAATGCACTCTGTTGGACTCAACCTAAGTCACCCAAGTCGTGGTTTCCTGATTTGGCAACGCATCACCGTAGCTCCAGCACTAGGTACAATAGCTTCCGAGACGAGCATCCTTTTGATGCTCTTCAATCAATCAATCAATCAATCAATTCAAGACTATTCAATGCATCGATGCCCTAATAAGTGACCTACCTCGGTCAACGCGCTCGTCGAGTACAACTATGTTCAGTTCATAACCATAAAGCTGTACTATACATACCCTTGCGATACAAAGGCTTCGGCATCCATGGCTTGCTATGTCTGAGTTGAAAAGCAGATCAGGGAGATGGATCGGAGTATGTTGGTTGTGAGTACCTCCCTCTCCTCTGATATCACAACCTTGTCTCGTAATTAGCGGCAGCTGCGCCAAACTGATCACCCAATAAACGAGCATAGCGACCTGAGAATGCCAAATGCCTGAATGAATTGTATTGAACTAAGTATAGCGGGTCATTAGGCACAGTTAGCTAAAAGCTCTCTAGCCTCGATACTTGTATTTTGAGTGGGAGTAATCGTCAGTTCGGTTGCAGATCCCTCCTTAAACTCGCCTTTGTAGATATAGTAATAAGCTTACCTCTTACTTTGTTAGTGGTAAGCTTACGTGAGCGCCAAGTCAGACTACGGTTGCGAGAGATGAAGTGTGTGATTAACGAGGAAGAATCAGAGTCAGAGAAACAGAGCTTACTATTCGCGGTCTATCCAAGTTCCGAACCTTTCAGATAGGTTTTAAATTCACGCAAAAGCCGCCACGGAGCCAAGAAGGCGGGATGACGCAACCCCTAGCAAAGTGGCACGCTGTTCGGCCCCTGTTAATCAGGACTCGCCGCCCCCACTTTGCCCCGCATCCATTAATTCACCCATTATAGTACCCACCTGCATCCTATGGTTCTGATCATCCTTCACCCGAATGGTCTCGATGATCTCTCAACATCCGATGGTCTCGATGAACCCTTACTAGGTACCTCTCATTAATATATGAAGCTGACCTGATATTACCGTTGCTTGTTGTTTGTGCCACCTTCCCTACAGGGTCCAATTGGTTGAATGCGGCCCAGTCCGGGCCAATGCGGGCAGCCTTCTAGGTCAACGTGAAGGTAGGAGCAGCCCGAGAAATAAAATAAAAACAAACAACAAGCCAAGCAAGAAAGTCTATACACACCTCACCATACCTCAGTTCGTAACTAACCCTACAGAATCAATTATGGCAGATATCATCATCGTTGGTGGCGGCATCGGCGGCGTCGTGCTTGCCTCAAGACTCCACCAACGTAAGCCGGAGCTGTCCATCCTCCTCATTGAGGCAGGGCCCGATGTCACTGGCAAACCTCACATCTCTATCCCCGCCGAGGCTGCCCTCTTGCACTTCTCAGACCTCGACTATAAATACATGACGGTTCCCCAGAAGCACTTGAAAGGCGCGCTAAAATACAATTGCGCCATCAAGGGCCTGTCGGGCGGCACGATCATCAACACTGGCGGCTGGATCCGTGGAGATAAACTCGACTACGACGAGTGGGCACGTGAAGTTAAGGACGACCGATGGAGCTACAATGGCCTGCTCCCTTACTTCAAGCGGTCCGAGAAGCATTTCGATCCGAATGCGGACCCGGAGCAGCACGGCTTTGATGGCCCCGTCATCACTGCTTCCGTCAGCTCATCTGGCCGCAAGTTTCCGCTGCGTGACCACATCTTGAAGCTGTGGTCTAACCTTGGACTCAAACACATCCCTGATGCGAACAACGGCCACCCCCAGGGTATCACCGACCTAGTCGAAAACTGGAAAGACGGAAAGCGACAGATTGTCACTGACACATATCCTCTGGCCGGAGTGAAGGTGCTCACCGACACCCTGGTGCGTCGCGTCATCGTCAACGACGAGAAGGTTGCCATCGGTGTTGAACTAGCTAGCGGGGAGAAGCACCTGGTCAAGGAGGGAGGCCAAGTCGTTGTGTCTGGTGGCGCATATGGAACTCCCAAGATCCTCCAACTTTCTGGTATCGGAGACCCGGCCCTTCTTTCCCAGCATGGCATTACCACCGTCGTAGACCTGCCTGCAGTTGGCACCAACTTGTTTGACCACCTGATGCTGTTCCGGTACTGGAAGCTGCGACATCCTGAAAAGGGCCTCTCCATTGGATCGCTACTCTTTGGTGGTCCCAACTACGAGAAAGGGGGACCAGTCGACTGGCTCGTCACGGTCCCAATCCCAACTGCGCCGCTCATGGCTGCGCTCGAGAAAGACGAAGGCCAGGTGTCTGACGACCATCCACTGCTCCAGAACCGCAGTCATCTAGAGATGAATCTTCTGTACGCCGCAATGGCTTCTGAAACCCAAGGACTCGCTGTTCCCATGGACGGAAACTCCATCATGACTTTCTACATGGGCTGTCTGCCGACTTCGCGAGGTACCGTCACTCTAGGCTCAAGCGACCCTGCAGCGCCTCCCTTTATCGATCCCAACTACTACGCCACGGAGGCGGACAAGCATGTCATGCGCGAGGGCTTCCGCATGCACTCGAAGCTCATGTTTGACACGCCTGAAGGCAAGGAACTTGTCGTCGAGGAACACACTCCTCCCGGTCACGCGGTTGCTGGTCTGGATGCTTCGGATGAGCAGATCGACGAGCGCATCAAGTTGGGAGGATCGACGGTGTTCCACCCTGGAGGTACGGCTGCCATGGGCAAGGTTGTTGATGCATCGCTCAAGGTTTACGGCGTGAAGAATCTTCGCGTTGTAGATGCCAGTGTGGTAAGTACTTGCTTATTAGATTTGACATGTTTCTGCAATGACTGACGACATCGTAGATTCCGCAACCGATTGCTTCGCACTACCAGGTCGCCGTCTATGCGATCGCTGAGCAGGCCGTCGACATCATTTTGGGCGAGCTCTGAAGTACCCCAGTGGAGTACTATCAAGTGTGATTATGGAGAAACGTGAGGTGACATCTGTCGCGCTCGCACCACTGATGCTAGTTTCTTGTTAGCTGCCGGCGTATTCCAATTTAGGACTGGCTACTTTTACTACCATTTTTCGGCTTCGCGACAACGCAGAAGCAGCTGCTAGTTTCTTGTCCCCTGTTTCTATTTCTATAGCATCCTATATAGAATCGTACTCTTTTTTTTATTAGCTAGCCCTTAGTGGGATGATAGTATCAACTTAAAATCTCCACCTCGATTAATATTCGACTTCTAATATTGTCCCTGCAAACCTGCAAACTCTCCCGAGATCTACGAGTTAGCGTTCGATCTAGACCCGTCACTATGTTTATAGTCATCATAATCGTTAGGGTGATTACAGTGTTCACCTTCGTTTACTATTACGCATTGCTACATATCGTACCACTGACTCGTCTAACTAATCCGCCTAGACTACATAGTCTTAATAACTTGCCTTTTAGGAAACTGCCTCTGGAGCTAGTAGGATACATAGCTAAATTCATGCTTCCCTTAGCTACTACATCGTTTACTTTAACCTAAAAGTCTATATAGTTCATCTTAGGGAACTAATATCTCAACTAGCTTTAGGCAAGAAACTTTAAGCCTAGTAGGTGTATATTCCTAAAGCTCCTTAATAGGGATCTACCTTACTACGTTATATGCTTTCATTATAACAAACTCTACTATAGCACTATAAAACCAAAACAGCATTATAGCCTACTATTGTTGCTTTATAGCAAAGGGCTATAGTATAAGGTTGCTAATAAGAAGTAAGAAGTGTATTAATATAGTAACCTAAACTTTAACTATGTTTTATTCTAATTGCTTATAAAACTAATTTGCTCTAACCATTATTAAGACTATAGATTAAAGGTTAACGAAATGATTAAATTTAAGAATAACCTACTTAGTTATAATATATAGTTTAATTATAATACATACATCTATTAGAAAAGGTCTTATATCCTACTATTTAAAAATTGATTCCTATACTATAGACAAGACTAGCTTTGATTTTGCTATTAAGACTGTTTTATATTTATAAATAAAGACTGTATTTACTATAGGGGTAATAAAGACACTGTTTTAACTATCTTACTATCTCTAGTAGTTTGCCTACATCTATAATGCCTAGTTAAGAAATGTACCTCTAAAACTAAATTTAAGGCTATAATAACATACTAAGTAAGACATTAGAATAATGTTACGGCTGAAACATGCAACCTATATGCCGCAAGATAGAATAATAAGGTAAAATAGCTTGTAGCTAATTAGCAGCAGGAAATAGACGTAGAGATTGTAGGTAGCTTAGTTAATGAGGGCACCTTTAGGAAAAGGTACCTTTCTTAGAAGGTACCTAGCAAAAGAAAGGTGCCTATTAGGAAAGGCACCTATGTAGAGCAAGGTGCCTCCTTAGAAGGGCACCTATGGGAATCGGTACCTGCAATAAGTGTAGCACCTCTTATAGGACACACACGTGATTAGATTAGTAGGAATAGTGAG